AGGTGCAGTATTTATGAATACCACTTGTCGTGATGACTTCTTCATAGGAAGCTGGAGAACAATGTAGACAGCTTCTTGTGCACTAATTTCAACACTATTTAAAAATTTGTTTCCAATATCCCTGACTTGTTGCTTGATGTTAGAATTTTCTTTCCTCGCTTCTGCACATGCTTGTCGCAAAAGTTCACTCATTCCTTTTTGTGCTTTAGAAATATATGATACTATATACATAGCACATGCATAGATGTCAAGAACAAATTGAATATCCATGTTTGCTCTCCATGCTTTAAGGCAAGTTGGGTTGTAACTATTAATTCTTAACTCACTTGGTTCTCTTTTTAAAAATATAGTTGGAGAATTCAAAGCTGACCTGATAGCTAATCGATAGTTATTTTCAGTAATACTTAGTTTAAGAAGCAGCTCCTCAAAAGTAATTGATTCACCATCCTTTAAATCATTTAGTTGCTTTTTAATAGTTTTCCAAGTTTCTTTATGTTTTTTAATTTCATGTTGTGATATATCTGAACCTAAAGGATACATGATTTCAGTTGCTCTCATAGGAGGTTGCGGGTAATTAAATCGACATTCACTCTTTGACTTCTTTCGACATGTGTGAGAATGCCTGTGAATTTGTCTGTTCACTAGTTTCTGCAGTTGTGGGTCATCAATTGGCCATTTACAACTTACAATCTGATCAATGAACGTTGTAACAGTTGCATCATCATCAATTCCAAACACTGGTGCACTTTCTAACCATATAAGCATATGGATATGAGGTGAACCTCGTTGTTGAAATTCTACTCTATAGAACCAGTCAGATATCCTTCCTAGAGGTTGGCACTTATTCAAGAGGAAGTTAGTGAGAAATTGACTGATCTGATAATCAAAATGTCTGGCACATGATACTGGGTCACTTTGAATTAACCTACATTTTTCATCCCAGTTCATATTTTCCAGATGAGTATCAGTGTACTGTTTGTGGTCAACCAACTCTCCAAGTATTCTGAGCAAATGAATCCACTGAGTTTCTGCTGAAGAGAAACTACAAAATAACGAGGCTGGTCCTAATTGTCTTATCATGGCAAACAAGTCTTTCTTTGCTTTTTCAAAATATGGTGGGGAACCTCTTAATGCTCTAAGAAACTGAAATCCATCATCATGATGAATCAATTTCTCTATTGCTCCTTCTTGTTTAAGTTGTGCTGCATTTAAAGTTCTGCTATTCCCTTTGCACTTTCTAAGAGCAACTTGGGAATTTCCTAATAGTATTTTCATTTGGAGTTTCTTTGTTTTAAAGAATATGTTTTCAACACACATAGCCACTCTTCTATCTGACCGCCTCAATTCAGATTTACAAATGTCACTGTAATGCACGCTAACCAATCTCTCTTTATTTTCTGGTCGTTTTTGTCCAAGAAATATGCCAGGGTATGCCAATTCTTCAGAATATTGATCTCTGAATATGCTTAAAGGTTTATTCCCTTCACCTGGTGCAACATTTAAAATATGTTGACCCTCATTGTCCTCAACAAAATTTGTGTTTGTCAACATGGTGTCAGTAACTCCAGCAGGTATTTCTACTTCATCTTCACTCCACTGATCTTCGGTCTCTACAACTTCATCACAATTAGTATTACTTGAAGTATTAACACAACTGTTAACAATATTTTGTAGCCCTTTGTGTTCATTTTCAATATTTCTTTCATCTACCAAACAGTTGTCTCTATATTCTACTCCCCAGACCTGATTAACTGTTATTCCTTCTTGTCTATACAGGCTACTGTTATTGATGAGCCAGTTAGCTGCTTGAATAACTTTATGCGGTCTTACATTGAAAGACATTGCTGAACTTTTGTATTGTAATTTTCTCTTTAAATTTACTTTAATTGTACCAGTATCACTGGGTAACCTTGGTAACACATTAACAGTATTGGATACTTCTGCCACTACATTAACTACATTTCCAAGAATTTTGAATTGCCTTCCCCTTGGAGCTTGCAATAATTTTTGAAATGCAAGTCTTGGTGCAAGAAGTCTACATTCAAGTTCATTCAAGTCAAAAAAATCTGGTTTTTTTGGAAATTGCATTCCATTTAAAATAGCAGTAGGAGGAACTTTATTCTTTACTAAGTATTTGTAGCATGTTCTGCAAAGCCACTCTTTATGTTTGACACTTACTTTATTAATAAGGTATTTTTCCCCAGCTGCAGGATTTGATTTCTTTAATGTATTGGCTGAAGAAACACTGTGTTTATACCATAGCTGGTCACAACAGCTACAGATGTATAATGGACCTTGCGACACTATTTCATGAAACTTTGAAATGTGATGATTCTCATTTAGGTCTTCATCATTACTACTTTTTGTGGCAGTTGTTGCTACTCTAATGTGACATTCTCTATTCTGGTTTGCTACCTCACAGTGACATTGTTTTTTTTGGTTTTTCTTAGTGGTAGAAGTTTGGTCATCTATCCCAGACAGAACACTGCTATTCCTGTTGTTTGATTTTTGCATCCTACCTTCATCAGTTCTCCTTTTTTTCATATATTCCCTCAGGTAAGGATTGCGATTCCTTTTGGCGCTTACTTCATTGATTTTAGATGTCTGCTTCCTACTTTCACTGGCCTTTTTCTTCTTCCTATATTCTCTCATGTACATGCTTTTTTTCCTTTTTAGGCTGGCATTATGTGATTCTTCAGAGACAACTTTTTGTTCGATTTTGTTTAAAATATCAATATGCTGACTTTCTAGTGAACTAGAGCTACACATATATGGTACTGTTGATACATAATGTTCTTCATTTACATGACCTAAATAAATTGTTGTAGGAGGTTGTTGCAATAAATGCGCTGGTTCAATTAAAGTTGTATCAGAAAAATTTTCATTGGATTCTACAATATGAATTCTCAAGTTTTGTGACTCAGCAACTGCTTGAACAATGATTGCATCACACCATGAACCTTGCAGAGACATATTAACCAAATAGTCATCCCATGAACTGTGGGTATTGCTTTCAATGAAATTTTCTGGGTTTGACCTGAGATAATTAATACCATCTTGTCTGATTTGCAAGTGGTGACTTGGATCACCATACAACTGATGAGAAACAGCTCTAAAGAAACAATCACCTGCACCACCCACATCAAGGGGTCTCAGTCCCAGCCGATGTAATCGAAAATTTAACAACATGGTAGAGCCTAATGACAATGTAGTTTGAGTGTTGACACCTTGAAGAGGACCTGGATTTAATTCAACATCACCTGAAGTCAAAAGATTCATTCTTGACACACAGAATCTTCTACTATGAGTACTTGATGCTATTTTTTTGTGGTTAAATGAAGGGGCATGAGTTCCAAGTTTGCTTTTCTTTGCAGTCAGTTTGTTTAATTTTACAAACTTAGTGAAAAATCCCTCACATCTGTTCAGATATCTGACATAGCAGAACTTAAAGTCAGTAGCAAAGCTGTACAACCAAGAAGATTTAGGAATATATTTCCTTATAGAAACCTTAAATTTGCTTCTAGTTTTTCTTATCTTCGCGGTCTTGAAAACCTTGTTCATCGATATTCTGGACGGCTCTCGGTCTCTACGTCGTTTAATTGTTTTAGCTCTTTTGGAATGCCTGCAAGTATCGCTCCTTTGTAAAGAAAACAAGATACCCAAATCCGTCGATTTTGTTGAATGGACGCTTACATTCCCAAAAGCACTACTACTTTTAAAATTATTTTGTCTATAAAAATAAGCCACAGTTTTCTCCGACGGTTCATTATTCAAAGGCCTTCTCAGTTTAATGACAGCAGATTTTCTAGCTCTGCGCGATCCATTTTCAAAATACAGTTTCTTCAATCCTTTTACGGGCTCTACAGTCCCAAAACAGAGCTCAATTTTCCCCAAAAGGGACTTAATAATTCCCAAATGGGACTCAACTCTCCCCATAAGGGGCTCAATAATCCCCAAACGGGGCTCAATACTCCCCAAACGGGGCTCAATAATTGCATTCATGAAAGCGTGGTCAACATCTTGTTGGCGCCAGCTGCCTTGATGGATCACCTGAAAGTATCTTGTTAAGCCTTTCACTCGTTCACATTGAACCGTGCTTCGAAAACTGTGGCATAATGAGAAACAAACTTTGAGGAAATTCATTATAAAGACTCCACAAAAGACCGCTTCACTTACCTACTTCACCATCCACGCGTGGGTTTGACTACGCACAACGTCGAAAGAAAACATCACCTTTTCATCGACTTGTTGTTTTCTTCTCGTTTCCAAATTCCATTGGTCTCGACTATTCCTCGCTCTGTTTTTTTCTTGAATGGGATTCGTCGTAGTTTTTTCGTTTCCGACTCCCCGCGATTATAAATCGATTTGTTTACACATTTTTTGGTTAACATTTTCTTTTCCCTTCATGTAGACCATCACAAAATGTATACTTTGATGTGGCCTTACTAGTATGACCTCGTAATTTGTGGTATATGAAGTATTTTTCGAAATTTTTTGCACTCTTCCATAGGTGTCTTCGTGCTAAAGCACTAGACACCAAAAACAAAAAAAACACATCAAACCAGATTAGATTTGTGAATGTTGAGTAAGGAATAAATTTTCACAAGTAAATTGCAGTCAGAGCAAATGTCGAAAGTAAACATAACAAAAAAAGAATTTAAGCCTCGAATAGACTTGAAACCGTCTCTCCCTGATGTCTTGATTAATTAAATGTAAGTTTCCTTCACATAATTCACGTCACAATTTAAAGACAGAGCACTCATATGAAAACAATTATAAGGGAATCATTGATGAAAGAAGAGCATAAAGAGGTACCTCATCGTACAGCTCCTAAATTCTCAAAAAAACTAAATAATACAAGTCCCCACCCCTTGACGCCGCCCACCCCCCTTCCCCCCCTCCCCCCCAATAAATGACCCGTATCACAAAGATCGCGTTTCCTCAGTTGGATGAATCAGTAATTATATGCCAGAGGTTGATTAATTTCTGTTACACCTCACCTTTGCCTGTTCTGCAGAGTCCTTTTCTCCAGTTTTCAGGTTATCAGTCCGTTCCTGTCCGTGCACCGCCTGCTCTGTAGCCGCCCTCTCTCGGACTTTCTTGGTGTTTTTTCTCAGTCTTGCAATCTCCTCCTGTTGCATCAACAACAAACGCCGTTCGTAGCTAGCTGCGCGATTCGCAGCTTTCAGACGTTTAATCTCCGCCTGACAGAGGCAAAAATAACATCATGAAAACCCAACAATTACAAATTAAACGACGTAATTAATCTCCTTAAGATATTATGACTACATCCCTACTGGTTTAAAAACAGAAGGAGACTTCAAGTGATCTTTGGCAAATCCTCGTAAGGACAAGAATTAGACCAAAACAGGAAATCGCTCATGTGATTTGACGTGGTGTTAGAGAATAAATTCTCTTAGAAGATCATTTCACTATTGCAACGACACATGACTTAGGAAGGGATGTATTAAGAGATCATAAAGATAGATCGTACGAGTAAGTTTGGCCTTACATGTTCCACACAGAACTAATTTTGGTGAAAGGCAACCAGGGCGAAAGTAATCATCACAGTCACGAGAACCGCGCAATGTGACGACAGTCACAAATAATGCTGCTCGGAAATTTCTCAGAATAATTCACAAAGATTTCCCAAAAAAGAATTAATGGGATTAAAACAGGTTGACATTACAACAGTCTCTTCGGCACAATTTCGCATAATACTAATTTCCGCATACAAACATGTTTTCCTCCACCGACCTGTTCAGCTTGAAGTCTCATTAAAACTCCTCGCTGCCGCTTCCTAATTGACGGCATGACGTCATCAGCGCCCTTGTCCCGATGCCTTTGCTTCTGACATTCAAGCCAGGCCATCTCGGCTCGTGTCTTTTCCTTCAGGGCTTTTTCGCGCAGGCGTAGAAGCCCAGCTTGATGTTTGGCTCGAACTTCTTCCTCCTTCATCAAACGGACCATTTCGGACGTGAACTGAGAGAATGAATCTTCACCGGAAAATGGCGCTGAGGAAAACTCCTCCAACGTCTAGGGTAAAAAGGGAAGGGTTAAGGACCAGTCATTATTCATCGCCTTTGGTTGGAGGGGGGAGGGGGAGGGACTTGGCCTAAATACCATCATCCAGCAAAATGGCCATAACATTTGGCCGGAAATTATCAAAAAAAATTGTCGATTAATCCCACTATCATGTCCTAAAATCTCGAATTTTTGTCTCAGGCACTGAGGTCTCACAGTGATTTAAAAAGGCATGCTGGAAAACAACTTAGGATCTTAACCACTGACCAGTAGTATTTGTATAGAAGGAGCCCGCTTGGAAACAGTGGAAGAACTCCGAGGAAGGCTTTACGAACCACGTGAATTTTTTAAGCTAACGGCTGTATTCTTCTAAAGATTACCGTCTAAAAATCCTCTAATGTTCGAAAAATCCTAAAACAAAATCCTATTTTTAAGTATCAAGCCCTATCGTGATCGCTTATTACAATTAGCCAGCTAAAGTAAATAAATCAACAACTACCTTGTCAACCGGAAAATCCTGAGAATCATGGTTATCGTCCTAAAAAAAGGAAAAATAATACATCACCACCAACATATCAAAGGCGTTAGTCCCTAAAAAAGGCTGAAACACGCATGAAAGCACGCTACTGGAAAAGAAAAGCTATTCTTCTGCGCTACCACAAAATAATACTTCAAATTGGATTTATTTATTTTAGTTTCACTCAATACGCGACGAATTTTTAAGTGAAACGTATTTATTCTGTCTGCGATTATGGGCACTCAAATGTTCTTGTTTGTGTATATACTTTGCGTATTATGCCAAACCATCGATTAAGACAAAATAACAACAATCAAAACGAAGTGGAGCGATGGTGATACTGCCTTCACACACTGCCTTCGCCTTTTTGGGATATCAACTTCAGTAAACAGTATTTTGTAGTCGTCTAATTACCTTGTGACACTACCTTTATAGATTTCCACTTAGTATCTCATTTTACAACGTTAAAACTCATATTTACTTACAGACGAGTAAGATACAGTCCCCTGGTCAGAACCTATGCTGCCGCGCCTTCCTGTCTTACCCAGGCTCCTCCGTCTGTGGCTCTCAGATGGAAGAATCATTCGGAAGTCAATCTCGTCATCTGTTGCAGTGTGTGATGACATCACTGTCTCTTCGAAGTTCAGCGTGTAGTCTTCTTCCGGTGACCTTTCTAAGCGTTCTAAAAGAGCAAAAAAAATTTCTAATTCATTTTATTTCAAGGTTAGCTGAGTCGTTAATGTTCACTGCCAATAGTGAGTTGCTAAGTGTTGCAACATACCAGTTCATAGGTTCTCTCACAATTGCACTGAACAGACTAACGGGTTACCTCCCCCTCAGTACATAAGAAGGAAGGCGGAAGAAAATAAAACCATTTTCTCATATTTATCGCATTTAAAGAGGGCTGATACGTGAAGAAAATATGTGTCTTACCCATTTGGCATGGGTAAGACACATAGCGTTTCCATACAGTTCTTCATAGATTTCCTAAGGTGGTGACCTAGAGAATCTGTTTAACAATCACGAGCTTCTTTAGTTTGTGATCATTTCTCGCGACCTTAAAGTGTGATTCAGGGAGATATTACAAGGAGAAATTAGATGCTAGTCTCTTATGAGCCAAAGGGTTAAACCCACCAGACGAGTGACTGTACAGCTGTCTTTTCCCGTACTTACCTGATGGTTTTTTGAGGTCATCTCCCGTCAACACGTCAGCTATAGAGTCATCATCAGCCAGGTCAAGTCCAAGATCGGATGCAACGCTATCAGCCACACTGTGATCAACTTCTTCGGGAATGCTACCCGACTCCTCCCCTGCTAGTGTTGAGTGATGCGAGCGCGAAGCAGCTTCTGACCGGGTGGGGGTGCGCCGGCTGTGGCTGGCAGAACGGTCCACTGATAGATCACTTGCTGTACGAACGCTAGAAATAAAGTAATAAAATAAAGATGTGATCTTCAGGTTACAGTTACAGTTTGAGTTTTCGGTTCCTTTCTCACTTTTTTCCTCGTGGTAAAATAACTTGACAGTCTTTTCTAAATCGGCTTGCCGCTAAACAAGTTAACCTGAATTCATTTTAATTTGTAGACAAAAGCCGTTTCGGGACACGAGTAAACAAAACTAACCGAACAAAGGGTTGTAACACATGATGATTTTTATCCACTAAAACAATAAATACGTGGCATATGTTGAAGTTTGGTCGAACAAAACAATTCTGTGGAAACATGAGCCGCAGGGGGTTGTTCTCCAATCCATCACCGCGATAGCTATAAAACTTCGCGAGTTCTTTTCAAATCGATCAAAACTGAAAAAAAAATACTACGAAGAAAAAGGAAATCTCTCGCTTTACTGCCGTCACTTGGCTTAAAATTCCAAATTTGTTAACTTATGCTCTCTTCCCTTAAAAAGTGTCAACAGCCCAAGGCATTTCCATGTTTCTATGAAACACAGAATTAAACGCTCGAACATGCTTCCTTTCTCTTCAATGCAAGGTATACTTCCATTTTGTTATGTAAATGATAAATGTCGTGTGTCTGATAACTGCACTAACACATCAACACACGCTAGTTTAACACGATTGCCCTTGAAACGGATCTCCATCAAGAATTATCTGTGAGAAAAAAACATATAAACGAGACAAAAAAGAGAAGGGAAGAGTTTTTGTTCTCTTCCTTTACACCAAGACAAAACAGAAACAGTCTTCGGTCAATCATCTTTTTTTACCCGATAGGATAGAAATAAACTAGAACATGGTATATAAGGCTGTCTTTAACACTTTGATATATCTTAATTAGCTATTTGTTTTTCTTGATATATTTCAAGTTGCATTTGGCTACCTTTACTCGTTACGCAACGGACAATGGTGGAACTATTGCATAAGCACTTGTCATCGTAATTATTAGCTTTACATACAGAAATAAAGACATGCCGTAAACCGACGGTATACTTATTTACCTTACAGTTCTATCTTGCTTAGAACTTCGTGAAACATCCACATCATCACCAACATTCGTCCTACTCTTACTAGCACTTCCCTTGGATTGTGATCCCCAGTCTACCGCATCAGTTTCTGACCGTGGGGTCCTTGTTCTAGAATAGCTGTCGCTGCGCTGGCTGGTTGAGTAACTGGAGTAACTGTCACGCGTCACGTCTCGACTTCTGCCACGGTAGCTTTTTAGACGTGCTTCTCTTTCTCTCAACAGTTGTTCTTGCTGTTCGTGAAATCGCGCCATGCTGCTCTTGACGGCTGCTTCTGCGGCTGCACTGGCTGCTTCAGCGGCAACACCGCGTGTGTCAACGGTCTGTTGCTTAGCAACCTCCAGTAATGTCCGCGCGGCTGATGAGCGGGCCTGGAAAGTAAGGGAAAGAAAACTCAACATAAAAGTAATGTGGAACATCATTTCAAAACACATTTTTAAAAAAATTGGCGAGTTGGTAATCCAAGTATAGGGGGGAAAATCGCTCTGTAAGTTAAATTTCTTTCATAGAAGTTATTTTTCTAAACATTTCTTGGTACTGCTCAGGCTGGATCACCAGATGGCGGACTATTACATCAATTCAGGTGAAAAGAAGACATACGAGAGGTCAGTGCAACGTTTCGCGCGTGGGGGTAGGGAAACACGCATGTAGTCCTACATAACTCTAGCGGCTACAATGAGTTAAAACACCAACCTCCTCGACTTGTTTAGCTGACTCGGCTGTGGTGCGTGCAGCTTCACTCTGAACCTAAGGGAAATAAAACACAGAGGGAGAAATCAGCAACCAATCAACGACAACTACAAGACCAACAAATGAATACAACAAGTTACGAGCTGCGTTACCGTAACTAGCCGGTCGGCGGATTCTGATATGCTAGCAGCCGCCTCCAGTCTCACTCGAGCAATCGTCTCAGCTGCTCCTGCAGCAGCATCCGCCGCCGCACGTCGGGCCTGGAAATCGGTACAATATTAAAGATCTTAAAAGGGCAGTAGGGTAATAAGAAAAAATAAGACTATACAGAAGTTTGTCGACACAGATCTTTACGGCCATTCTTGAATAAGTAGTAATTTTAAATGCCACGCACGACAAGAATATTGTTCAGCAAAACGTGTCACTAGAAAAAACATGGTCTAGAACACAGAACACAGCTAGAGTGTCTGGATGAAATTAGACTGTTTGAATTGTTTCTGTTTCCTAGTTTAACTGGGTCAAATTTTCTCTGACGTCAACAACGTCCTAATTTCTCTCTACCTCTCTTTCATTATCCCTTTTATGTTTTCCTCTTCTCCAAGTAATTCTTCAAGGAATTCCTTCAGCTTGGAGGTGATTTTTAAAAAACAATGTGGCGAGCTGTGCGTATTTTGTGGTCTCCGTAGGTGCGATAAAGGAATTGACTGGGTACTTGAATTAATCAAACTTGAATAACTTTTAAGTTATTGAAATAAGTATTTTTCGAGTGAATAGAGTACTTTTCAATTGAGTGAGGTAAAACATAAACCAAAGTAATCAAAACGACCGATCATGATTAAGGGACAGACCAGAAGGAGCCAATGAGAGCTCAAATTAAAAAAACTTCTTAAAGCGCGGGAAAACGCAAGTAACCAAGAGGCGATTGGGTGTAGTTTTGAATCTGATTGGTTGATAAAGTGGTGCGAGTTTTCTGGACCAATCACAGGGCGAAATGAAGCAAAACCAAAGTAATCTCGTATTACTTTCGACACTGAATTGAAAATTTCTCGATTAGCATATAAATCCTAGTGCGATCCTCCTATTTTTGCGCCTTACCTCTTCCAGTTGCTTAGCTGCTTCTAACGCTTCCTCGCGAGCCTTGGCCCTAAGATTCTCCATATCTCTGACGTGCGACAGTTGTTTCGACTAACAGTAAAACAGACAACAATACCATCAACAAACATGAAAATGGAAAATAATTGATCGAAAAAGCCACAATGACACTACAATAATGAGCCACCAAAGATTGCTTGAAGCGCAAGAGAACTGGGGCGACCAAATCACGAATAGTTTTAGTTTGCATCCGATTGGATGAGAGAGTGACTTGAGTTTTCTAGACCAATCACAGTAAACAAAGAGTTTTTCGGTTGTGTGTCATAATACCAAAACCAAAGTAATCACAACAGCCAATCAGAAGAAGGAGAAACACTTTAAGAGCCAATGAGAACTCAAAGTAAAAACAATTATACTGGCTAAAGCGCGGGAAAACGCGGGTGAGCAAGCTGCGATTGTTTTTAATTTTGCATCTGATTGGTTGAGAGGATGGCGCGAGTTTTCTGGACCAATCACAGAGCGAAGTAAGGCAGAACCAAAGCACTCTCGGTTTACTTTTGACAATTAGTTGAAAATTGCTCTATAAGCAAACGTAAAGCAGTCACCATCCTGGATTACCAATAAAATGACACTCAATGAAAAACTGATCCATACACTCACCTTGAGTATCTGAGCCAAAGACACAGTTTCTTGTTGTGCCATGGACACTGCCCGAGTCCGCTCCACGTCAGTCAGTTGTCGGACCGATTCCTCCATGTATTCCAACCTGTTCAATTCTGCAGTGAGCCTCACGTCTAGAGATCCAGGTGACAGCCGGTCACCCCCCTGATGCGATGGCGTAAACACTGACGGCGGTGGGTAAGTCGGCGCTGCGTAAGGGGGGACAGGGCTTTGAGAGTCTTGGTCCCTTGAAGGAGAACGCTGAATGGCAATAAAAACGTCAAGCTTTTCACAAAATAGATTTCATCATAAAATACTGGAAAATGAAAAGTGCATCATATTCCAAATTGTAATAACCCTGGCATCTATAGTAGAACACAACGGTCAAACGTCTGCACGTGTGTACACATTGTAATAACCAAGTGTTGTGCTTTCAAGCTGTCTGAACCGAGTTTTCTCACACGAGTTACAAACAAGCACATAAGCAAATACATCACGGTGTTTTAGAAGCGTAAAACTTTTTGTGGTAAGGTTCAAAACAAAGTGATAAATCAGCAGGATACCCGTACTAAAATCAGCTTTGTGTTTGAAAAGTTTCGAGTCTTCCTTTTCCATAACTTTCTTTCCTTGTACAGATTTCTATGAACTTTTCAATTTACTTTCGCTTATTTTCTTGTGTTTACTTTCGGAATTTGCGCGGGAAATTGGCGCACGGGTGGCCAAAACTGATCCTGTCGCGCATGCCCGACGTTTGATCGTATATGGTAAAACATTCTGTGGATGATAATCAGACTCGGAAATACTTAGTTGACTTGACGGGGTTTGTCTCCGAGCGTAGCTGTGTTTCTTTAATTTTATAAAAAAACATAAGGAAACTTCTACGCATGTCAACAACAATGTCACAACGAACAAATTGGGTTTCATTTAGCAACCTTCAAGAACGTTTGGTCAAATCGACACTTGCTAGATCCATACCCGTGTAGATGAAAAGATTGAAGATTTGTCAACCGCCTCGCTTACACGAGACAACTCTCCTTCTGACAGTGTAGGTGATAGGGGACCACTTTCCAAACTCCTGTTAGGAGATCGCAAAGAGTCGTTCTTATTGGGAGAGCTTGTCTTGTTCTCTGGACTCTCGAATGTCTCTGAATACACAGGCTCGTCTGTCTTTCTGTTAGGGCTCGGGGTGCGCTATACGTGAGGAGAAAAAAGCTCAATGAGTAATCTTAGAATATCTGTTGAGCATACAAAAAGGTGTAGCCTTAGTTGGCAAAATCAAAGTTACATTAACTAGAGAAGAACTACCCTTTAATCTACATTATATGACAGCTGAGAAACCTGTGGATGATACAGCATCTCTTGATAAGAAACTAGGAAGAGTGATAAACAAACAAACAAACAAACAATGCCCTTCTGCACATCAAATCGTTTGACTTCACGATGCATTTTAAAGAAAGCATACAAATTTGAAAAGCACGCAGAAAATTCCAACAAATGATTCAGTCCACATCGACCCTTTGACCCCTAAAGGTAACTAACATCTAATTTCTCCTTACAATATCAACCCTGAATCACACACTAAGGTCACGGGAACAAAGGAAATGATCACCAACTAAAGAAGCTGTTGATCGTTAAACAAATTCTCCTTATCAGCTTCTTAAGAAATGTATGGAGAGCAGTATGGAGAATATGCATACTGATGTTAGGGTGTAAAGGCTTTAGACCTAAAACTCTTACAGTTATAAAAACTTGGGCTCCCCCAAACAGGAAAATATAATACCTTTCCACTTCCTCTGTTTGTGCTGCCACCAGAGGACCCAGTAAAGTCATCATCGTCATAATCATCAAGAGCGTGACTCTTATCAGGGGATTCCTCCACCAGTGTCTGTTCCAACAGGTCTCCAGACTGATTTGGGTCTGCAGGAGGCTCAAGCAGACTAGCTGTCTCCCCCACCTTGTCATCTGTCAGCGTCTCTTCAAGAAGACTTCGTGTTTCTGATCCATGTTCCCCTAAACTTTCATCTATGACAAAACAAACATTCATGATCCAGTCATCAAGCAGAGATGTGAGTAAGAGCCGGTAGATGAACGCAACCTGCGGCTATTCTGTCATCTTAAGCTGTCTATTTCACCTCATTCCACCGCAAGCGCTGATGAAAAGTCTGTTAAATTGAATGTATAGTTTACCAGTAACGGATTTCGATGTGTGAATCGTTTTCAACTTCAAAACTTGCGCGGGGTTTCGAGTGCACATCGCATGAAACATGAAATTTGACGAGACGATAAAGCGTTCACGATAGCCTGGGTTCCTATCCTTAGTAATTCAACGCGTTAGGATAATTTTGAGAAATTAAGGGCATCGCTAATACCATTGGGGAATGCTTCTTCCTAACACTCCTCCACCCCCCCCCTCCCCTAAACTTTTCAGGTTGTCCTACAAATGTGCAATATTTCAACTCATTAGTGGAGAGATACCCTGCGAGAGCTAATTTTAACCGCACAACATAAAATGGACTTAACCTGCACTTAACTACAGACTGTTTTTTATCTAAAAGTCTAATGCATCTACCATTAAGCCACCTCACTGTCCAACCGTACAAATGTATTTACTAACAAACAAAAAGTTGTCTTGACAAATGATGTCTCCGCATGACATTGTATCTTTACCAGGGGCATAATACTGCGTGTGCAAACTAATACTACTCTTACCTTCTTTGGGAAGCAATTTCAAGTGGGGATTTCTTCTGGTAAAAATATTGATGACACTCAAGCTAGAACCACAAAGAGATCCGACATCAACGGAAGGTGTCAAATTACAGTTGGTAAGTAGAATAACCATAATTCAAACATTTTTTTTTTCGTTTGGGAGGGGGGGGAGGGAAAGGGGGAGACTGTTTAGAGCTTCTTCTTACTGAAGGAAAACTGAAAACAAAGCAGACAAAGGCACGATAACAAAAGGTAAAGTGAATATGAAAGCGATCTTCGCAGTAATGAACACTACTTAAGCAGTAGTAAAAATAAGGCCTGGAAAAAAAATTCAGCCCTGTACGGGATTTGAACCTATGACCTCTGCGATACCAGTTCAGTGCTCTACCAACTGAGCTAACAAGCCAATTAGGAGCTGGTCATTTTGTTGGTTGGTAATAAACCCGTGAAGTGATGAATCAATTTTTTTTCAGGCCTCATTTTCACTACTGCTTAAGTAGTGTTCATTAATGCAAAGACCACTTTCATATTCATTTCTTAAACCGCAGTTCATATACATGATTTTCATATATTCAAAGTCAAAAGGTAAAGTCTTAGAGGCCAAATGGCCACAACACGCACTGTTTTTACTTGGATTCTGCAGCATAACCTGACTAGGAATAAGTAAACTCAGTAGAGTGCTAGTCTATTCACATAACAAAGGAGTGGGAATAATCAAACCGATTGATGACAAAAAAAATAGCTGGAGAATGAACAGGTAAAAAGTACATTGCTAATATGCAACACACCTGTCACCACCTTTGCTTTTCCATGGAGGAGTGGATGATTTCTTTTTCCCCTTTGCCTCCCTTGGCCCATGTCCTGAACAACAGAGATGTAAATATTATTCAAATTACTTATCAGAATTGCATAACACAGATTTTCCAATTACTCTTTCCATAAGCAACTGCCAATGGTGTAACAGAGAGTTGTGCCTGGAAAAGGGGCCAGAAGGTGCAACCAAAACATGACAGCCTGCTGGCAGGCTAAAATGATGGCGGAAAGATGTCTTAACCCTTTCCACCCTAACATCAGTATGCATATTCTCCATACTGTTCTCTATACATTTCCAAAGGTGCTGACAAGGAGAATTAGGTTGACAATCCAGAGCTTCTGTAGTTGTTGATCATTTCCAATATTCTCATGACCTTAGTACATGTATGTATTCAGGGATGATGTTGTGAGGAGAAATTAGATGCTAGTCACTCGTAAGGGTTTAAGGGTTAAAGGTGGCATTAAACCATGGGTAACTGGCCTCTTTTGAAATCCCTGTGTAGTGTGTAGTTGTTTACTTTTACAGACATACAATCGTTTCTTATAAATAGGTGTGCGCTGTATGTAATTCTAAGCCACCATAAAGGTACTGATGGGGTGTTTTTTGTAAGCAACAAAATACCTGTTGTATGCTTTCTTCTTCTAGATTCACTTGTTGGTGAGCTTTTAACACATGATGATCTATCGTCCTGAAGGATGAAAAAGAAAATAATTATACTAACACGAACATCAAATACATTTGCACATAGTGACAAGACTACTGGTGAGTCTGAACAATAAATAAATGTACCAGTATATTGCACGTACATGTACATACAATAACATCAAGGAATTGTGCTATTAATGTTTAATAGCAACTCACTTACAAGAATGGTTTTCTGTCTACAGTTTTTCAAGATGTAAGAAAAAATGTTAAAAAACAAAAAATGTTGGATCAGTGGCTAATCACCTTAAAAGAACCAAATTTTAAACAAGCAAAACTTATCTCTTTCTTTAAATATTCACAACTTTAAAAATCAGCATAATGTAGAAAAAACTCAGTCATGATCTTCCAGAGTGTCCACTCCTTTTGAAGCAATAGGGTTCAAATGGTGTGACAACAGCATCAAATCAGGAAAATTTTGGCTTTTTTTTTTCCGGAAAAGTGGAACCTTGACCATTCTTCTAACATGCCACTCTTTTGCTAACATAACACTTTACCTTCAGGGACTTTGAGCTTTGAGTTGGTGATTTCGCTGTAGATCTCGCTGAGCTATAAGAGGCACTGATGTCAGATATGATACTCTTGTCCTCATTAGGAACTACAGTGTCCCAAGCTGTGGAGTAATGGGATGACTCTGACGTCCCAGCACCTGAGATTCCTGGTCTCTGATGTAGCCCCTGCCTGACAGTGGACCTAAGGGTGCGCCCAGAGGGAAGTTTCCAGTTTAGACCCTGACGAACACTGTGACCTCTAAAGGCCGCTTGGATTGTTGTTGCAGCACTTGTCCGGGAATCCTATTAACATTGAGAGAGGTGCAGAAGTTTAAGGATGCTAGCTGGCTCTGATGAAGGGCTAAAGCTTGAAATGTCAGCTTTGAAACTCTTTACGGTGGCCGTTATCAACTCAGTTGATAATACTAGATTACCCTGTTATACTCTCCTACCCACGCACCACAACAGTTTCTAAGTAGAAACCAACCCCCTTTATTCTCCCATCCTTTTGCAAAAGAAGGCAAAATAAAATACGTATTTCCACAATAAAACCATCACCTTCATAACTTAGTGCCTGATCTCATTGACATATTAAAATAATTTTGTTTGTAGATTTACATGTATTTCTGTGCTTAAAGAGAAAGTTATCTTAACTTTACCAATTCGTTGTTTAGTTCAGCTTGTTCATGAAGACTTCCAACTCCTGTAACAAAGATGGCAAAAGATATAAATTTACTGAAATTCAAAATATTGTAACTAAACCTTTTTTGTACTTGTCATGGGAGAAATTTCATGGAAGACTGCATCACACCCTCTGTGCCAGGTGCTCACAAATTTTCGGGCATCTGCAATTTATGTCATACACAAACACATGATACTGGTGCTAAAAGCTGAGTTACCAGTACTGTTAACCCTATAACTCCTGAGATCTGATCGACAATTCTCCCCTCCAGCTGGTACACATTTCATTGTAAATTAGTAATGAGAATTTTTTGTTTCATCAAGATAACAACTTTAACCTGATAAGTCTGAGTCTGAGTCTGGATAATGTATGTATATTATAGGGAGAAGTTACATTTTAATCCCTTGTGGGAGTTAAACACAAACCTGGGAGTGCTCCCCTGAACACAGTGTGATCACTAACTGTTGTAAAGGTTCCTTGTTCTTCTGCTGTTTCTTCAGAAGCAGTGGTGTTCAGATTCAGACCAAGTCGTAATGCTTCTGTTGCCAGTCGCTGTTTGAGCTGTGCAGCTGTTTGTTTTATTGCTGCAATTCTATCCTCTCTGGGAGGACTACTTGAAAGCCTTTCCTCCTCATTTCTTGCTGCAAATTAAGACAAGGGGTCACTTTATTCTATATAATAAACTCCTTTAAAAACTTGTTATTTTTTTTATGTTAAGTGAGTACAAAAACAAAATGTTTCCCAGTAATAATCACACATCTTCTTTAAAAACTTGTTCAGTCAAGATGTTTCACTTGAAATCATCGCAATATATGAGGAATCTTTGCTAAATTTTTCAATAATGCATATAATTTCCAATTCCAGGTGGAAACCAGATGACAGTTCTTTCAGAGGTGTAAAGTTTACCAGCTACTATTTATAAGGGAATCTCTGCAGCATAGACAAAAATTTTCAGCATGACAAAATCCTGGCACCCACATAAAAGCTCCCATCTTTCCACACCCAATACAAATACAAAAGAAAATATTTTGTACAATAATGTGTGTAATTTTTTATTATATTGTTATTTTGTATCTTGTATTTTCAAAATTTTTCATTTACGTGTATTAAAATTTGAAAACAAAACAAAAAAAATCTTTCCACACCAATGTTAGATGTATCAAGAAAAGAAGTGTAAAAATGTGTTCTTTTAAATTCAATGGAGAGATCAAATCATCCAATGAAGACCAAAAATTTAACATAAAAATGAAAGAAGAACAGACATATGTATAACACAGTAAAACTACAGACATACCAGATGAAGACACAACCCCTGGTCTGTGTCTGTCAGCCAGCTGACTTGGGCTGGAAGAACGAGGCTCAAACTCACCTGTTGTCAAAAACACATCATGTTGCAGGTTTACTTTAAAACAAATTAATAATATAGATATTGATAATTTTCTTTGATAAATAAAGTTTATGGTGCTAGAAATTATTTACCAGCTCCTAATGACAGTATAAATGTAAGATTCTCACTTCTGGCTAACTCCAACTTTGAAACCCCCTGAATGTAGGCTATCTGCTAACCCTTATTCCTTTTGTTAATTTAGTTTTGTTATCCAGCACAATAAAGTTTGGAGATTTTGTTTACCTTGAATCTGCAAATCATTGAAAGGGAAACAGTTTGTGGTTCTACACGTGACAAACGATGCATTTACATGTACCTTGAGGGAAGCCAACATATTCAGGTCTCAAATCAGTGGTCTTTGTTCCAATAGATACACTAGTTACACCTGGGACTGGACTCTTCCTTTCTCTGTGTGGTTCTGGAGAAATGCTGCCATCTTCACTTAGAACAGATGATGAGCTAGATAAACTGTGGTGGTCTCTGCCATTCACCCCAAGTGTCTCCCTGGATGTGGAATAATTTGGAAGACCTTTGAAGGAGGCGATGTCAAGATTCTCTGCAAGATGACATTAGCAACAGCCTTGAGTACAACATGTATTTGTCCAGAAACACTTTTCAGGGCCATATAGATTAAAGAGTTAAGGTAAACTGACATAAACTATAATTTAGACTCTTATTTTTTGATATGTACCTTTATCTGACCCACTGACTCCAGTATCTTCACTGTAACACTTAAAGGGAAGAAAAAAAGAAGGCAACAATGTAAATAACTTAACATCAAGCCTTGCATGAGACATACTGGGCTTCAAGTAAACAAAACAGAATGATAGTAAAGAATTTTTTTACAATTTCACTCTGATACCGTCGAGCACATGACTTCAATTCTAGATCTTAACTAAACCATACAATACAGTACATGAACAATATAGTATTTCAACATAAAATATTTACTTTCAGAAACTGCCTGTGGGCTCTAAGTAAGTATTTTACAATCTGTTATCTAGCATTTAACCATCAGTCAGTAGTATGGAGTTATTCAGCAATTCTTTGCAAATTCTTAGCTTTTGATGAAGTTCCATGGCATTCTTACAAAAAATACATTCTGTACTTGAAAGAATATATACATGTACAACTTTGTGTTATATATTAACTTGCAAGTAACTGCGAACCTTGGTCAACTTTTTCTCTGTCAAGAGGACTGGATGAAAATTTAACAAGCTATTTACCTCTACTTCATCTTGTTGGAATGGGTGGTTGTAAGGGTATATAATAGATCTGAAATCACTGCGGCCTTTTGAATATGTTTCCCCAAGAGATTTCTTGTCTTTGCGATGAAGGTTGTTTCCAAGATTCTTTTTTTGTCTACTGTACAGTTCCTGCAGAGAAAGGCATCAGCCCATAAGGATTTGTTTTAAATAAAGAAAATAATATTACACAGCTGTTAAAAGTTAGTAGTAATAATCATAATTATAATAATGAAAGTAAACTTAAATAAATTATAATAAATCTAAGATTAGTTAACAGCCCAGTGTACCTCAAGCTTCTTCTTTTTTTCTTCCACAGCCCTTTGTTTCATAAGCCTGTCTTCTTTCAACTTTTCCTTTCTTTCAGCCATTTTTTTAGCCATGTATTTCTGCTCAAAACACAGCAATTCAAATTACTCCATTGTCATGTGTACAATGAGTTTAGGAATTCAGTATAAAATAATCCACAAAATTAAAATATCTTCTAAAAATTCATGGGAGTAATCAAACCAAAATTTGATATTTAACGCATGATTTACTAAAGGTGCAAATTGTAAGTTTGAAATAAACCCTTCAATACCTAAAAGAAATGAGAAACTGATCGAGGGGAGGTAAGCCATCCCAAAAAAAATATTTCTTTTTCTCCAGAACAGATTTCGTATCCTAACCTTAACTTCATCAGTGTCATAGTGTCTCTGCTTTTGTGCAGGATAGCTTGGCTGTTGTGAATCTAGAAATACATTATAATAGTAATAGTTATTATTTGATATTATTATTATTATTATTATCATCATCATGTAACTCTTATTATAACTTCTACTACTAATAATCACTATTATAATTATCATTACAGTTATAATTAGTATCATGATTACTAGTAATATTGCATGTATACTATTGACATAAGTAACATAATATTATTATTGATGGGTAATAACTGGTCAAACGAATTATTAATGATGAGATTCTTAATGTAAGCAGACGTAAATCAAAATTGAGGAAAATAGAAAATGCCTTTATTGAAAATCAGAAGAACTAAATTCCACAGAATTCAACGTAAACAGACAAGGTCACCATGTTAATACTAAATTACTAATTTCATCCTCAAGAGTCACATCAGAAGCACAATTTTCTGATTTTTTTTCCCCAAAGTAAGTTATGAAATAAGTTTTAGAAATTCCATAAAAATATAACTTGCTCCAAACCTTGTGGCTTTACCCTCAATGGTCTCTTTCTCTGAATTCCCTTTGATGACTGCTTCACTTGAGTTTGTTTGGGTTTGAACTTGGGAATAACCTTATCACCATCGTCCTTGTCTGAAGAAGCAAAACAACCAGTTGAGACAATGAAAATATCCAGTTTTATCAATAAATTTTCCCTCCCTATTTGAACACAAAAGTGTAATAAAGTCTTCCTAACCTCATTTTCTCAGAGTTTACAGCAAGTTACAGAACCTTGTTTAATCCACACAAAGATATGTTCTAAATACAAAAACATACCTTGCACATGGATTGTAAATCCAAGCAGAAAAAAGTTGGTCCATAACTTTCAGTACAGACCTCAAATGTTCATATGACCTAATCCCATGACTGACATTTAGAACTGAACATATTATTTGTATATCATCTCATTAAAGTAACCTCTTACTTAAACACTAACCCGATTCATCATCAGTATCAAGTTCTAAGTCAGACAGAATATTTTTTGCCTCTGTGGATAAAATTCTGTTCCCTCTTAAATCTTTCACATCCTCATCAGGGCTAACTGCTTCAAATTCCTTGGCAGCAACTGGAGAATTTTGGGACAGTTCAGAATCTGTTGATAGAAGGAAGAAATTACAGATTCAATCACTTCAGTAATTTTTTTGAATTTGATGAGGGTCATTCAGATGAAAATTATTCACAATTCATCAACTAAAGAATAATGTGAAATAAAAAAACAACAACCTTTTCAGTATGGACATTAATGTAGTTGTCCCAAAGTACAACAATTGCCTCTTCTGTTTTTCTTTTTGTTGTTGTCGTTTTTTTAACCCTTTCACTCCCAGGAGTGACCAAGACATAATTTCTCCTTACAATATCAATACAATATCAATCAGACCAGGGAATAAAGAACAGATATAAATTAGGGGATAATGAGTTTATCCAATACCAAATTCTCTTAACCAACATCATAAGAATTTTATAGCAGACAGTAAGGAGAATTACTAATGAGATCTAGGGAGTAAAAAGGTTAAGGTATTCTGGGTATGATTTATCTCACCTGAGTCCGTCTTCCCTGCATTCACTGCTTGCTCTTCATGAACTGGAGATGCTTCTCTGGAATTATCACTCTTTGCACTGCCATTCCTCTCCCCTAAATCCCCATTCATGTAACCACCACTCCTTTTATTGCCAGTATCATTTTTCAACTGGAAATTTAGACTCCTAGGTTCTGATATGTCTGTATCTTGGCTACTGCTTGACTGGGGTCGACTGGTGGCTGAAGTTTTTGCCTTCTTGGTTGCTGGACCCAAAATCCTTTTCACTGTTTGTTGGCCAGTGCGCCATGATGATGTTGTTATAACGTCTGTTGGGCGGCGAGGGGCAATGACTCGTTGTACCTTGGGAGGTCCTGGAAAAAGATGTTTCATATTAGTCATGTATCTTCTGAGGACTTAACACCTTAACCCCTAAGAATGACAAGGATCTACTTTTGCTTTAACAACTGCAATGTTACGATGAGGTTGAGTGCCTGAGGCATCCAGGAACTTCCACTATCAGCAGCCAGCTCCTAGATGAAGACTGCTTCCATGGCTGGCAAATCCTGGCAACCCAGCCATAAGCCCTCACACAGGAAAGGGAAACAGGCACCCGTCTTTCCACAGTGGAAAGAGGGAGGAAGAGATAGGGAAAACTGCCTACCTAGATGATGAGCTGCCACTCCAAACAATGCTGCAAGTTCACACTCAAAGCACACGCAAGAAAGCCTCAAATGAAGTGCACATGGAATTCCAATGAAAATGCATATGCAAAAACTGTCGACTACTGGAGAACGCTAATGATCTTTGTTGTTAACTCCATTAAATTGCATTTTACTTCATTTAGAGTAATACTACTGAATCAATCATTAACACATGAGAACAAAGAAAATGGTTGCTTTTCACTGTTTGTTGGCCAGCTTGGAAGCTTTAATTGGTGAAAAAAATTCTCCTTGTCAGTACCAGAATAAATATATGACGAGAAAAGTAAGGAGAAGATGGGAACTGATGTAAGGGTGTAAAGGGTTGAAATACCTGAACTAAGCAAAATCACATGTCATAGCATCTATAATCCAGTTTCAAAGATACTTCTTCACTTTGCTTCAGTCTCACCCACACAGACATGCACAAAACTGCCTCTCTTTGCAGAAATTGCCCACTTTTTTTAATATATGGGTAATTCAAAGAATTAAGTGGGACAACTTGCCTTTTTGTTGCAATGGCTTTTGAGGCCTTTGGGTGGCAGCCTTTGTTCTTGCATTGTCAACTGTTGAACTCTTTGCTTTGACCTTTCTGTTAACTTCAGATAACACTGCAGGTTTTGATTCTACCTCACTGAAACCTAATCAGGAATTTTTTGTAAATTATGACAAGACATTTCAAGTTGGTATGTTGCATCACTTGGGTTAATTATCATCAAGGAAAAGCTTTCAAAACATAAAGCATTGATCAGCTCAACTGGCAGAAAATGTTGACCTTTACTACCAATGCATAAAGACCAAAGTAATTATTTCAGCTGGTTACCTTTATAAGCAGGTGCTGCAGGGGCAGAGGCTACTTTTCTCTTGGAAATTGCAGGTCTCATTGGAACATCCAAATCCCTCATACATGGTTCCTCTGCTGCAACCTCCACAGACGGGCCCTCTGAGCTTCGAGGAGAAGGATTTGCAGAGCTTATCCCTGTTTATAAAATAGAGGTGTAATCAATAAAAGGAAGAACATCTAATAGAAATTTTCAAGCTCATGTGAAAAAGATTATTTGAGGGTTATTCCAACAAGAATTTTGAAGGAGTTGCAAAATACATATATGCAGCAAAATTTGTCAAGTATTTGTGAAAAGCACAGTTTAAGGCTAATCTGATGTAGCAGTTCATCTCGGCCTCAAGCCTCTTCACAGATCTTTTGAGATTTTATTGCAAACTCATGAAGCAATGTGCTCAAAGTCCTGTTCACAAATTCAAGACCCAAGCAGTCTTGCCTTCCATGGTAGAATGATTCCTTTTCAAACATTAATGACAATTTACAATTTTAAAATTGTTGCTAATTATGACTGTATTTTCATAGTCCATAATTGTTGTTTTTCAAAAAAACCAGAACCAATCATTGTAAATTATAAGGAGTGGCAATTTGGACAAAGTGCTCTCTAGAGATTTTTAAAAAGCTAGTCATTCAAGAATGGTAGCCACCCCTTCAAAATATGTGGCTGGCAGACTTCCTCCCCCCTTCCCCTGTAACATAAAATTCTCATGTCATTCACCTTCGGGTCTGTAACATGTCAGGCAGGTTTAAAAACAGATAACTGATGAAGCTATAAATGCTGCTAAGTATTTAATAAATAAGATGCATTTTCTTCACCTGCGATAGAATCAGTTGGACTAAGCCTTGAGGCTTGTTCTTTCTGTAGTTTAATTCTCTCTTTCAACCTTGCAAGTGCATCTGTAATCAGAAGTTAATAAAAAACTAATCAAGATCCCTCAAGGTCATCAGGGTAAACACAAATATAGTCCATTGAGACAAGCTTGCAAAGCTTTTTCACATCTTTCAGCAGTACGAAACTTTATGGCAAACATTTACTATTACCCTGAAATTAACCCTTGAACTCCTAAGATCTGATTGGTTATTCTCCCCTCTAGCTACTACACATTTCATTGTAAAGTAGTTACGAGAAATTGGTGTTAGGTCAAGATGAAAATTTATTTTCTCATCACCTGTTTGCAAGATAATGCATGAATGTTATAAGGAGAAGTTAGATGTTGAAAACTTCTGGGAGTTCACAGCAGTAATCAACAAAAGTTCTATTAAAGACAGCCCCTTAGTCGGGAAGTTACACAACACATGACCGGAGAAAAAAATGACAGTTTGAAAGAGAAACTTAGAATACCTGAATTATTTGCTATTACAGGTCTGAGTCCAAGTGAGGATGTTGGACGAGTTTCACTCCTGGACAGTCTAGCTGTACTGCCAACTTCCAATGAATCATCAAAGCTAGAGGAAGAAGGGATGGTTGAAAGACCTTGAAATCTGACAGGTGATCTACGAATTGGTTTCTCATTTGCCCTGTAGATTGACGAGTAAGCTGTTGTCAAAACAGGATCCACACCATCCGTCATTTGGGGGTATGTAGGGAAGACAGCTGGTGGATTTCTTGTGGTGGTACTGCTTCCAATCTCAGCAGGGTGACTATCCCTTGACGGAGGAGATAGCAAAGAGGTGGGTGCTGGTGCTCTGACTGACGACTCCTGTCTGTTCCCATTCTATGGAGCAGCCAATGGAAACAAAATAGCCTCAAACAATTGATATATGTACCTAGCATGAAAACTTTGCAGGAGACTCACATCACAGATTGGCAGTCTTTTATGCTTTGCCAGAGCAAATTTTTGTGGTTCAAGATGACTGAAATTTCTGGTGTATACTACTTTTTTAACTTTCTTTTTACACAACAGACAGAAAACAATAGAGGAAAATAGCATTTTCTAATGTTTTAACTAAGTGAGTAAAACATAGGAGCTAGAGAGTAGATGATTAACAAATTGACAGTTAATTAGCATGTGGAGTTTTGCATTTGAAAAAGGGTAACATATTCTAACTTATAGCATTTTGGTTTGTGAGATTTTTCACTCCTTAAAAAGTTACTCTTGCTCATTCATCAAACCCAGGGTTGTTGCTAAGAAAAAAAGGGAGCCAGCTAAAATTTTAAAAGTCCAGCCAGCCATTGCTATTTTTTCGTGTAGAAAATTTTGCCAAGAGCTGGGGCTTAGCAACAACCTTGTAAATCTGGTAATAATATAAACGTGCAAGACATTTGAATTTATCTGTATCAACTATTTGGTCAATTGCAAAATAGCCAGACCCAAAATATCACGCATATAAACTGTTTCCTTACTAATGAAAACTCAGGTGATCTTCTCACAGGCGAGTTGGTGCGATCCTCTCCAAAAACAGTTGCAGGTCGTGCACCTTGTCCATATCGACCTGGTCGCAGTTCATATCTGGACACCCGTCCATATCTCTGTGTCTCAGAAAATACTTCTTGTAGGGGCTCATCATTATCCTCCACTCCAGAACCGAGACCAGCATTTGCTTCATTAATTCTTGCTTCCGCAGCTTGGAGCTGTTTAAAACAATTGATAACTTCATAAACATAAAAAATGCACAATCATTGTTTATTATCCAACAGCACTAAGTAGAGTACAAATAATGCAGTTGGATAAAAAACAACTGATCAGACTTTTGGTGAGTAGTGACTCTACCGGCTTGTCAAAATATGGCACAACTCAAACAAAAACACTCAGAGATACTAGTGTGCACTAAAAGGTCTAATGAGATATATATTCATGATATCTAGAGCTCATTCTAAATATTGGCTAGAAATACAGGGTCCAATATTGTATATCTGTGATCACCAAAACTCTTAGTAACAATAGCCTATATTTGGCATGAATAGTTGTCTATGGGCACCACCAGTTTCAAAATGCACACATCTTTGCAAGAGAGAAGCTCGGGTAAACTGTGAGCTTCAAAAAACAGGTAATCTCCAAGGACAAATATACATGCATCTTTTCACCAAATAGGGGTTATTATCCTTCACATATTTTGCAATGTGCATAAAAAAGATGTTTATGAACAGCTTACTGTTTGCTGCATGGGAGGTTTTTTTTTTAGTGTTCTCTGGTACAACTTAATGAACAAACAAATATTTCCCTTTTCCTGTAACCACTAAATGCTCTCTCATATTGAATTAAATTTCAAAATACTTATTGTAGGGGAAGTAAGGTTTGAAAATTTGGGAATATCTCTTGGGTAATATCCTCAGATATCCCCCAGTTTAAGCTGGGGGATAATCCACCACGTGCATTCAGACCAATTACATGCGAGCAAATACATGTAATGGATCATAGCCTACAATATCGGTCCATGAGAATGTAACAAACAAAATGTTGTACAAAAAACCTATAAAACAGCATGAATCTTATACTTCTCAATCAAGTACTACAAGTTCAGTAACTTTTAAAAGTTAAATTAACTGGCTGATGTTCACACGTTCAAGGAGACTTGATTAATTCAAGTCAACACTTCAATTGAAAAATAAATCAAACAACTAAATCTATACAAAGGAAACGTGGATAACACGGAAATACTTTTATACGAATGCAGGCCTGCTAAAATATTTCAAATTTTTAATTTTTAAGAAGGGCAGATCGAAAACTCGTCCATGAACGATCCCCTAGCAGCCCACCTGTTACAATGGAACCAGACATACGTGATCAAATTTCACTTACCGCAGACTTCACTTCCCCGACGTTTTCCCATGCTGCTGCCAGGTCTGCAAAATTAGCCAAAACAATCTCAGTTTTCGTGTACAACATGTAAAACTTACATTAAAAGGCGTTGAAGAGCACACTCCAACTCCGTCTGGTACAAGTTTTAAAAAACATATCATGAATCAAAACAAAACAAGGCGATTGATCACATTAATCTTGAAAACTTAGTAGGCGAAACCAAAGAGCAACGGTCACGGCCAACACTTTTACCTTACTTCTTTATTTTACCATTTCTTCAAAAGCACTACCTGAGAACGAAGTTTGGTATTTTCCATCTCTCGGTAAAGGGCCACGCTGAACCGGAACGGGATCTACGATGCGTCGACCACGAAACAGCGTCGACGAAGCCATCAAAAAACTTTCGCTTTCGTCAACAGGAGAGCATCAGACACAGACAACAAAGCTTCCGCCATATTCTGTTGGCGCTCAGGAAATTATAGAAGGTCCATCTTTCGAATAATACTTTACCTGTTTATTTTCCCAAACAATTCCTTACCGTTTTTGAATGAAAAACACTTTGAAATCATACATCTATTTAGGGAAAATGACTCTACCACAGCCCGCCATTTTTTTGTTTTTAGTGCAAAGCAGTGTGGGAAATCAGCAGCGCTTGGTGTCTCATGGGAATTGTTATTACTTGAAGTTTGTGACGAGCGGGGGATGGTGAGGGACGGGAGGGAGCACTACGATTTTTGCCCTAGAGAATGCTCTCTCTCTCTCTCAATGCAAGTGATTTCAGGCACGAAGAGCACTAAAAAAATAAAAATAAAAAAAAGACTTAAGAAAAATAGACGTGGTATGAATGAAATGACAGAAAAAACGAAAAAGCATACACATTTATCAAGAACGTTTAAATTTCTAAAGTTGTTTTACACAACAATCAGGACATCTCAAGACAATTTAGGTTTTACTCCATCAACTGAGTTGATAATGCAAATTGGCCACTGTCATGAGTTTAAAAGCTGATGTTTCAAGCATTAACCCTTCGTCAGAACAAATTGAGGAATTGTGGATTGCGGGTTTGTTAGAAACCAACATAGTGATCAGCTCCCAGTTGGCTTGTTAGCTCAGTTGGTACTCGGTAGAGCACTGCACCGGTATCTCAGGGGTCGTGGGCTCAACTCCCGTACAGGCCTGAATTTTTTTTCAGGCCCTATTCTCACTGCTGCTTAAGTAGTGTTCATTATTGCGAAGATCGCTTTCTTATTCATCCCTGATCTTCTTGTACGCTAACCAGAAAAGAACAGCCACGATGATCACGTCTTTATCCGCAGTTCACATATATATGATTTTCATATATTCACAGTTATTTAAGAATAAATTAATGGAATTAAAAGCGTTCGTGGATACTGTGGGGATTAAGAGTGCCGATTTCAAAGACAGACTTTCTTTCTAGGGTTTTCAGCCTTTACGAACTGCCTCGATGTAAGGAAAGGCGGCAGACTGCCATATGCTGCTTAGAATGATTAAGGAGATTAAGGTGACTACCGACTGGTTTGGAAGCGTCCTTGTCATTCCTCTCTACGTCGCAAAGGTGTTTTCAGAATCAGTCACCTGGTCGTCTTCCTGTTTTACCAATGTATATCTTTTTGCAGTACGTGCAAGTTATGCTATATATGACATTGGAGCAGATGCACGTAAAGTGATCAGTAGTCTTAATGGATAGTTTGGATCCCGATATTTTCTCAACGTTATGAATGAAAGAACAAGTTTTGCATCGTATGCGAGCGGAATTCGAAAGTTCCGGGTTGGTCGTTAGTTGTAAGGAACTTCCGACCAAAAAGTTGCCTATGGTTTTTTTGCGTTTGAATGAAATAAGTGGAGGTTGCGAAAAGATAGTCTCTGAATCATTTTGAAATAACTTATTTAAAATTTTTAGGAATGATGGATTTAAATGCGTGGTTGTGAGGGTGAAATGTAAGAGTGAACGGAATGCAATTGGCATTTTCCTTCTGTGACAATTGTACGGTGGACTGTCGATCAATTTGTTGAGCGCAGTGGTGGCCCGCTTGGACATACATTCTAGGTATTTTGACTTAATGCATATCGGAATGGGTACGAATCGACCAGCGGTTCGGGTACGAACCGACTCAAAACGGGTACGAATCGACTGAAATTTGATGCAAAACGACTGGGTACGAAACGACTGGAAACCCCCAGGGTACTTCTTAGCAATAGGATAATGAGGACATGCTGCGCTTGAATGGGGTCGCATTTTGACGACTGGATTGACCATTATGTCTATAATGGGTTGCATTTTCAAAATAGTGGACCCCTAGAATGGGGTCGCACATTTTCGGGATTTGGGGGGTACGAAAATACGTACTGCTAAGTAAGGATTCAAAATGGAAAGATTTGCGTGTAAAAAGTGGGATCGTGATAATTATATTTGCCCAAAAGTAACAAAGATGGGGTCTATAATTGGCCTTAGGATAGACTATGATGGGGTAGCAGCGGCTCATACCCAGAAAAAAAATTGACCCACCCCCCCCCCCCCCCCCCCCCCCCCCCCCCCCGCCACCTCCGCTGGACAAACAACCCGCCTTAATAATAATATTGGTCTGCCTTTATAGGTATTGACACATTGTGCGGATCAATATTAGCTGAGTGGTTTCGAACTGACGGCGATCTTCCCTAGAATATTTTGTTTATGAACTTCTATTCGTCACATCGAGTTCATTGATTTTAGGAATTTTTGTCGAGCAATTAACTCTTATCTGCAAATCTTTCCCAAAATTTTTAGTGGATGATAAAGAACGTAGGGTCTTTTTTGTGCGAGCCTTGTTTCCGAGGCGAAAGTGAAGAAGAAGGAAAAAAGCAGGAAAGAGCAGCGACGCGAAACACCGCGAGAGACCTGGAACGAGTGGACAATCAAATTTCAAAAATCCACAAAAGTGGAGAAACAGACAATCCAAGCAGGACTACACATGATAACAGTTAGGTAGAGACAATTTCTCTTGTATAGTGGCTTCTAAACGTGAAAACCGTATATAATAACAATTGTTGAGATGCAAAGCTTTAGTGCGTTGTTTTGGTCAAGTCGCAGCGGATTGGAAACTTGCGATTAATTTATTACTGCAGGACCAGTCCGACGAACCCGCAACTCGCTCTCGACAATAGACTTCGTTGTGCTATCGTGAAGAGTTATTGGCAACCAATCCTTATTCAAGGAATTTTTGGTGTTTTTTGACTCAAGGAAAATGGCAGTGCAAGCATCGTGTATGGAGCTTGCATTGGAGGGTGAAAGACTCTGCAAAGCGGGTGATTGCCGCGCAGGAGTAAGTTTCTTCGAAGCAGCGGTTCAAGTCGGGACAGAGGATTTGAAGACATTAAGTGCGGTGTATAGCCAATTAGGGAATGCCTACTTCTATCTGCAAGAATACGAGAAAGCCCTAGAATTTCATCGCCATGACTTAACTTTAGCAAGGACACTTGGAGACAGAGTCGGGGAAGCTAAAGCTAGTGGGAATCTTGGAAACACCTTAAAGGTTTTGGGAAAATTTGACGAAGCCATAGTTTGTTGCACTCGACATTTAGACATTTCACGGGAACTCGGGGATAAGGTAAGCTTGCATGTTTTGTAGGGATTTTTGAGCTTGCTATACAAATATCTCATTTGGGTTTTAGCGTAAAGTTTAAAATGTAGAAATGATAAAATTGATTTTGCGGGAGCAGTTCAAAGGTGACAGCGAAATTTACAATAGTACAATCAACAACAATGGGGGATTTTTGATCTTTCTGCGTATAAATTGATTTAGCTAATTCTCTTCGTATCCTTTGTTACTGATGTCATTTTCGTTCGTCTTTGAGTGCTCTTTAGTGGTATGCGATTTATATGATGCTTGTGAGTGTGTATGCTATTTTTAATTCACTGGGAAGCATTCTTGCGGTCTTTTGGTGGTCAAAATAAACATTGGCTTTCTAAAGTTTGCTAATCGCAGCGCAAACGTGCACATATTCAATCCACTGCTTGTAATCATTTTAATGGCCGCCGAAAAATTTTTACTAAACACGCAACGGTCCTTTACCAAACCGAAATAGCAATCCGAACTTAACTTCAGCTCTGAAAATATTACTAGTCCTATATTGCTATATTGAAAAATTTTCAATACGCTTGCTGAATACGAAGGCATTATTAAATTAAATATATTCTCTAGTTATGCCAGCAGTTGTTCTAGCGTTGTTCGAACTATTCATCAGAGGTGATTCCAATAGGGGACAATGTTACCAGAGAACGCTGTACTCTTTTTTTTGTTATGGAAAGTATTGTGTTAACGGTAAATTGCTATCCTTGATCAAAGACCGACGTGTTTCAGACCTCCATGAGGCAAATACCAGCGTGATGTAATTGTATTGTACTCACGAAAAAGGAATATTTTTTAAGCATGTTGACGCGATCGACGCGAAAGTTGCATCCTTAACAAAATTAAGAGTTGTTCTGTATCCCGGCGAGGACGTAATTCAACGCTTTGTTCGAAATGTACAAATTTAAATGCTGTCGGTGTAGATTTCATTTCCTTGATGTGAGTGTATTTCACCAATTAAATCGAACATAACGACGCCGATCGAAACTTATTTGCGCACAAGTAGAGTGAGATGAAATGTTTTAATTTTTGCGATTACTCTGTCCACCAAAAAGACTGATTTAACTTCATATGTGATTAGTGACAAAGTGGCATTCAAAGCCAATGATAATATTATTGGTTACCAAACTATGCAAATGTGGATGTGTCTCCAAAGTCGTGATAACTTCGGAAGTGTAATATCATGTGAAATATCCGGTGTAACGTATATTATTTGCACTTAATATTTACAGCCTTCGGTCTTACTGGGCATAATATTTCTTCAGTCAAAAACACTGATTTCTGTTTTTTTAGGAATCAGCAGAGTTCATACCACACTGTTTTTCTTCTTCATAACTTGTTTACTTTGGCTAATTGGCACAGAGGCTGTGGATTGCCCTAAACTGAGCTACCTGTGCACAACAATTTTTTTTTTCAGATCACTCACCTTACTTTTAATGGATATTAACTACACATGTTTACATATTGAAGTTTTACAGGAGTTGTTGCCAAGCAAAATTTGAAAAGAGAACTATTCATTTACATATGTTGACAGGCACCATCTTCAAGACAATTTCAACTGTCTTACATTCTATTTTAAAAGTGGTTCCAAAGGAATATACGATCTTTGTAAACGTTTTAAATGTGATTTTCACATAGGCTTGTGCAGGTATTTTTTCAAATCAATTTTTAGCCTCCTGAAAACTCTTCAAATATTGCCATTGTTGTGAAGGAAATGCGTCAAAGTTTCTAGTACATTCTTACTGACTGGTCTCCTTTTTTTGTTTTTGCTTTAAAAATATTCCTTGATATAGAGTAAGGACATCTTATTTGTAGCTCACTACTGGAGGGGAAAAATCAGTAATTCAATTTTTTCAATAATGATATTCCAGTTCAGGTACATCAAGAGTAATGTCCTACTTGGTTTTTTGATATTGGTGAATGACTTTTCGAGAACCTTGGGGCCATTTTATGAGATAAAAGATTTTTGGATTTGTTCCATTTAAACAGTTTTTAAAATCATTTATAAGATCAGGAAACAGTCTTTGAGTGTCTTTGAAAATATGTCAAAGACTTTTCCAAGAATTTTCATTTGTACAGACAATTATTAGTACATTTTGGCATTACAAGGCATTAAAAATGTTTTTTACTAGAGCTGGCAGTCCACAAGCTTGGTGGATTGCAGCAGAGGTGGTGACACCAACCACTTAAGTCATTTTGGAACTGATGAAAAACAAGAGAAGACTAAATAAAATGACTTTAAGGCTTGATACTGAACAATTTATACAGGGACTTTTTATTGACATTAAGTCAAAATTCAAAACTCAAAGAAAGTATGGTGTAGTCGTAAACTGATAAATGCACTGTGCTGTACAGTGACTCTTTTTTTTTTCGCAGTCTCAGTTAAGCAAAGTCAAATTTTGACAGGAGTGTAAAGAGTCACCCTCATCACCATGCACTTGCTTCTAGTCATCTGGTCAACACATAAGATAACACTTGTTCTGCAGGGGAGATAAATGGGCAATGACAGCTACCTTTTTTAGTATTAGTCATGACGTTTAATTGTAAATGTATCCCCTGCTTTGTTTGAAGAGATTGTCATCCTTTGGGGTCAGTCAACACTTTGATTGGTCAACTGTTTGGCTCGTTTTAGTTTCTGGAGAGCAATTCATTAAGTACCACTAGTGATGCAGTGTGGCAGTGTAAATAGTAATGTTGCAATATTATAAAGTGAGCCAACCAGTGAAACTGGCTCGTTGCTAAGCTGTAAAATAACAGTGATGTCAAACAAAAAAAAAAGCAATGATTTAAAAATTACAATAAGAATCCCCCACAGAAAAGAAGAACCCTATAACATGTGACCTGCTCCCAACATGTGGCTTAGTTGGTGTAGCACCATGGGGTTCAAATCCTGTCAAAGCTCATATGTTTTTTCAGGCTTCTTCACTGTGATCACTTAAATTGCAGTTCACCTGCGAAGACTATTGCTTTACTTGACTAGGTTAGAAGTAAGGATGATAGATTTATACTGACAGGGGTAAAAATAGCTTGCTGAATTGTGAGGGTTTTAGGGATTAGAGAATGTAACAGTATGAAACACAAACAGCATTAAGCAAGCTGACATCATGAAGCTCGTAGGTTTTAAAGGGTTAGTACATCCAAGTCTTAAGAGAATTTGGCATCACTTTTTACATTTAGTAGAGAATTAAATGGTTTTGAGAATTAGGGTTACAGTAATGAAAAGCTAAATTTCCTTTGTTTTAAGAAGAGGAAATTGTAATAATCAGCACTGTATGAAGAAAATGATGGATAGAATATTAATGTCAGTTATGAGGTTTAATTAAATGGGTGAATATTATGTTTGCAGATTGGTGAAGCCAGAGCCTTGTATAACCTTGGAAATGTGTATCATGCTAAAGGTAAACACTTTGGTCGAAATTTCCACCAAGATCCTGGAGAATTTCCTGAAGAAGTGCGGTCTGCACTGGAAAGAGCTATTGAATTCTATGAGTAAGTGATTCCTATGTAGCCCATCTGCTAAATTTCTCTTGATTCCATTTTGTCTGTGATCTCTGATAATCTATGTCTAATATAAATTTATTGAAGAGTAGAATTTCTTCATGCATGCTGTTCCCATTTCAATAATCAGAAACTATTCTGTCTTTAAATTTTAGGGCCAATCTTTCCATTGTGAAAGAACTTGGTGACAGAGGTGCACAAGGGAGAGCCTGTGGCAATCTTGGCAACACTCACTACTTGATAGGAAACTTTGAACTGGCAATCATGTTTCATGAGGAGGTGGGTGTCTTTTTTTTCCCTCTTTACATATTTCAATCAAATTTCAATCTGGTAGTAAAGATAAAAGGGTGATGCCTATACTAAGCCAAGTGGCTCCACCAGTGGGAGGTTATCCCAGTTTCCATAGCATGAAGCAACTAGGATTAGTATGCCACTAAATCTCTGCAGAGCATTGTCTCATGAGGTGATGGAAAGAAATAGAGCAGCCAAATGCTCAGAAAGGTTACCTTACAGTGAGATAGAGATGGTAAACCTTGGGTAAATAACTATGAATCAAAGGGTACTTACCATCATTCAAATAGGGTAGGGGAGGCTAGTCTACTTGTAAAGAAATTGAAAATATCAGGCAGAGCTGCTTAGTTAGAGCACTAAATTCCAGAATTACAGTTAGAGCACTAAATTCCAGAATTACAGGTAATACTCTTTTCAGCTCTTCCCACCCTAAAAAGCCCCTTTTTGAAATAAGTCCCCCCCTCACCCCCCATATCCTTGGCGTCAAATTTTTGATAATCACCCTCACTTCATGTGATTTTACAATTTGTCTTTGTGGTTGGTCATCTCCGTTAATGGTAAGTGCCCTGGCCAGATTCTGTGGTAACCTCTCTATTTATTGTGATCTAAATCCAGAGGTTAGTCATTGCAGAAGAATTCCATGACAAGCCAGCAGAAAGACGTGCTTGTAGTAACCTTGGAAATGCACATGTTTTCCTTGGGGAGTTTGAGGTTGCAGCTGAGTATTACAAGTGAGATAAACTTTTTAATAGTTTTCTTTGAGTTAAACATTCACTGTCAAATGAGACTGCTATGGAAATTCTCCTTACAGTATTCATATATTTTTAAGCCAAAAGGTGACGAGAAGAAAGAAAATCATCCTTAGAGCTAAAATTATGAGAAATGAAGGGCAGACACTAAACAGAATTGAAGTCTTGGGAGTGAAGGCGTTAAGAAAACCCATTAATCTTCTAACCCTTTAAAGTGTCCAGCATCTAATTTCTCCTCACAATATTACTACTGAATCACACATTAAGGCCATGAGAATATGGGAAATGATCACTACCAAAGAAGCTCTTTATTGTTAAACAAATTCTCCTCGTCAGCATGTTAGGAAATATATGCAGAACAGTATGGAGAATATGCATACTGGTGTTGTGGTGTAAAGGGTTAGGCAAAGATAAGGCTAATTTTGGTTATGGGTCAGTGTCTAGTGTGCCTGCACAATGAACTTCACTCTTGCAAGACCTTTCTTAGCCTTTTATAAATAAATAATTACGTGGATGACCGCTGAATACAGGGTCGACGGTATATAAACGTGAACACAGAAAAGAATCAAGAGTATGAGAGCCCAGAAACCTTGGCCTGTAAACTAATCAAAACTCAGGAATTGCAATATTCCATGACTACTTTTGATAAGCGTATAATGTTACCTTGTTTGCAGGAGAACACTGGGGATATCACGTGAACTGGGGGACAGGGCGATTGAGGCACAGGTAATTTTAAGTGGTTATAAAAACGTAGTGTATAGAAAATAGATGAAGAAAGGCGTTTAAGGAGGGATATTATCGACGCATCGCGAGCTCTAGACGAAGTAAAGATCCTAAACCATTATATTTCCCGGTGCGAGCTTTACCACTTAGCAAATAGATTCCATGTTGTCGTGGGACAGTTCAGTGTTAAACCATAGATGATGCGGTAAGAACGAAAAAGTGGTACACAAGGCGCAGCATGTTGACATCATTTATACCTCTGTCCTCCAAGTGATTATCAGGAAAAACCAATCAGCGAGTATGGTTCAGCTTAGCATGTAATTAGCTTTATATAATAAGCTCAGTTATGCACGCATTCTGATTGGTTCTCACTTATGATCTATTGGAGGTACAGATGACGTCATCATTAAAACTTTTTAAAATTGTATAAAAACAAATAGATTTCAAGTTGCCGTGCCTCTGTTCAGTAATAGATCACAGAGGACGTCAAAATGTGGTAAGAGCATCAGTGACACACTCGGCTGCGCCTCGTGTGCCACTTTTTTGTTCTTACCACATTTTGACGTCATGTGTGATCTATTGCTGAACAGACGCACGGCAACTTGGAATCTATTTGTTATGTAAATAACTCTGTGGAGAGCTATACCGAAAGAAAACGATAAAATATGAGCTCAGTCGTTGAGTTAGAATAATGGTATTCTGTTTTGGCTCAAGTTACGATAATTAATTATTTGAGCAACGTTCCTGACATAACAAAGAAGCTTGCTAATTACCTCAACTGTCCATATCAACCGTCCATCCGGTAAAAATTTTCTTTTCTAGATAGGATTAGGCAGTCAAACCTTGAAAACATTCTTTTTTTTCCTGGAAATCCAGGCCTGTTACAGTTTAGGAAACACTTACACTTTACTCAGAGATTACCAGGAGGCAGTGGAATACCATTCCAAACATTTGGAGATCGCTCAGGAACTGGGTGACAGGTACGCTGTACATTTTTTTTAATGGACAATTACCTAAGCCACCTGAACCACTTGCTTTTGTTTTTCAATTTACGCTTTAAGAGCAGAATAGCAGAAAACAAAAGTCTCCTAACTGAGAGAATCATTAACACCCCTTTTGCTTGAGCACAAAAGCCACACTTGTTTGTTACTCTAAATCTGCATTATCCATGAAACATTCAAAGCCTGTCGTTATTTTTTTGTCTTCATTTTACTTTCCTTTCTTTGTTATTGCGTTAGTTAGTAAGTTTAACACTGGTTACGGTATTCAAATGAGTTAAACTTTCTTTCTTACAGAGTCGGCGAAGGTCGTGCTTGTTGGAGTTTAGGAAACGCGCACACTGCGTTGGGTAATCACGAAACAGCTCTGGATTACGCGCAGAGACATTTGGATATCTCGAAGGAGGTAACGTGAAATTACACAAAGCAGATCTATTGTGTAGTGTACATCTAATTTTCCTGTAGTTCAACGTAATAATTTAAAGATGCTTCAAAGAGACGCTTCTCGGTCATTTTTTCTTTGCAACAAGAAATAATTTTTCCTAGCAAAACAGCAAAATGTTTCAAAATATTTTGAATAATTTTTCGTGATAAAGAGAATTTCTCAAAAAAAAGGAAGCCTTGAAATTGCAGTTTTACGTCTGTAGAAAACTATCAGAGAGGTGAGAATAAACCACAGGGAAACCAGGATAGCTGAGGATGGAGAAGAATGAATCGAATTGCTCACTTTTAACGTAAACAAAATTATGCTTAAGTTTTCAAACTCTTGTACATCGTTAACGACGCCATATTAGCTTCTGTGCTGAGAAACAATTTAAGGACTTTTCTCGTCTCTCTCTAGCGATGACACATTAAAAAACATTCTTGAAAATTAGCACTTTGTGTTCAATCGCAAAAGTTGACTCATGAAAATTTAGCCTGGTCCATCAAATCGCTGAAAATCGAAAGATTGTTAGCTTATTTATATCACAATGAATGGAGTGGCAGCTGTGTGGCTACTTTTGTGCGCAAGAGTAAGGTGTAAATCAGCCATTTTCACGTTTTAATGCCCCTTTTCAATTTTGTAGCTTTACCTTTTGTTGGGAATTAAACCATTGTGTATTGTTTGGCTGACATCTTGCTACACGCACGTAGACCCGTTTCAAAATTGAGAAGTTATAAATAGTGTTTATTGCGCAGGTTTTCGTTTACTTCGCTCTGTGATTGGTCTAAAAGACTCGCGCCAACATCTCAGCCAATCAGATACTAGGGTGGAATCGATCGCGACGCGGTCAATGACGTAATATTGCTTCTGAGGTCGTTATCACGTATTTTCTTATTTGCGCTTTGATTGAGTGTTACAACAACCGGCCGAAAAACAAATTCAACTCTGAATACATTAAAGTGAGGGTATTGAGTTGCAGAAATTAATCTTTGGAGTGAATGCCACGCGGAAGTGAGTCGGTCATCACTGACCCTTAATTTTGGTTGTGTTCGACATCCTCAGTTTAGGAGCGTCATCTAGAGTCTGTTACTGGCATAGCCCTGTCCAGGATAGCCAGGTGCGATGAAAATCGCTCATGATTTCAGGTTTTGTATCGCGGTTATTCCAAATTTTCTTCGAGCAATTTTTTTCTTCCTTTTTGGAAAAGCACGGACCGTGACAGACTTGTCAGTAGAAATGATAATAGTTCAATAACTTTATTCAAAGTACTCTTGCTGACTCACTCTACAACACTGTACTATACATCAATCTTCATTTCTCTATTGGAATGGAAACGATAAACCCATCTTCGCTTTGGGACCATGTGAAGTTTCCGCAATTTTTTTTCGCCGGAAGGATTAGGGTAGTCACAAATGTATCCAGCTATTGGAGATTCAGCCATGGAGATTAACTTCAGTTTGAATTTTTTACGGCAGTTATAAGCCTATTTTCCTGCCCGCCACGCGTTGTTCCAAAGGGAAAAAAAACAAAGTTTGATCAGTTGATCTTCCTGGGAGTCTACTGAAATGTTTCTTCACATTGGTATAGTGGAAAAGCAGTTTCATGTTATTATGGACATATCATTTTACCCAAATAAATGATCGCCATATATTACCTCGCCAAGTTGAAAGGGTACTAAGCTGCGAAAAATGTAACAGAAATATAATGTTGTTTTAGTGCCGGTTTGATTCTGTGATAAACATGAGTTTGAAGTATTCTCACATTACAGGGATTTATAAAATTTCCAACAACAGATCTTTTTTGTATGTGACGGGTGCTCTGGTGAATATTGTATCACTTTATTTTTGAAGGAGCTTCGTCTTTGTGATAGTTTATTTCGTTTTATTTGTTCAGCTTGTGTATTAATATGCGATTCTCAATTCCAGGTTGGAGATCGCACCGGACAAATAACGGCGCAGATGAACATCTCTGACCTCCGGGCCTTACTTGGAATTGAAGACGATTCTCACGATACGTAAGTGTCGTCCTTACACACAGACCATAAACTGCCTTACAAATAGAGAAATTTTTAATCGAGTATCGAAAGTAATCCGGGAATACTTTGGATTTGCTTTACTCCGGTCTGTGATTGGTCTAAAAAACTCGCGCCACTTTCTCGACCAATCAAATGTACTCGAAAAGCAATCACGACTTGGTCGGCCGCGTTTTCCCGCGCTTTAGGCAGTTTGATTGTTTTGGTTCTTAGAAGTATATTCCTTTGTTCTGATTGATTGTTGGAATTGTTCTGATTTGGGTTTTTACGGCACTCTATCGAAAAGCGTTCCATGAACACGCGAATGCCGGGTGTGTGAGTTGGTTTTGTTCACGTTTGTTATCAATTACAAACTCCAAGCTCTAATTTGACAAGGTGATATCTATTTTTGACTAAGTCACTATCATGTTTAAGACAAGAACAATTCTCAACAAAGGACATTGAATTATGAATGAGTTTTGAGAAATGTGTGTTTTAGGCTGCAGCGTGGGCGTTTATTTGGCGAGTGAGCTCTCACTAAAAATTTATGTGTAAAAAATTTTCTGCCCCTTTGGATTTTGAAAGTAAAGGATTTTCCATCCGATGGAGCAGACGACAGCCGTTACAGCATGTTCTGTTCTTGCAGGAACTCAAATAGCTCAGCATCTGGAATTGCTGAGGGCGTGCATCGAAGCAGCCCGGGATCTATTAAACAACTCTTTAACAAAAAATTCAGCAATTTAGAAGGAGGTGAGCAATAACAGCGTCCATCAAAATCGAAGCAATTAAGGATCAGGACTAAGTATAGCACAGCATTCACTACCAGTGAGGGAGGGGGGTCAATAGAATACTACAGGGCCCTTAGGGGGAGGGATCGGCCAAATTTTATCATAATCAACCAAAATTATCCGACCCCCTCCCCCCCTGCGAAAAAATAATGACCAGTTCTTTTTATATCGCCATTCCACTCTCAAGAATTAGTATCTTTTTTTCTTTTTTTGAGTTTGTGATTTGTCTGCCTTGCCTTCGAGATGCTCTTCAGCAAATTATGTAACCCTTATTTATACTGGGTCTAAACCGAACCGCAGTTTAACACAATCAGTGGGCCAAAGGCTTTCTCTGTAAGAGGATTGATTTGATCTAAAAAATGTCTTCCCTCTGTTCGCTTCCGGCATTCTTGACACTATTCACATAAAGAAATGCTCAGATGAAAGGTTTAGCTAAATCGAGGATTGTTTAGGACGCGATTTTGTTAAACAACGGCTAAGCTTTGTTTAAATAACCAGCCCTAAGTCTGCTTCCATCTGTGCGAAATTCTGTTTCAAAGATTATTCCTAACACTTAACATTTATTTATTCATTTCTTTTAGCTAGTATTCACACATATCTTTTATCTCTTATTTCTTAAAATGATGATTACGATAGTAGTATTTATCTACTGAACTTTCTTGATATGTATTGATGAAACATTTTCCTTAAAAATCGCTCCCCCATTGGACGAAGCAGTCATATTATAACATTTACTAAGTTTAACAATTACGAAGTATTTTGATTTTGTGTATTTCTTTTTCTCAGATAAAAGGAAACTGGAGTCAGCTGCATCTGCTGATGTGAGTTTTACCATAGAGAGGACCTTTTTCTTTTGTTTTTTATTGTTTGTTCGTTTTCCTTTTTTATGACTCGATCAAAAGTTATAGCTTTTTCCGCCCTACTCAACATAGCGTATGTACTTTCTCGTTAAGGACTTCTCTGTACCTCAGTTGGAGAGCGTTTAAGTCACACAACCAAATCTTGCGAACTTCAAATATCTCGCTCTCTTACTCTCTTCATGATAAATAATAATAATAATAATAATAATAAACACAGTTCTCATAGACAAAATAACAAATGTCTTGTATGAAACCTCTTTGAGTCCTAGCTCTTGTTTACGAGACTGAAATTCATAAATTGATCGTCCTCAAAATACATGTTTTTTTAAATTTTATTCATGAATTTCACTACGTACGGCTAAAAAAAAGAGAGAGGTCTCTGTCTGTTTGTTTTCTTCATACTACAAAGTTTTTTTCTCTAAGATTGTGCAATGACCGAAGTAATTCCTATGAATTCTGTGTTTTTTTGAAGATCTCTTCAAATGAAAATGAGTTTAGTTTGACGTGGATTTTTGAAAGCGAATTCTCGTCTAATATAATTCATTATGTAACAGAGGTAACAAGACTGTTACTGTTATTTTTTTCCCCTTTTTCCCCGACACTTTTTTTGCAAACAACGTTCTTGCAACTTGTGTAATTTTTTTCTCATTAAAAACCTAAACATCTCCATGTTATGCGAAAGAATGGTGAAGGACGTGAAAATGTACTTATGTCTCAATCAACCAAATCGTTCAAAATACATCCTTCAGCAATAGGGAAGTCACGCAGGCGATAAATCTTTATGAATTTCTTGTTTTTCTTATGTTGACAACGAATTAATTAAAGCGCTTTGAATCATATTGAAAATGATTTTAGTCGCCAATTCGGTTTATAGACAGATTCTTCTAATTAAAGTTTTCCTTTCAATACATTTCATTCTTTAAGATAAGTCAAATACCTGCTGTTTACCAAATAACGTTCCTACATCGTCTAATATCGTTTGATTATTGAAACCTAACCATTTGTTTGTACAATGGAATCTTTAGATGAACAAATTCTTAGAAGATTATACACATGACAATAATATTCGTTTCAACAACGTTTTGATTTTTCCAAGCCATGATTTTTAAGTCGGCGTCATCTCAATTTCTTAACAAATCAACGAGCTGGTCAATAATTCGTGATATATTTGAGTTCTCTATTTATAGATTTAAGTTGACCACACATTAACTTTAACAGATCTTAGAAACATATAGAATATTTACTGTTTCGGCGCCCGATAAGTCTGAGACACGAAATCATTCAATAGAGCTTGAACAATAGGCTAGTGAGACAATTGCTCAATGCAGTACTTCCTTTAACAATTTCGGAAGTCACGCTTAAGCTTTTCCACTTTACTAGAGGAAGCGAACGAAATTTTGGTTACTCCGTGCCACGATTTTCAAGTCAATTTGGGCTGCCAAATCAGGCTATGTTTCATGTTATATTTTAGTCCATGATGTAAAAGTTTCAGTTGTCCTTACGTGAGTCAAACAGAGCAGAGGATTATATTGGGGAGTTGTAACTGTTTCGGTGCACAATAAGTTAAGCTGCAAATATTTACTTCAACGTTTGAATAAAATAGGTCAATTTTTCAATGCAATTACAATGCGATACGGAAGTCACGCACCAACAACCCCTGTTAATTACAGGAAGCATTGTACTGTACACTTGATATACAATGAAAGGCGTTTTACAATTCATACGCCCTAGGTATTGTCTGAAAGTAATATATCTCCCTTGTAAGCCGGCATTATTTTAAGGCAACAAGAAATCCGTTCTCGTGACTTCATATTTTAACACAGTTCATTTTACACCGAAATTAAATGGCCTGCTGTCTTTAGACTGTAAAGTGTTTGGAGAAATATATATTTTCGGACTGAACGTCAAAAGCTCTTCTGGTGTTAAATGCTGTAATCCGCCACAAAAACAGACCACCCACAATCCATTTTGAGGCGGAATTAATTAATTGACCTCGATCTGGAATTCTTTACCCTTTCGACCAACAACTACAAATTTTTGTTAGTTTCAGATGAGAGAACTTAGAGATCGAGATCGCAAATTCTTAAAACTCAGGTTCACCAGAAATTTCAGTATCGCTACTTTAATACCGCGAGTGATAAGAACAGGAACTTGAAAAATATATTTTTTATTCGTTCTTCTTTTTTTCAAACATGCCTCATTATATGGAAGTGATTTTCCATGTTTTTTAAAACCTTAGGGCAATTTCTTTCTATTTTCGAACGTGCTGTAGCGCGGAAACGTGTACCTCCTCGAGTTATTTACCAAGATGATACTGGACTTTCTGCCCCTTGCGCTTTTGTCTCAGACGTGTTAATGACTCCTTGGGGAAGTAATTCACAGCCACTTTGTGGTCGAATTTTCGTAATATATTCGAGAGGTATAACCACTTACAAAACATTCGTGTTCGATTCCTACTTATGAAAACCATCGCGTGAAAGCGCAGAGTTTTGAAAGAAATCTTTGTTTTTTTGGCTCACGCAAACGAAAAAGATTTGCTTCCAGGTTTCGTGTTTTTTTATTTCGCCGCCCACTTAGAAACGGATTTAAAAAGGTTAATCCTTGAGTTTATTTAAATGACGTAATGTTTACTTCTTGAAGCGTATCTGGGCACGTTCTTAGTTGAAGTGTTTTTAAAAGCCTTGAGTTTGGCGTTAGATCCAGTAGATTTTACACCCAGAAGAGAAGATCAAACTCATCTCCGGCAACACAATTCACCAAAGTCTTTGAAGTTTGCAGATAGTTTTCTAAAATGGGGCTTGACTGCTCAGAGCTGATGGTATGTTTCATTTCGCGACATTTTTGAGTGATAGCAATGTTTACGTTTGCATTAAGTCTCTTCAGAGATAGGAACTGTTTAAAAACTTTATCAGATTGCAATATATTTTTCCTGGAGCTCACTTTCTTTCGACCATCTGCCAGTTTGTTTCGACTATCTGCCAGTTTGCGAGCCCTCTCAGTGGATAGCCAAGCTTTTCGGTGGTCGATTTTGCAAGAAATTTGTTTTGTTAGTCAGGACTCTCTGAGAAGTAAATCTTTGTGTCACTGTCTTTGAGTTTAGTTTCCCTTCGCGGGGAGTCAGACTTTTTTTTGGTTACACTTTCGCGACTAATGCTATTCGACATCAGAGATAAACTTGAACTAAATCTCCGCACGGCACACTTTGTTCGACATCAATGCTAGTAGTATTCAGAACACTTGTTGCATGTGATCTTAATAAATTGACCTTAGTAAATCTCGCCAATGAGTTCTCTGTTGCTCGATTGATAAACCATAGGCCCTCCAAATTGGAAAGTCCAAGATTTGAATCCTCAGGGGTACACAGATGTTTCTTTTTTTCTCCGGCACGTTCAGCCAAAAATTTAAATACAGTTTTCTTTATTTTGACTTACATGATCTTCTTGTTTGTTCAGGGGTGAAATTTTTAGCGAGAAATTAGTTAGTTGCTGGTCACTTGTCTTAGGTATAGGGTTAACTTCACTTGCTTTCCTCCCTTTTTCAGGGTGTGACTAAGCCTCGTTCGTCGTCAGTGAACTCGAGGAAACCTGTGGATCACGGTGATGTCCAAGTTCGTGTTCGCTCCGATGAGGTAAGCGACTGAACATAGATCTGAAAATTTTAACGTTTATTTTATCATTAGTTAAGGAAATTCCAAATCTCAAGCGCTTTGGGAATGCATTATTGTGATATTAGGAGCTCTAACACCAGATAGCGTGACTGATCAGTTAGGGCGCTGGTTTCGAGTTCCGGTGGTTCCGAGATCCAATCTGTCCACTGTTCCATTACAAGATCGTTCTCGTTCGATTGACTGATTGCAGTCACCTGATCATAAAAGTGTTATTTTTACTCGAATTGCTTTTCAAATACATCATTTTCTTCGAGCCCACAAGCCGAGAGCTCGAACAGATAACAGATTTTATTATTTAGACCGCGGTATCAACTGCCACGCGCGCGAAGATTACAGTTACTCTTTCAAAAATTATTTCAGAGGACCAGGGGATGGGTTCACTCCTCTTTCAAGTAATATCTTTTACCAACAGAGTTCGGCAACATGACAGCCTCTGGGCCGCCGATCGATTAGACGTAAAGATTATAGTTGTTCTGTAAGTGAATAAGACGGTGTTGTGATGATCATTCGACACGGAGCCGTAACCAATGTTGAGGTTTTGTCATAATACGAAATTTATGAAATAAAAATTGATACTTTAATCGAGAGCACTCGTCCTGCAGACTTCTGTGTTCGTTTAATTTTGGAACACCAATAACAATTTCTGATTTTTTTCTTGTCCCCACGCTGCTATGGCTAAGAGTTTTCTGCATTGTCAAGGAATTGGAAAAGATTAAATCTAGAACCTTCCTGAGTTGAAATGACGACATAGTCTAATGAGCTTCTTCGTTGAGTAACTGTTAAATATATTGGTGAACAAGACTGGTGCCGTTTAAGAATGTAAAGATGACTTGAAATTTGTCAATACTGGTTTGTTTCCCTCGATTTTCATGGCTTTGCTTTTTTTGTTGTTTTGGCGTTTTGTTTTGTTCTGTTCTGTCTTTGGTTCGTTGCAATGAGGGAAATGTACGCGTTTTCTGTTCTCTTTGCGCCCATCCTTGGCCGAAAAGCAGATTTATCTTCAGTAAACCAACCAGCAGTAGAGTTGTCCTTGCGAGTAGTAAGAATTGTCCATGTAAAGGGAAAAACAATTGTGTTTTCCATATTGCAGTTAGAGGCTTCAAAGGTAGCCGGTGTGTCTAGTATAGCCTCAAGCAGATGTAATCAGTTCTAGTCAAACCTGACTGCTCTCTTAAGAGTGCGTCATGAAATTTTATTTAAGATTATCAACCTTTTTGAAATTTAAATTCTCCAAGTATCACTTAAAATTCTTATCATAGACGGCACTTCAAACTGTCGCAGAAATGAAGTTTTTGGGATCGTGGAGATAACAATCAAATGAATTACCATTTATATGTACAATTTTGCAGAAACAGAATGATCATGCCCTGAACGAAGACTTCTTCGAATTCCTGAGTCGTTGCCAGGGTAACCGAATGGATGAGCAGCGTTGCGAGCTCCCTAAACCAATCGAAAAGAGCAAGAGTACGGAAGACATGCTGGATATGGTGGAACGAGTACAGGGAGACAGAATGGAAGAACAACGGAGTGATCTTCCTTTCGAGGATGACCCGTCTCAGATAAGTACGTTTGTTTCCGAGATCTGACTTTGTTTAATCCCTTAAGAGACCCGTCATTATTTATTGCCGGATGGCCCGTGGGGGTTGTCACATTTTTGGTTGTGTCACAATAAGATTAAGCGCTTCAAAGCTGAGTATAGCTTTTAATTAATGTGGTGATTAAGATGATGTAACTTCATCCTATAATATCCATACATTATCCAGGTAACAGGTATTGAGAACACTCAAATTTGTCAGGTTGAAGTTGTTGTCATGACCTAACGCTAAATTCTCGTTATTGATTTACAAGGAAATGTGTAACAACTAAAAGGGAGAATTCACAATTAGATCTTGGGAGTTAAAGGGTTAACAGATTTTGATGAGTTGTGGTAGCCACGAAATGTCTTTGTTCGAACTTGCGTTACTCAAGCGGTGAATTATTAAATATGGTGAAGTGAAATTATCACTAACGGAATATTAGGAACAAAATTGAATTCAACCTTTTTTTCCATTAAGGGAGACTGCCAAAGGGACGAGACAACCCTGGCGATGAAGATCTTTATGAAATGGTTCTCCGAAGTCAAGTAAGTATCGTTCAGGGTGCTTTTTGTCAATAACAGCTCGACTGTGTTAACAACTAGCCTACGAGCAGGTCCTCATCATTTGAGAGAGAGTTGATTTCCTTTCACGCTTAAGATGTCCTATTGAATCAAGTACAGAGGCGCATTGACAAGTGAGAACAATTCCGCGGTTTGAGCCTGTTAGATGGTACTACATGTATTCAAACAGTGAAATAAAATCGACTGCTTGTATAATTTTATAATAATAATAATAATGATAATAATGGTAACTATCCTGATGATTATGATAATAATAATAATAATAATAATAATAATAATACTTTCAATATTTTTGAAAGTAATCAGTTCTTGGGATACCACCGAAAAAAGGCCAATCATTAAGATTTTTCATTCCTCTCCCCAGTCCCACCGTATTGAGGATCAGCGCTCGGAGCCGCCGCCCAATGCGCCCACAGTACCTGACGAGGACTTCTTTGGTCTGATACTTCGCCTTCAATCAAATAGAATGGACGATCAGCGTTCGTCTGGTCCCGGAGGTCGTAAACCTCAAATACAACCCAGGCGATAGAGAGAAGTGAAGAAGTAGACACTGTAGCTGTAGCCTTGTATTATTTGAATTAAATGGTGCAGTTTGTAGTCGTGTTCAAACATGTTTGGCTGGACTAGAACGTCAAAAACGCTACAAGTATTAAGGAATCACGAGCTTGAAGGGATATACTATACGGCGATTCGTTATTTCCGTAGTCTAGTGAATAAAGATGATATTTTCAGCCCGTGTACTTTTGTAGCTTAGTTCTGTCAAGAAAACTTTTTAGAGGACTGTATTTTCTAGGCTTTTCAAGCGATTTAGTTAGTGTGATGTGAACGTGACAAATAAATTGTGTGACAATCAGATTTGCGTGAGTAACTGAGGAATGGACGCTCGCAGAAAGCCTGGGTTGTTGTAGAGTAGCTTAGTACGTGTCATCTCTCTTTGGACATTGGATTTTAACCGCATTTTGCCAATACAGTTGTAAAATAGTTGGAGGAAGTAACTGATTTTTAGCCAGGCTAACGTAGAAAATTTAAATATTTAAAACGCACACGAAATATAGATACTACTTGCTTCTCAACGACGCGAAGTGTTCCCTGTAACACTTATCGGCTGTTTTTTCACGTTACGTTTTGTATCACACGACACACAATATTGTAGTGAAGGGAAAGAGATTTGGGTGATTTTTATCATTTTTAACCCCAACCGAGGTGTTTATTTTTCAGAACTCAAAGTCGTTATCAGATTTGTGTATTTTTTAGACCAAGTACAACGTAAATTTCAAATTCTCGTAGCACATTCAAAATTTGAACTCCTCTCTTATTTTACTAATTTATTTAAGTCAGATATCTTTAATAAAAATGTAGAATACACTCTAGGCGCAGTGATTATCGCAAAGGGGAACATAATTAATTTTTAGGGAAAAAATATATTTCTTGAAAATCAGATGGATTTTTACACTTGTGAAATAAGTGTGGCAATTCGCGATTCGTTTTATTTTTGTATTCACGACATGTACAAAGCAAGGAATAAAGAGAATCTCAATTCTACTTTAACTTGCGCATTTATTCTGTACTACTCAGTGGTCTCAAGTAAGAGTGACAAAGGATATTTCAAGATTTTCAACACGTTTCTCAGGACAGAATCTGGTATACTGCATTTAAGATCTAAACCACACCTTTTCGTTTAGCGGCGTAATAGCGGAGCTCGCAGAGCGTAGCCCCATAATTGTACAAAATAGTAGTAACCCATCGACCGTACAAGGTGCTACTTTTAATATGCGTGGTGAACTCTACCGCGGGCACGCCAACGCCACGGCTTTGTTCAGTAGTCCAGTGGTCAGTGCACTGGGCTCTGAGTCGGACGACCCGGATTCTAGTCCTGGCCGGGGCAAGGCGTTGTGCCCTTGAGACGTGCGGGAAAAAAAATGCGAGCTCCGCTTTTAGGCTTGGCTAAATCTATATATTAACCCACACGGGATGTCGGGAGAATACGAGAAAAGTTTGTTAATCACTCGCCTCCGACTCGTGATTGAAAATGCGGCCTACTGCTTAAAAAGGAACTGTGGTTGTGTAATTAATGATAGGTTTTGACTAATCAAGGCACTTGTACCATCAGTTAGTTTATAAGGAAACCCTCGCCTCCGTTTCACCTTGGGAGGGAGGGTACGGCTACACGTAGCCTACAAAGTTTTAGGTGTCCCTATATGTAGCACCTGTGTCTGTTGTCATTGGTGCGTTTCGATCCTCATAATTATTCCGACTTAGAGCTGCTGTTCCCTTTATGATTATCTCATACAAGTTTCCTTACAGAGTACTTTTTTATTACTAAATTTCAAACTTCAGGTATTTCTGAAAGTCTAAACAATATCTCTATTTAAAGAACAGATACATCATGGTCGCCTTCGGTGCAATAATTAACGGTTAACTGGAGACAAGCGACCTCTTGTGCTGCACTCGTACGTAACATTCCTTGTTTACAATTCCCGTCTTGTCACGTGTCTTTTAAACACGTCTTGAGTGTGAAACGACTCAAGTTTGGGTGTAGCTCGACCCAGTCTCCAACCGTGTTTTCACATGATTACACCACAAGCTGAGGTTCACTTTTGGCTGCTCGTTGTTGCACGAGCCTCTGTTCCCCGGGCAGCAGTTCACCCTCGTACAAGTTCTCTGTTAGAAGAAATCATCGAAGTCAAACGAACAGGTAGAACTTGGGTGTAACCATCATTCCGTTTTGGATTACCATAACGGTATACTTCAGATCAAATTAGTCATTCTCCTTACTGTCAACCAAACAATTCTTATGGTGTTCATTCAGAGAATTTAGTATTGAGTCAACTAATTATCCCCAAATTGATATTATTCTTTATTCTCATCACTCATCTGGTTGATTTTATATTGATATTGTAAGGAGAAATTCTGTCTCGGTCACTCATGGGAGTTGAGGGGTAAATTTCTTTATCATGAGTTAAACTTTAAATTAACATTGAAAGAGGCTAAAATTGTTAAATCACCTCTAAATAAAAGCAACGAATTCTAAGACCAGGTAATTTACTATGTCTTAAACTCCGTATTCGTAACACATTCCGTTTCAAAAGCCAAGATATTTCAGATGAAAATAAACTGTCTACTTACCTGCCGTACATTCGTCTGACGGCTGAGCTGATACTAGTACCCAGCCCAACACGGCCCCTAACACGCGCATGAGGTTGATGATCCTCCAAGTATCCAACAACGAAGAAGTCTCCGCGTGTCCCCTGCAATAAACAAACAAACAAACAAGGTAAACAGTCGAATGGAAACAAACACAGAAAATACATCAAGAGCCAAATATTGGGGAATTTATTTCACTTGAGCCTTGCAGAGAGCGCTGTTTGATTGAGTGTTGTAAAACCAAAACCACAGCAATCATCTAGGCCAATCAGAAAAAAGGAAAATACCGTAAGAGCCAATGAGAACTCAAAATAAAAACAACTCAACTGCACAAAGCGCTGGAAAACGCAGGCGACCAAGTCATGATTGGTTTTTTGATACCTCGAACCACAGATAACTGTGTATATTCTTCTCTTAATTTTACCTCTCAACCCAACACAGTCGAAAAGAAGACGCCCCAATACCTTGTTTGATTTTGCAAAGAAGAGGGAAAACAATTCAGTAATCTAGAGCCCTTATATCGGGCTTGGATTTTCCGGACTCTCGTTCTTCAACAAAGGCACTATCAAAATTCCACTGTGAGCAATAATGTAATTCTGATAACGAGCGCAAAACCCTTAAACTTATGCTTTCTCGAAAAGACATAAACTCACCATAAGTCGCTGTGTACCTTGTACAAACTGATTCTGTCGTCTATGTTGGCCACACTTATTGAAAAGACCATAGCAAAGAGGTATGCTGTCACAGACAAAAAAAAAGCAAAATTGTTAAAAAATTTCAAGGTTTATGATTAAACGGGATTAAGAATATTTCCCTTAACCGCAGGTGCTAAAAGAGATAAAAGGAAAGCGATCTCATGAAGATTAACCAACCGCTTCGTTAACCCTTTAGGTCCTTTCATCAGCGTTAACATTTCCTACCGTACGAACATGGAGAATTTTTTTAATAATAAGGAGCTTCTTCAGTTGGTGATCATTTCATTCATTCTCGTGACCTTAATGTATGATTCAGGGATGATCCTATAAGGAGAAACTAGATGCTAGTCACTCGTAGGGGTCAAAGTGTTAAATGGACTGTGCCTGGGGTATCAAGAGGCTTCCACTATGTCCAGCCTACCGTCACATAGAAGACCACTCCCGTAGCTGGCAAATACCCTAAACCTAAACAGGAGCCCTTCCTGTAGCTACCTGCCAACATTGATTGGGGCAGGGGAAGGAAAACAGTGGGCGAGGTGGAGATCCAACAGCTATGAAGCAGATTCACGAGAAAAACAGAAGATCCGACCTCAATGAAGTCACCACATCTCACGTGAACCTAATTGTATTGTAAGTTGACAAGAGGAGCCTGTTTAGCTCGTGGCGGTGAATACTGATAAACTGTATTTTTTTCTTACGCACCACTTATTGAAAGAATTCTAGATGGTCTCGACAGCAAGTCCCGGAAAAAGCCAGACCGTGGATTTGCCATATCGTACCTGTGACATACATAACAAAAGTACACGTTACATAGAATCTTTTTTATATGATAAGAAAGGTAAAATGTTTTTAATTGTGACATCATCTTCGTATCTTTTCTCCAACAGATCATAAGAACCAATCAAAAAACCTGTCTGACTGAGCTTATCATATAAACAGTATACCATAAATGAAAAAATTACGCACGTCTGATTAGCTGAAAATGTGTGAATTTTTAATTTAACGCGAGTGCAAAGTTGTAACACGAGTGCAAATTACAAATAGTGCGCGCGCTACCAAAACTTCGTCCTTCTTGAGTTTCTGTGATGAGTTTTTCATGTAAATTATTAACAAGTAACAACATGATTTCCATAACAATTTGGTGTAAATAAGCACCTTTAATTTTTCAAAGACTACAAATTGCACTCGCCCTACGGGCTCGTAAAATATTGTTGTTTTTGAAAAATTTATTTGTGCTTATTAACACGAAATTGCACTCGAAATCATGCTACTACCTGCACAAATAGATAACAGATGACGGTAAAAGGTGGTAAGAACAGAAAAGTGGCACAGGAGACCCAGCTGAGTGTCACTGATGTGTCACAGAGTGTCACTGTGATTTATTACCGTACAGACCCACCACAAAATTGAATCTGTTTTATATGATAAAAAACCAAAATGTGGTTAATTGTGACATCATGTATGTGTCTGTCCTCCAATAGATCATTAGCGAGAACCAATAAAAATGCCTGTATAATTTGACTTAAAATATAATATCCATTGTAATAGTCTTCTCTATTCCCGACCATCCTTGTTCTTTCAAGGTTCAATTGTGCTTCTCTTTTGTTTTTCTTCCTTACCAAATTAATACTTTGTGATCACAATCAAGGAGCTGGTGGTTAGCACTTCACACAAAATTACACTAAACACTATAAAGTAAGTCCTTAAAGAACCCTTATCTCAATGAAATTATATGATAACCTGAGTTGTACATGGCTCTCACTAATGATCTATTGGAGGACAACTGCAGAGATGACATAACCTTTAACAACATTTTGTTTTTTTATCATATAATACAGAGATTCCAGGTTGTCATGCATCTGTTCAGTAGAAGATCCCAGAAGACAATATGGCAACATGGAATATATTTGTTAATCATAGCACAGATGGACGTCAAAATTAAAAATAATGCGAACCTGTCAAAGACAGACACTGTACAGATTGCAAACAGCATGTAGTATAGTGACTGTAAAGGTTGCGCCAACTTGTAGTAGTTTTCCAGGAAGACCACATCACCTTGGCTGTTATTACTAAGCGAGTAAACAAAGATGACCTGGCAAAGTGCTAGACCTGAAACAGAGTGGAACACAAAACTGGTTAACCCTTTGGAGAACTTTTTGATGGAGAGCTGTAATGTCAAAACCAAGGCAAACACATCAGCTAGTCAAAGCACAGAACAGCACAAAGAGTTCACTAGAACTTAAGGTAAAAAAAAAACAAACAAACTGCCTAAGGGGTAGGAACATGCAAGTTACCACTAGTTAACCCTTTAAACCCTAACATCAGTATGTATATTCTCCATAATATTCTTAATATATTCCTTAAGGTGCTGACAAGGAGAATTTGTTCAACCCAAGGCTTCTTTATTTGACGATCATTTCCTTACTCTTGCAACCTAATGCAGACCTAATGTGTGATTCAGGTGTGATACTGAAGAAATGAGATGCCTATCATAAAACTTGTGCTAGCATATTATTTAAAAGCCATTTCAGTCTGTGACAACCTGCAAGAAGTCCATGGCAGAAAACAGAAAAAGATCTAAAGGCTTTATGCACTGACTGAAAAAGATAAAGAAAAAAGAAAGATATCATTGAATTAGCCATGTCAACAACAATGAAATTCTGTAAGTAATTCTGAAACTTTTTAAAAAAATTCAGGGCTGTCATTAGATAGATGTATAATCTAAACTGAGAAGGCAGCTGAATTGAGTTATGCTTGTGTAACAGGCATAGTGAGTTGCTTTGAAATATGCCCTTCGGGAGGGGGGGGGGGGTCCCCTGTGGCTTGCCTTCCTGGAAAATTTTGAAATTTGAAAAAACTCTCTGACATGTGATTCTGGGACATATATACGCCAGACAAAAACATGTATTCTTCTTGGAAAGATACATTAAATTGGCTTCCACTGTTGCATAGTCTTAGCTTTCCAATGAAAAAAAAAATAAATAAAAAGTCTACCCTAACCCTTAAAGTGTACAACATTCTTTTGCAAATGAAAAGTAACCAGCTGCAAAATTTTACATTTCATGCTTCAATGTAACTGGAATTGTGCAAGAAGACAAATTTTACAGGGTTGGGGTTTCTAAGGGTTTTTATCATGACCTATATAATGGTGAGAACAATCTAACAACTTAATCAGTGACTAAGCATACCACAGCAAATTCAGCAGTTGTCATCTGCATGGAGGAGGGAATCTTTTCAGGTTCTTTATTTCTCTCCTCTTCCATTTGCATTAACCTTGTTTTTCTCTCCCGTGTAAATCCCTGGCCATCTAGAATGAAACATTAACAGACTTCTTTTTCCTTATTCAAAGTAAGAAAAATCTGGTAATCCTTCATACCCTAACAACAGTATGCATATTATCCGCACTGTTCTCTAATACATTTCCTTAAGAGCTGACAAGGAGAATTTGTTTAAAACAAGCTGTAAGTTGATTAAGAGATATTAATATTGTTACATAATCATGTATTTTAAAAAAGAGATCACTACAAGGGCACAAATAAGACACAATCATTTTGAGTCTTCAGAGGGAGAAAAATTGTATGTGACTTCTACCAGATAAAGGATTTTATTTTGAAAACAAGATTGTATCTTTACCATCTATACCATGCGTTACTTGGTACAGTTCTTTTTTTTTTCTTTTTGTCAACTTTTATTTCAGTGAATCAACGATTCTCACCTCTTCGTTCAATAAAAACAACATCTAGTGGTTGACTTGGCAAGGTCTGAGCCACAGGGGGTAGGGCAGGGGGTGATGTTTCTGAGGTGTTGCTCACGACAATGTCTTCTTTGTCCACTTTATAATAGTCAACTATTGAAGCTGTAATGAACAGTAAGAATACACAAATAAACTCAAATTAGATACAAACAAATACATAATCACTCTTTGAAAGCTTGTAAGACAAAACTTTAAACCTTTGACTCCCAAGATCTGGTAGTTAATGCTACCCATTCCCTTGCAAATTAGTTGTGAAAAATTTTTTTTAGATCAAGATAACAACTTCAACCTGATTAGTTTGAGTATTCTTATTACCTGTTTGCAGGATTATATATGAATATTGTGGGAAGAAGTTACATGTTAATCACCACTGGAAGTTAAAGGGTTAACAGGATAGGTGTTCACACACCTGAATGATTTCAACTTTAAAACAATTTTTTTTTAAACAAAATCCTTTTAAAATATCAAGGCACATGGTTTTTAATTAACGCTGAAATTTTGCCTTACCTTAATTTGGAACTTACACCAATTTAAAAAGGTGTTAAATTATTTACACTCAAGGAAACATGTCAATATACAACAAAAAAAAATCAATCCTTTAACCTTCTTCATCATTATCGGCATTATAGTTGTCTTCCTCTGCTGATGTTCCAGTTTGCTGTCTGAGAATTAATAAAATGAAAAATATTGTTATTAATCTCATTTGAGAAAAATATACTGAGAAAATATACTGCATTTATTTGCAAACAGACCACAACTTTTCTTTTTTGCAAAAATGGGATCAAAGTTAGGGGTGCAGCATATATGCAGGTACAAGCCTTTTGAAAAATCATTACTTTGCATATTCAAACAAAATCTTTCACTTCACATTGCTGAACTTCTTCTTTATTAACAAACATCACTTTCACATCGAGTCAGTAATCATACTACAAATACAACTAAATTCCTAGATAATCTTGGTCCTCTCTGAAGCAATGGCCACATCAATTTTTTTTAGGTTCTTGTTTAGGGAATTCCAGCACAGCTTGCCTGGAATAGCAATTCTTACTCACAGCATACAGAGTGCCTCCTTTTCCCAGTCACTGTGCTGGAAATTTCACCACCACTCCTCTTGATAAAATAGACCACAATTTTGCCACATGCCACTAGTAAGTAACATACTCATACCAGTGGAGGGCCAACTCAAGAAAAGAAAACTCATTATGCACCTTTGAGACTTCTTTGTTTTATTTTTCTTTGGTCTTGTCCTCTTTGAGTCTCCTGGGCCGTCATATCCATCATAGTCATAAGTATATTCTTCACCATTGATGACATCTCGGGAGCCTGAAATAAAACTCATGAGTTGTTATATAAACTTTTTTGTACACTTTTTGTCTACAACAACTTACAAAATTTTCTAAAACCAGTAGTTAGATTTTCCATGCTCAAGCTTCTGAGTCAAATGACAACATTTCATGCAGGAGGATGGTTGTCAAAGATCTGCCCCAAAACTGAAAGTTATCTGATTATGGCAAAAACAATTCTTTGGCCATGCTTTGGCAAACTTTTAAAAGCCCTAAAAAAAACTTGAAACCCCTTTCCATATTTTTGTGGGTTTCTTTTTATTTTTCACACTTTTCCAGGTGTTGAAAATTAAGTCTTAATTACACCATGCATTATGTTTTCAAATACCCATTCTCCTAAAAGGTGTTCCTTTCTCCTTAGAAAACTTAAGATTTCTAAACATCTGGGACATCTTTTAACCTAACTTTGGACAAATGATAATTTATTTTGTCCATAACTAATAACTTCACAACCCATACAAATAATAACTGCTTACAAAAAGAAAAATAAGTATCATTTTAGGTTAGTGTGTACCTTACAAGTGTTTGATTTTGAAATGCAAAATGTGGCTATTAATTTCCCTACAAGTCCAGCTTTTTACCCTGCAGTTGTTGTCAGATTTTTTGGACAAGTAACCTTGTGGTCCATAAAGGAAAAATAGAGAAAGTTCTATGCCTTGAGCTTGATATGGCTAGCCAAACATATCAGTTTCAAAGAGAAAGAGTACCATACATTTTGCTTAAAAACTTAAAAAAAAAAAAACAAAAAATAAATTCACCATGTGTTCTTTTCCTTCTTGGCCTTCTCCTTGCAGGAGTAAAGTTTTCAGTATCTCCCATCATATCCTCCTCGTCCCTATTGATGACCTCAGCACTGGCTGATCTGGCATGGCGAGTTACACCAGATGCAGGGCGTTTATATCTTTTCTTTTCTGGTATATCTAGTGTTTTAGACTCCATTCCATCATAAACATCTCCTGAATAAAAGTAAATTAATTGAACAATTATTCACCTAAGACAAGTAATTATTGTTGAATAATCCAAAAGACAAGCAACTGTGTTAGTAAAATTGCCCAGGTGCTTTTGAATTCTGATGTAAATTCTTTTTGATGTTAGAAACCATTCTGTAACAATTGTTTTGATTACTTATATCAAAATAGGCAGCCAGTGTCCACTGGAATTTAACCGGTTTATTTAATTCAATCACAATATTTTTCTTCTCTTCACCTTTCTACCTGAAAATGTATTCATACTTTAGGTCACTCCAGAGAGCGAAAGTATCACATTTCCTTGAATAAGTACCCATACTCCAAAAGGCACTCTCTCCCCAAAAAGCACCCATTTCCTAGGCCATAATGTCAAACATATAAATAACAGGGGTAAGTTTCTAAAAAACCTGCATTGGTGGGATAGTATAACAGGGTAATTTAGTATTATCAACAGACTTGATGAGGTAAATTTGCCACCATAAAGAGTTTCAAAGTTGATGATGTCAATCAAGTGCCCTCTTGAATAAGTCCTCTATTCCAACATCACTTTCTTAAATAGTAGGAAATCAATACAAAGAAAACCTGTTTCTACTGCTGCTAACTTTTTACGCTTAAACTTCAGAGGAATCCATACAGGAAAATAATAAGAGCCCCCTAGACTAGGTGCCTTCCTTTTTGCAAAAATTTTCAAACAAGCGCTCTTGGGGAATATTCTAGGAAATAAGGTATCAAGATTTTCTGAAGGACAGGTAAAAGGTATATTAACCCGAACTTTTTTTTCTCTAAAACAAAACTTAGGGCACAATCTAATGGAAAAATCAAATAAATCATGTTTAACCAATAGATGATAAGGTTAAAACAACAACTCCAGATTGTGGAGCTAACAAAATCAAATGAGACTTCTACTGGTCTTGAACTTATGTCTCCCACAGAAGGGCTGGGTGCTGCTATCAACTGAATGACTGACAAAGCCAAATACTACGAGGATCAGGAAAGTCTGAGCGGGCTTTACTATCTAAACTAGTCTATAACCTGTAATCTCGCAGCTACGGCAGGCTTAGAGCTTGTGAATAAGAGGAATTATAAAATCAATACTTTATTTTGTTACCATTTTCCATCCTGGACCTTCTTCTCTGTCTTCTAGCACGGTTTTTTCTTTCCGAAGTTGATTGCGGAATCCCTGAGCTTCCCTCTTGATCACCAGAATTATTCGACGCGCTACGAGTCACTCCACCTTTGTCGCCGTCTGCAACATCTTGAAGAGGAATTCTCTCTGGTAGAGAGCTCGGTGATTCTATACTTTCGTTTGTGTAATCGTCAATTTCTCTTGACATTCTCTTTTTACGACGTCCTCGTCGCGAACTGGGGTCTCTAGAGCTTTCTGTATCGATCGCAACTTCAGCCATGTTCTGAAGCTATGTTCGTTGAGATTTGAACTTTCCCTGTGACAGCACAAACTTAAAGCGACTCTAACCGTCCTTTTATGGGAAAATACATCACCATAAGTGACTCAGAGGCTGTGATTAAGTTTCAAATGTCATGGACCAGATGTTTCGAAATGAAAACGTTCAGCCTATAATTTTGTCACACAGCTGAACTAGTGGATGTTTTCTTGTTTTTCATATTCTATGTATACAAATTCCATGGAGACCTGGGTCAGAGCCATCTTTGAGCATACTCAGTTAGGAAAAGAATCCTCTGACAGGTAGCAAGTGAAGGCTCAGCGCATGTGTTTGCTCATTACACCGCTTCGGTAATCACTAATTGCCACGTGGAGGAATGCTAAAAATTTTATTTGTATTCAGTATTTTGAGGCTTCCTTTGCAGCCCAGAAACATCTCCCAGCAACTATGAAGACTGTACTTATGGTAGCAGAGAAGCCTTCCCTGGCTCAGTCAATCGCCAAATTTCTCTCTAAGGGACAGATGAGGACGCGAAAGGGGCTCAATGGAGCTTGTTCAGTACACGAGTATGACGGACAGTTCAACAAAGAGCCGGTGAAATTTAAAATGACCTCTGTGTGTGGGCACGTAATGACCTTGGATTTCCATCACAAGTTCAATAACTGGGACGCTGTTAATCCTCAGGAACTTTTCACGGCTGCAACGCTGAAGAAAGAGGCAAACGAAAAACTGCAAATGCCTAGATTCTTGCAGCAGGAGGGAAAAGGCGTCGATTACATTGTTCTGTGGTTGGATTGCGACAAAGAAGGGGAGAACATCTGTTTTGAGGTGCTGGATTGCGTCAGGCCTGTTATGAATAAGAAATCAGGCAACAAGAATGTATTCCGTGCGAAGTTTTCTGCCATAACAGAGACTGACATTTGCAGTGCCATGCATCGTTTAAGCGAGCCTAATAGGAATGAGGCTAGGTCAGTTGATGCTCGGCAGGAGCTGGACCTAAGGATTGGTTGTGCATTTACGCGATTTCAGACAAAGTACTTCCAGGGGAAATATGGTGACTTGGATAGTGGGCTGATTTCTTATGGCCCCTGTCAGACACCAACTCTAGGCTTTTGTGTGGAACGTCACGACCAGATACAGTCGTTCAAACCTGAACCTTTCTGGGTACTTAAAACCCAGGTACTCCACCCAAGTGGTCAGACCTTGCAGCTTGACTGGGACAGGGGTCGACTGTTTGATAAAGAGGTAGCTGTCATGTTTCAAAAAGCTGTCAAGTCATCAAGGTCAGCAACTGTGGTTGGTGTTTCCAAAAAGGAGAAATCCAAACAAAGGCCCATTGCTTTAAACACTATTGAAATGTTACGTATGGCTTCTTCAGGGCTTAATATGGGTCCCCAGCACTGCATGCAAATAGCAGAGAGGCTTTACACACAAGGCTACATCAGCTATCCTCGTACAGAAACAACTCACTACCCAGAAAATTTTGATCTGAAGGGAACTCTCCGACAGCAGCAGACAAACTCCAGCTGGGGTTCATCTGTACGAGAACTTCTAGAGCAGGGTATTAACAAGCCAAGGAAGGGGCATGATGCTGGTGACCATCCACCCATAACACCAATGAAGCCTGCAAGTGAAGCTGAGCTGGGGGGTGATGCATGGAGATTATATGAGTTGATCACAAGATCTTTTATAGCCAGTGTCAGCTATGACTGTAAATACTTGCAAACAACAGTGAAGTTTTCAATTGAGCAGGAAGCCTTTTCATTCACTGGTAAAGCTGTGACCAACCCAGGCTTCACGTCTGTGATGGACTGGCAGGCAATTTCCAGTGATGAACGGATGCCTCATTGTCAGCAGCATGATTCATATCAAATTGCAGAAGTGAAACTTGAAGAAAGACAAACTTCACCTCCTGATTACCTCACAGAGAGTGAGCTCATTTCACTGATGGAGAAGCACTGTATTGGAACAGATGCAAGTATTTCTGTTCACATTAATAACATCTGTGAAAGAAACTATGTCCAGGTACTCAGTGGTCGAAAGCTTCAACCAACCCCTCTTGGAATTGTGTTGGTACATGGCTACCAAAAAATTGATCCTCAGCTTGTTCTACCCACCATGCGATCAGCTGTTGAGCAGCAATTAAACCTAATTGCTGTTGGGAAGGCAGAATTTGATTCTGTTTTGCAACATGCCATTGAAATCTTCACAAGGAAATTTGTTTATTTTGTGCAAACCATCACAAGCATGGATGAGCTTTTTGAAGTATCATTTACACCACTCAAAGATACTGGCAAGGCCTTGTCAAGGTGTGGCAAATGTAACAGGTATATGAAGTACATCAGTGCTAAACCAACGCGCCTGCATTGTGCCAACTGTGATGAGACATATAGTCTTCCACAAAATGGAAGCATCAAACTGTACAAGGAACTGAAGTGTCCCTTGGATGAGTTTGAGTTGGTGTTGTGGTCTACTGGAGGGAGGGGAAAGAGTACCTTAGTTTGCCCTTACTGCTACAACCATCCGCCCTTCTCAGAAATGCGGAAAGGTATGGGCTGTAATCAGTGTACACATCCCACATGCGCCCACTCTGAGGTGAGTCTCGGCATAGCTGACTGCACTGAGTGCGATAGTGGAAGCCTTGTGCTTGATCCAACCTCAGCTCCCAAGTGGAAACTTGCTTGTAACAGATGTAATCTGGTGATACATGTATTTGAAGATGCATTCCGAGTGAGTGCCACAGATCAGGAGTGTGAATGTGGGACAACTCTTCTGAACATTGATTTCAACCGCACCAAGTCACCACTGCCCGGTGAAAAGACCCAACATGTCGGTTGTCTCTTCTGTGATCCACTGCTTGTACCTCTGGTCAAAATGTCCCATGCAGCATCAAAGCACCCCATGTACAGAGGAGGGCGAGGCAGAGGAGGAAGGCGTGGCAGGGGTGGTAGGAGAGGAAAGGGCAGAGGTAGACCCAAGGATAAAATGTCACAGCTTGCATCGTACTTTCTGTAATGTCTCAATTACTGTGATAAGTATTGCTTTGGTGAATGTGCAGCCTTATTTAATTTTAGGACAGAAATTTAAGTTATGGTCTTGCTGGCTTTTATGTAACCCTTTCACTCCCAAGATCTTATTGGTAATTCTCATTACTTTCTGCTATACAAAACTTATAATGTTACTTCTGAGAATTTTGTATTGGATCAACCAATAATCTTCTTTTTGAAATTCTCCTTTATTCTCATTACTTATGTGCTTGATTTTGTATTGATATTGTTAGGAGAAATTCTGTCTTGGTCACTTAAGATCATGGGAGTTGAAGGGTTAAGTGGTAAAACTTTCAATTTTTATTCTACTTTTTATTTGCCTGTAAACTCCTAGGATATGACTAGTAATTCGCCATGTAAGCTGCTATATATTTCCTTGTAACTTAGTGAAGAGAATTGGGTATTGTATCAAGGTTACACCTGCTAACTATTAGGTTTGTCCATTCTTCTTTCTTGTTTCTTGGATGATATATATAACTCTAAAAGGAGTGTCATATTTATCACTTCTGGACGTTAGATACTTCATTCAAACATTTTTGGTTCTCAATCCATTTTACTCCCTGAAGTGACCTAAAGGGAATTTGATCAAGCAGTCTGATATTCTAATAACATCACAACAAAACTGACTAATCAGTTTACACAAATTGGACATATTGCACATCACTGACAATAATTCTTCATGTGACTCTGATGAAGACTTCTGCTACTGATGTTAAAATGCTATTCACTACTACTGATAATGGTCCTTCTCAGGTCTACTTAAACCCCAAGAATGACCAGCATCTTATTTCTCCTAAAGTAATACTGCTGAATCATTCGTTAAGATCATGAGAAGAAAAGAAATGATCGTTAACCTAACAAGCTATGACTGTAAAACAAATTCTCCTTGTCAGGACCAAAGGAAGGGTTATGGAAAAAATGGATACTGATATTTGGGTGTAAAAGATTGATGCAGATGATCAAACTACATGATTAAATTTTGCTCCCATACTATTTTACTGGAATAATATCAATAACAACAACAATATCAATAATGGTGTATTTCACATTCATATACCTATTACGTCCAATTTATATTGTATTTTGCTTAATTAGATTCTCATGGATGTTTCTAGGGAAAAGAAATTAGACGTAGATATGTAGGGTGGAAATGTCCAGTAACTAAGTAAACCTTACAGATTTCTAGTAAGACTCTAGTCTTGTCAAGTTGTTTGAAAAGGAATTTCTCAATTCAATTTCAATTTATTTTGTATCATTGTCTATTTATCTTGAACTTTGCACCAGAGAGATTAAGTTATGAGAATGGTTGAATTTGATTCATGACTGCCAATACAGGTTGCCTAAGCAGCAACTTCAACTGAAAATTTAGTTGCCAAAATGTTTTTACTTGCCATGGCAGCCAAAAGGGTTGCAGCATGGAGTATTCTGTTGTTTGCACAACACTACAAATTGCAAGTTACATGGATAAGAAATCACTTTTATTAATTTATGGAAAGAATCCAGTATATGAGAGGGAAAAAATGTAAAGCATGTCCAATTATTTATCAAAAAATAACTTACAAGAGATAAGATATTGTGATTGTTATTATGGGTAGCTTGATGTATGAGCTTTAGTAAGACAGTTCATTGAATATTATGTTCATCTTTTTTGGAAGAATTGTAATAGAACTTAGTTTTGTTTCAATTGTAAGGCCAGTTGTTTTTTATCAATTTTTCTCGTAAAGAGTTTTATTACTTAAAATTAATGAAAAGTTGTCTGGTTATGCCATTAGATTTATACCCACATGTTACTTAAAGTTTATTTTATTTGAATTTTGTTCATTTTTTCAGCAAGTATTTATTTATTTTTCAGTTTTTGGTTAATATTTGCACAATATTGTCTGAATCTTTTCCAATGTTAATATTTAATTGAAGCTTTTTGACATTAACCCTTGAACTCCCATGGGTGACCACTAAGGCAAAATTTCCAAATATCAATATTATAGCAAGCATGCATCAAGTGATGAGAATGCAGAAAAATATCATTTAGAGGATTACAAGTTGATCCAATACTAAATTCTCCAGAGTAATATGAGAGTTATTTTGTAGACGGTAAGGAGAATTTCTGATGCAATCCTGGAAGTGAAAGGGTTAAGAGTCTCCTTCAGCTGTAGTTTGGTGTATATGTAGTTGCTTGACAGATTGTCTTCCAGTGAATGATGACTTGATAACCTTGCATGCAGAGTGGCCTTTGATCTTTCCTGCTTACTCCACATGAAGGGTTAGAGTGCATTGTGTGTTTAGACCAAAACCAAAAACGACTGGAGAGGAGACTAACATGTTGGTATCTGAGAAGGAAACTAATGCTCTTTATAATCCACATCTTTATTAAAGTTCACTAATTTGAGCCAACTCTAATGGTCCCAGTATTCTGTCACTGACTGTAACAAAATTATGAAGACAGAGTAATCTATGGATTGTAATTTGGACCTTTCCAAGTCTGTTTGAATTCCTCATTACAATTGGTTTTAGGAGGATCTCAATTGGGTCAACTGATAGCTGTGAAACAGCTTGAAGATTTAGCCATTGAGGCGTGAAAATTGATGAATTTTAACTGTTGTAAAAAAAGTTAACTGTAATAAAAATTTATTGTGACACACTGGATAATACTGATATCATATATAATGAAGATGAGATCACTCATTTTCATTTATTAATCTGCAGTTCGAATGTATTATATTCACTGTCATCCATTCATCACTACACTAGTTTATTACAACCCAGCAAAATGACCAGCTCCCAATTGGCTTGTTAGCTTAGTTGGTAGATCAGCACTGCACTGGTATCACAGGAGGCAATATTAGGCTCAACTCCTGTGCAAGCCTGAATGTTTTAGGCTTTATTTTCATCATCACTTCAGTAATGTATTAATCACTGAAAAATTTTACTCATCTTCATTTAGTCATCATGGCATCTTTTTCAAGCCCAGCTTCTGTTAACAATACCAATACATTTAGAATTCTCTGTCTTGTGTTTCCTACGTCCTTTACTATTGTTCTCACTGTCATCAACTTGGGTTCTTTCCTAACTTGGTAGCTCTAAGATACAGCCTAATGTTCAGCCATTACCGTCAATTTAAATGAATTTGGAGAAGAGAGGAAATTAGGCGTGGGTAATGCATTTTTGTCTGAATATATTCCTGATGTTTCCCCCTCTTTTGACTCTAGACTTAATTTTTGTTGGGAAATTCTTGTGAGAAAAGTTTGAGATGAAGCGTTTAACCTTTTAACTCGTAAGAGTGACTGGCATCCAATTTCTCCCTAAAATATCACTCCTGGATCAAACATTCTGGTCATAAGAACGACTAAAGAAGCTCTTAATTGATAAATAAATTCTCCTGGTCAGCACTTTAGGAAATGCATAGAGAACAGTATGAAGAATATGCATTCTAATGTTAGGGTTTAGAGGGTTAAGTATCATGTTCACGGGTAAAGGGGGGTGGAGTTATGCTCTAAATTTCAGATTTCCAGGAGTTTGGGAAATAGGGATCACCCTGAGTAAGAGTATTCTGTTAGAATTGATCTAATTTCTTGAATTTCTGCAGCAAAAAGGTTGCATATCAAAATCCAAAAGGTTTTGAAATAATATCCCATCAGTAAAACGACTGAACTGCGTATTCGTTCATTTGTATCCGTCTGGCCTGACCGAACTGGGATGACTGTGGCATATGATAAATAGCCTGGCTACCAAGCCCAGGACGCGCTCATTTGCGAGGACAACACGCAAGCGGGCAGAATTAGCATGCATTTTTCCCCAACATTATTATCTTTCCCATAGCGATCACCTCCAGGCACAATGTTCAGTGAGTTGGCACAATCTAGTGACGTAGACACAAAGCCAAGTTTACCCGACTCTGAACGCAATCATCAGAAAAAACCTTCAAATGATCTACAAGCTCAGGTGCGTCCTTATTTTCAAAGCTAATGCCAAATTCGAATTTAACGCTCACAAAACTTTGCTCAGCTGGTTATTTGTTTTTTCCTGGGGAGGCCCTTTTCGTAATTTTTTTAAGGATCGTGCAATAACGTCTTAAACGTTTTGTATAAATGTGGCCTCGAATCTCTTTTCCTGTTGCCAACTCAGCTGTTAAGTAAGTTTACGAAGAAAAGTCACCGGTCATGTAAGATTGTTTACCAAGTAAACACAATCCTGGTAGTGTTACAGGAATTAGGTTATAGCTAACATACCGGTTGAAACTTTTATGCAGTAATTTTCAAAATGTTACGTCCCCGCAGCACAAATTCTGTCACTGATGAGTGTTGGCGGCAAATTGTGTGTCTTGTAAAAATTCAGTTCAAGATATAGTGCAGTATGTAGCATGATTGGGGCAATTTTGCAGGTTTTTGCTATTACTCTCACACACATTTTTTCCACCATATCAAGCCAAATTACCAGACTGAATCAAGCTTAATTGAACTCAATTCATGGAATACTTTTTTATTGTATTTGATGGGGTCCAATTACATTTCTAAGTGAGTTGTGGATCAATGAATCATTACCTTAGGCTAGTAGATATGTTTTTTTTCTTCTCATTATATGTCTGCCTGATATTGTATTTATATTTCAAGGAGAAATTATATCTTTGTCATTACTGGGAGTGAAAGGGTGAATACTCAATTCTACAAATGATCAGATTTTCCAATTTACTTTATCAGTTAACCCTTTAACTCCCATGAGTGACCAAGACAGAATTTCTCTTTATAATATCAATACAATATCAAGCTGACAAGTGATGAGAATAAAGAAAAATATCAATTAGGAGATTATAAGTTGATCCAATGACAAATTCTACAAACTAACACCACAAAAACTGTATGGCAGACAGTAAGGAGAATTACTGATGAGATCTTGGGAGTTAAAGGGTCAATGAAGTGAGTTATCTGCAATCTGAACTAAAAAGAGCTACAGCAATGTGAACTTTTTTGTTTTAAATGATCAAGCACCTGCCAACTTAATTACTTGCATTATACTTGTTGCACTTGTGATCAAAAGTGATGTCATCTTGTATATGAAATGAGACAATTTCCCATGTCCAATTTTGAAGTACTTGTTCAGTAATCATTAAAGTGAATAAGCTGAATATGATTTTCACCCAAAATAGTATAGTAAACTGTGCTGAAAGACCTGGGACCAGTTATATAAAGGGGAGGGGAAGAGACACTGTCCAACAGATAAATTGCTCTCCAGGGAATAAGGATTAGCAAATATACTGTGCTATCCACCAGAGAGAGATTTATTTAACCTTTGAACAACCAGGGCTGAACAACAACCTTTTACAAGGTCCTAGCACATTATCTTAGCAATACAGAACTCAGGATAGGTGCATTCTAGGACCACATTAATTAACTCTTTGTATAGGTAATCACATGATTTCGAGTACAATTTGGAATAAATAAGCATGAGTAAATTTTTTTAAAGACTAACAAAATTGCACGAGCCTGTAGGGTGAGTGCAATTTGTGGTCTTTGAATAAATTAACAAGTGCTTGTTTATTCCAAATTGCACGAGAAAAATCATGTGATTATATGTTAATAATATACATGGAAAAATATGAGATGGCGTATCATAATTAAACATAAGCAAAGCGCATGCATCAAGTGAAAAATAATTTATTCAAACCATGCATTAGGTCAAAATAACCACGTATGATCAAAACAATAATATGCAATGATATCTTCACATCTTTAAGGTGCAAAAAAGTTCAAAGTCCAGCTAAACAGTTCAAGGAATTTTTCAGTCTGTGTCCGAATCACTTTCTATGAAATGGAATTGTCGTTTCCAAGGTTTAACCATGTTTGTTTTTAATTTCAGCATTGGATCGCTTGAGCAAAGTGTTAAGCTGAGTTGGCTCTTAATTTTTGATTTCCTTGGCAATTCCCTTCTCTAAACACCACTTTTTCCAAACCGACAACCAAAAAGCAGTGCTTTTTACAGTGTTTTTGTTGTTTGAGCTGTTTTTCAGCTGCGGTAGCGAAAGAAAACCTACTTAAAATGCTGGCCATTGTTTCACTCACAAATTTTCAAATTTTGTTGCGACATCCAAAGCTCGCATTTGATTGGCTATGTGTGAGTTTCTTTGATTATTGACCAATCAGAATGTCTGATTTGTTACTTTCTTTGCACTGAATTAACCCTCTTCTGCACTGAATTAACTCTCTTCTGCACTGAATTACCTGAAAACTGCATTTATCTTAACCAATCAGAACTGAGTAATTTTTCCATGTATATTATTAAGCCTCTAAGAGTGACTTGCCTTTAATTTCTTCTTACAATTTCACCCCCAAATCACAAATTAAGGTCATGAGAATAAAGGAAATTATCACCACCTAGGGAAGTTCTTGATTGTCAAACAAATTCTCCTTGTCAGCACCTTAAGAAATATATTGAGAACAGTATGGAGAATATGCATATTGATATTAGGTTATGAAGGGTTCAGAAACCTTCAGAAGTCATGCAAACATCTTTTCCAAGCAAATGCAATTTCAGAAGCTGTCTGAATGCCTTCAATAATGCTTGAAACCGCCAATTTCTTTTTTGGATAAATCAGGGATATGTATATACAAGAATCAAATTTAGTGGATGTTGGGGAACTTGGCTGGCTTGTAAAATAGACAAAAGTAGACTGCCAGAGTATGATGCAGTAAAGAATGAATTTAAGCCATAATGGTTTTACACTTATTTAATAAGTAAATTATTTCACTTTGTTTCACTCTGTAGATAAATTATCTTAATATCTTTTAAGCAAATACAAATCAACCCAGTTTGATGCCATTTCAACCTGGAGTCCATTTTGATCTACAACATATAATTATTTGGTGGGAAGAATATTAAATTGGGAAAATATGGCATCTTCAATGCGACCTTTTATAAATTATTGTAAATCATATAATTTATTTATTTGTCCTGTAGGTTATAACCATACAGCAATCAAATATCTGTAAGACTTAATAGAACATGTTGCCTTCTTGTGAATGCATGTACAAGCTGTAAACATCTGCATTTAGTAGTTTTTACACAGCCTTAGGACATGAAACTCCTTCTTCTTTTTGGCTTAAAACATGACAAATGCAATATCTGGTGTACAACAAAAACACATTTGAAGAAATTGCACAACATGCCCCAGGTTTTCTGTCCAAAGAAATACCAAACCTGAATGCCACAGATTTTTTTTTAGTTTATGAAGGAAATGTGCTAAGTTTTGACTTGCTCAATACATTAAATGATTCTAACTACAGTATGTTCTCAATGAAAAAGTGATCTTTGATATTTAACATATGCCTTCACATTATGTTTCAAACAGGAAAAAGATTTGAAATATTTAGAGGAAAAGTCAGAACAGAAAGAGCCCAGAGAAGAAGAAGCATCACAGCCTTTCACCATGAATATTGAATTAAATTTTGTCTGGCTAGTTTTGGTAGGTTTGTCATTTGGTACAAGAATGTGGCAGCTCACTACGCCCAAACATGTCATGTAAGTAATTAGTATAAAAGGTTGAATTTGAAACAATTTTTGAAATTTGTTTTAATTAAAGGTAATAATATCAATGACAATGAAACCTCTTTTGTCAGCTTTGTCCAGTTTTCATAATTTATACAATGATAATAAGCTTCCTTGTTGCACAGTTACAGACTGTCAAAGACACAACCATGTAATAAGATATATTGTTTAATCAACTATTTTGGGCCCCTCTTTTACAAATTTTGAGGGCATCCCATGCTGAAATCTGGTAGAGTTTCATTGTCATTGCAGTCTCATATGGAAATTAGCCATGTGCTTTTGCTTCTCACTGAAGTTAACCCTTTAACTCCCAAGATCTCATTAGTAATTCTCCTTACTCTCTGCTATATAGTTCTTGTGATGTTAGTTTGGAGAATTTGGTGTTGGATCAACTAATAATCCCCTAATAAATATTTTTCTCTATTCTGATCACTTATCTGGTCGATATTGTATTGATATTGTAAGGAGAAATTCTTTCTTGGTCACCCATGGGAGTTTATTAGGGTTACAACATGTCTAATGTTGACTTTTCTTCCTCTTGTCTTATTTTTTTTCATTCCTGTACTTTGATACTGTGCTGGAATCACCAAACAGTATGGGTAGCTGATCAGCCTTAATTCTTGTTCTAGAATAGAACACATTTAGAAATGATCATTTTTCAGGGGAAACATTTATAATAAAGATTCCATTCTCATGTGTGAGATAGGTTGACTATAAATATTGACAGAGAGGTTGATTTGTTCAATTAATTGCTTTGGTTTGTGTAGTCACCTGCATCCCAGTTGAGTGTGCAAACCATTGTGTGCTCAAGTAAATAAGATTTGGTCAAAACTTCCACTGTTTTTTCAAAAAAAAAAAATACAAGCATTGTAATAAATGAATGATACAAACGTGGAAAATATAACATTAATACCATTGTTAGATTTGTATTGATATTGAATACTTGCATTCATCAACACCTTTAACAGTCTGTTTCAATCTGTATCTAGCACTCAAATTCTTCATTCTCCCTTTAATAAACTTTATGTCATTATTAATTTTTTGTTGATGCAGTACAAATTACTCATTCATAATTCTACACAGTTGGCCTTTTTTGGCTTGTCACCAAAAAAGCTTGGGCCAAAAGAGAGATTCCCTAGGAGGCTAGTACTGAGTCAACATTAAATTTATCATTTTCCACATACAACTAGTCCAGGGTGACTGTAGGTAACTACCAATGCATCCCATGCATCCCATTCAAATTCTTAATTCTTCTTATGTCAGCTTAAATAGTCTTTAGGTCATTATCTGTTGACCCAGTGGAAATAACTCGTGAATAATTCTATACTGAGTCATTTTTGGCTGATCATCAGTTTAAAAGCTTGCATGATGGGCCAAAAAAAGGTAGCTTAGGAGGATAGTATTTAGTCAACATTAAATTTATCATTTTCTGGATACAACTGGAGTAGAGTGACTGTAGGTAACAACCTAAACATCTCATGTTAATGCCTCCAGGTGTCCTGTTCTTAAATTTACAAGTATAATGGTCTCTAATCATGGATTGCTATAAAACAGACTGGGGGTTGATGGGTTAAGGTCTCTTCTCAATCTTTTCCAATGATTGTTAGTTACATGTATTAGATGGTTTATTTTGTGCTTTGAATTATTAATTGCAGATTTGACGAGGTACATTTTGGCCAGTTTACAAATTTTTTCATGAAGAACCAGTTCTTCTTTGATATGCATCCACCTTTGGGCAAACTCATGTTTGCTTTCACAGGTATAGTGTCCAGAACTAAGTTTCATTTGAGTTCTGACAAAGGGCTAATGCTCAAAACCTTAATGGTGGCCAATTTACATTTACACAGTTGATAAAACCAAGTTCTTTTGTATTGCAAGCATACTTCATCAAATGATAAATACTTCATGTTCTGCTGTATAATTTTCAGTGATCTAATTTTCCTTCTTGGGGCTGATTAACACACTTTTTTGATTGATTTGAATTTTTTTCATTTCAGCTTACTTATCAGGATATGATGGGGAATTCTCATTTGCAGACATAGGCCAAGGTATTGTAGAATAGGCCCACAAAAATTCCATGTTGTAACAAAATTTTTGTGAATAAGGAAGAATTCATTGCATATCCTTGCCAAAAGGATCAGACTAAGTGGTTAAGAGGTAACATGGCTGCCTGGGGAAATGGGGGCTTGGGGGGGGGGGGGATTTCTGCACAGAATTGCAAAAATTGGGTTCCTTTCACCAGACCATTTTACAATAAAACATGAAGGCTGGTAAAAAGTATGAAATCTACATCACACTTGAAAAAGAGAACACTGTGTTTGTGCTAATTACATGTATGTCAGTAAGTTTCTTTAACACTTCACTGGCACCCATTGAATGTACTTTTACGAGAGAGAAAATGGACAAACCAGCACAACCAAGACTCAAAGTAACATAATTTTTTTGTCACAAAGCAGTGGTGAGAGGGCTTCCTGACTGCCACTGTACCTGGCACTCCGACAGTTTTCTCTGGGTCCACTGGTTTTCCTCCCCCCACAAAAACATACACACCAAATTCCAATTCAACCTAGAAACAGTGGACAGGAAGAGTCACCACCTGGAATGTCCACAGCTCTATTATCATGATTAGTATCATCATAGTTCAGTGATCTGTGGACATTACAACTGATATGAGCTCATATTTTTTCCTCAGATCTTGGTGAATTTGAATATGTTGTTTGGTGGTTACGCTTTGTATCTGCATTTCTGGGAAGTCTTGTGGCACCAGTTGTCTATGAGGTGGGTTTAAATTTCTGATTATGTTTTTTTTGTATTTGTCAATTCAACAGAAATTTATAAAACCCCAACCCCCAAGAAGAAAATGCTACTTTTAAATAAGTGAAAAAAAACTTAACTGTACAATGAAGGTCCAGTTAGATGGCACTGATGTATATGGGAAGTTATGGACCATTTGAAAAAAGGAAAATTGATATCAAGGCAATATATTGAAGAAGAGTTTTTCAAAGTTAAGGGACTTTTTGGGTAGTTTGTCATATTGCAGAAAATGTTAAATCTTCAAAGCTTTTAATCTTGACCAGTAGATCTTGCCAAAAGTTGTCTATTCAAGTATAGAAGTGTAAAGTGTCTTTAATTCCTTGGTGTGTGGGGTGGGGTGGGGGGGGGGCACTGGGGGGGCAGGATTAGAGTTGTCGTTGGAGCACTCACCCTCCACTAGCCAGCATAGCTCACCTTTAATTCCTGAACCTGGTTTCTGAAATACCATTTTAACATGGCAACAGGAAACAATGGACATAGAGCCACCTTGTGGTAGAGCAACTGCTAAAATACAATCAGTTTTTGTGAACTCTCTACCTGATTTGATATTTTAATTTATTTTTCTATGGGTGATTTGAAATTTTTATCTTTCCTCAGGTCATCACAGAGCTTGGTTTTTCACACTGGGCAGCTGCTTTAGGTGGATTTTTGGCAACATTTGGTGAGGTGTTTTTTGTTTTAAAAGTTAATGTTCTTTTGGTGAAGAATATATTGTGAGGTACAAATTAACATTGTCAAGAACTAGTGGGAAGGTAGTACAGAAAACCTGTATGTTCTGACAGTTCCTCAAGTTTGAACAAATCTTTGCTACCATAAGGCCAATTTGTTAAAGCCTTTGTAAGGTAGCCTCTACATTTTCAGTGTTCCCAAAATTTTTGCTTTGCATTATTTTTGTCACCAGTGTAGTCTGATACCTCTGTTTAATTCTTCTCTATTCAGAAGTGATTAACATGTCACTTCTTCCTATAATATTCACACATTGTACAGTAAACAGGTAACGAGAATACCCAATTGCATCAGGTAGAAGTTGTTATCTTGATTTAACACCAAATCTTTATAACTAATATACTAGGAAATGTATAGCAGCTAGAGGGGAGAATTAACAATCAGATCTTGGGTCAGTTAAAGGGTTCATCATGACCCACAAATCCTCACATTGACAAATCCTTACTGTCATTTATTGATGTTCTTTTTCTTTTTTGTTGCAGACAACATGTGTGTGGTACATAGCAGACTTATCATGTTAGATTCCCCTCTCCTGTTTTTCAGTGCTGCATCTCTCCTCTGCTATCTAAAGTTCCATAAAGAATTTAGTAGGTACAAGAAGTAACCAAGTTTCATGTGTCTTATAATGTCGCTTATAATCTACCAAACATTTAATTCAATATAGGAAAGCAATCAGCTGTTGTTACAGAACACAGGATATGTTTGTTTGTTCATAAAGTTGTGCGAGAGAAAATTGAAAAGGAAAAATTTCACATAGCAAACAGTCAGCTGGTCATAAACACTTTTCCAAAAATATTTGAAGGACAATAAACACAGTAGCCTCCATTTGGCATGACAATATGCGAAATGGAACTGTCCCTCATACATTTACCTCTGTGTTTTCCTGGAGCTTTACTCCCAGGAAATTGTCGGCATGCATCTTGCAACAGATGATGTTCACAAACAAATACAGGTGCATATTTTTGCACCAAATGGAGGATATTGTTTACATTTTTCAATTTGTGTGTGCAATAAGCTGAAAAGCTCTGTGATTTCATATGCTTCTTTGCAGACCATTTACAAAGAATTGGTGGATATGGCTGTTTTTGACAGGCTTGTCTTCGCTTGGTGCTTACAGGTGAGCAAAAATCCTTAGTTATATTTTATTAACCCTTACACCCAAACATCAGTATATGTATTCTCCAAACTGTTCTTCATACATATCATAAGGTGCACATAAGGAGAATTTGGTGCATTAATAATCAAGAGCTTCTTTAGTTGGTGAAAATTTCCTTTATTCTCATGACCTTAATGTTTGACTCAGGGTGATATTGTAAGGAGAAATAAGATGCTAGTCACTCTAAGGGGTCAAATGGTTCAAGAGCTTCTTCAGTTGGTGATCATTTCCTTTATTCTCCTGACCTTAATGTTTGACTCAGGGTGATATTGTAAGGAGAAATTAGATGCTAGTCACTCTAAGGGGTCAAAGGGTTCAAGAGCTTCTTCAGTTGGTGATCATTTCCTTTATTCTCATGACCTTAATGTTTGACTCAGGGTGATATTGTAAGGAGAAATTAGAGATGTCAAAGGGTTCAAGAGCTTCTTCAGTTGGTGTCTTTATTCTCATCTTAATGTTTGACTCAGGGTGATATTGTAAGGAGAAATTAGATGCTGGTCACTCTTAGAGGTCAAAGGGTTCAAGAGCTTCTTCAGTTGGTGATCATTTCCTTTATTCTCATGACCTTAATGTTTGATTCAAGGGTGATATTGTAAGGAGAAATAAGATGCTAGTCACTCTAAGGGGTCAAAGGGTTCTTCAGTTGGTGATCATTTCCTTTATTCTCCCGACCTTAATGTTTGACTCAGGGATGATATTGTAAGGAGAAATAAGATGCTAGTCACTCTAAGGGGTCAAAGGGTTCAAGAGCTTCTTCAGTTGGTGATCATTTCCTTTATTCTCATGACCTTAATGTTTGACTCAGGGGTGATATTGTAAGGAGAAATAAGATGTTAGTCACTCTAAGGGGTCAAAGGGTTCAAGAGCTTCTTCAGTTGGTGATCATTTCCTTTATTCTCATGACCTTAATGTTTGACTCAGGGTGATATTGTAAGGAGAAATTAGATGCCAGTCACTCTAAGGGGTCAAAGGGTTCAAGAGCTTCTTCAGTTGGTGATCATTTCCTCTATTCTCATGACCATAAAGTTTGACTCAGGGTGATATTGTAAGGAGAAATAAGATGTTAGTCACTCTAAGGGGTCAAAGGGTTCTTCAGTTGGTGATCATTTCCTCTATTCTCATGACCATAAAGTTTGACTCAGGGGTGATATTGTGGGGGAAAAAGGGTTCAGATCTCTTGTTAAGGTGTTTGAATCACCATGACACAAGTAAACATGAAACACTTTCTGGCCCATTGCAGAGACTGTGTACTTTGCAATTGGTTGCTTATTGTTTGTTCTGCAGAAACCTGATGGACGACAACCCTGTTTGTTATAAGATTCCAAATTTTTTTGGTTGTATGTGATCCACGCCAAGCTTATGTTGTCACTTTTTTTATTCAGTATTAAGTACACTGGTGTCTTCACTTTTATTACTGTTGGATTTTTGACTGGACGAGACTTGTGGAAACTGATTGGAAACCACTCTCTACCAACAGTAAGTGAAGTCAGAACATAAAAATTGTATTTGTTTGTCAAAATGTATCTGTGAAATAACATGAGTATTAAAACATGTTCTGGAACTTTATTCAACTGCTGACTTTTGGTAAATTATTGTGAATAACTTCAAATTACTTGAGAACTTATATACTGGCATTCTAATTTGTGAATTTTTCTTTTTATTTATCAATGATGTAGTCACACCAGAATGGTACTGATACAAGTTTAACTATCTTATTATATAAAAGTAGTTTTTTGGTTGATCTATGACACTGGAAATAAACACAACTAAGTGTATAATCGGTGGTTGAATATTGTTATTAAAAGTTTTAGTATTTGTTTTATTTATCAAGTGTTCTTGTTGGTTACTCTTTCAGAGAGAACTTCAGAAGCATTTGTTAAGCCGTGCACTTTGTCTTGTTGTCTTTCCTGGTTTACTCTACATGCTTCAGTTTTACATTCTCTTCACTGTTGCAAGAAAGACTGGTCCTCATGATGACATGATGTCAAGTGCATTCCAAGCCAGTCTTGAGGTAAAGATTCTTTCTGCAGACTCAACAAACAAGCTGTTGGCTGGTGTTACAGTGGAGTCTAAGACTATGTTACAATTATACTGACTTTGACAGGGCATGCAATCCAAATAAAAGTTCAAACAAAGAACATACTGTCAGGGTGATGCATTTGTCTCACATGAACAATAGATGTTTGTCCAGGATTGAAAGCCTTGAAACAATTTACTTAAAAATCCAGTTCTTACATGGTAAAGTGTATCTTAAAATTCTGCGAAGGGAAGTCAACTGATGAGTTTTTATCACCTGACTAGAGCAATTTCTTTGACTTCTTTTACCTGACTAAGTAGCCGAATCACTTTTATTTCTTTTTATCCTCAGGGAGGACTGGCCAAGATTACACATGGTCAACCAGATGGTATGTTCACCTTGTTAAATGATATTATTTTTTTGTTTGTTTGTTTGAGTTTTTTTTTTTTTACGAAAAAAAATTGAAAATCTAACCATAGTAAATTGCAATTGATGAGGTTTGTTCACTTTACACATCATTTTACCTTAGCTCAGACCACAACAATGGTACTGTACTAAATAGGTCAGCAATTATGCAATGTATCTTGCAGACTTTGAGTTTTTCCTTGTGGTGTTCTTAAGAAAACAATTATTCTACTGGCATATGTTGAATATAAGACAGTTATACCTTGCTTGGTCCTGTACACTAGGTTGGTTAGCTAGCTACCCTCAATTACCCCACGTTCACCCCTGGAATAATTGTGAAATATGTAAAATGTTTACTAAAACGATAATCAGACAGGTGACGGCACTTTTCACTCCAAGATCAAATTAGCAATTCTCCATACTGTCTGCCCTATATTTCTTATAGTTTTAGATCAGAGAATTTGGTGTAAAAGAAAGTTATTTCCCTTATTTGATGGTTTTTTTTTTTTTACCCCTCGTCACCTTTCTGGTTTGAAATCTCTGGATCTCGTAATAAGTTCGTATTTGGTGATTTCTGGGAGAAAAAGGATTAAGGAGTTGTATCTCAATGCCAGTTCCGACAGTGCCTATCACTTTTTAAAAACTTCAATTTAATTTTCATCAGAGGTAGCATATGGCTCCCAGGTCACTTTGCGCAACACCTTTGGCAAACAGTGCTGGCTCCATTCTCACACGCACACCTACCCCGTGAAGTACCCTGATGGGCGCGGCAGCTCAGCCCAACAGCAGGTTACGTGCTACGGCTTCAAGGATGTAAATAATTGGTGGATTGTCAAGGACCCTCAAAGGTAATTCTACGCCTCAAGCTCGCCCTTTTTTAAAGTAGCCATTAGGTGGCCTAAAATTATTTAAAGGGCGCTAAAAATTAAATTCCATCGCTGGTTAACTCAGGTTGTCGAGCACCGTGCAGGAGGTTAAAGGTTCGAGCCCCAAACTTGACCAACACTCAGGGTCTTAAAATATGTGAGGAGAATGTGCTGCTTTATGCCCTAACATTTGTTTTTGGTAAGACGTTCTAGTCTTCTCGGTTAGGACAAAACCCGTAGGCCCCGTCTCCTCATTTCTCCATACTGAATACCAGGGCACGTTAAGTAACCCACGCACTTCTCACAAAGAGTAGGAATCGTAATTCCGGGTGTTGTTGTCTGGCCTTGTTTTAAAAAATTTCCAACTGGGGCTACCAGCAAAGTGTCCTTTCCAAAAATCTTGTAAACAGCTCAGTGCAGTCTAGCCAAAGTCCCCTGCAAAGTTATGTAAAGCGCATGGGAGAATATTCATATAGAGTACGCGCTTTACAAAGGCATTATAATCATTTATCATCATTGAAAAAATTCGAGAAAAACTGCTTGGAAAAACTTGTTAAAACTCGCGGTAGAATGGTGACTGTTAACAGTTGCCCCAGCCAAAACGATACTCGCGCTAAGCTCTGCCAGACAAAAAAAAAAGAAAAAAAAAAGTACACAACTTTCTACATGACCACCGGACACAGGTCGCCAAATTGGCAGCCAAAGCGGTCCAGGCTTGGAAGTCTGCGAAAGGTATAACGAATATCTTTAAATTAAAAGAATCAAGATTCCTCTGTGGCTGACGTTTTTAATTTTGTGTTCCATTTCAGAGATGCCCTATCTGTGGATTTTCCACCAAAACCTGTTCGCAATGGCGATATTATTCAAATTGTCCATGGAGTTACAGGCAGAGCTTTAAATAGGTAAATTCTCAACATTGACTAAACACAGGGGAGTAGATTGTACTTTGTACAGGAAAGTAGTCGACAAATACAGGGGTTTCAATGAACGCCAGTTACCAGCGGTCTACCGTCGCATGTAAGACCCTCACCTCCATCTGTTTAGCCTGCAAGCTGCTAGCTCTCGTGCTTGGGTTTCGCCTTGTGGCCTGGCTGCCCATTACACCAATGGCAGCTGCTTATGCAGAAAGGTGATTGAAACCCTTGCAAATATGTTCCATTTTGCTTTGTGTCGTTTTGGCCATTGATTATTCACATGTATTAAGAAAAAATAAAAAGTGGTACACGAGACTATCACCAGTGTTTTTTCGCATTTTAGCATTTTTTAGAGGTCCTTAACCGCACATAAATTTGGCTGAATAAGCGGTCTGTTTGTTTTAGACAGTAAACAGGAAGTTGATGCGACGAAAAATGTTTAAGTTACTTCCTGGCGCTCAAGTGCTCAGGTGTAATTCTTAAAGTGCTCGTTCAAACATTTTCCAAACTGGACGCCATGTAGGACAAAGCAATGAAAGCAGTTACTGTTTGTCGTTAGCCTTGTCTCGTTACTCTGATAGATCACAGGCATCAGTTTATTGTATCAATCGAGTGTCTAAAATAATCCTAGATTTCTTTGGTTGTACTTAACTTTGCTCTGTGATTGCTCTCAAAAACTCGTGCCATTCTCTCAATCAATCAGATACGGAACTTAAAAAACCAATCGCGACGTGGTCATTTGCGTGTTCCCGGGCTTCAAGCAGTTTGCCTGTTTTCACTTTGAGTTCTCATTGGCTAATGACAATGTAACCTTGCTCTGATTGGTCGTTGGGATTACTTTGTTTTGGTTTTCGACACTCAAATTAATAACTGCTCAACTTGTATCACCGATTGTACACTTACTTTTTTTCATGTGTGTCTTCTTGTTACTTCAGTCATGATGTTGCTGCCCCTTTGAACCCAGCCAACCAAGAGGTGTCCTGTTATATTGACTACAACATTTCCATGCCGGCTCAAAACCTCTGGAAAGTGGTATGTCTTTCTGTTTTTGAACCACTTAACTTGAGCTTAGGGGCAATGCGTGGTGAATCCAAGCAACATTTGTGAAGAAGACTAGAACGAGTAGAAAACAGTTTGATTATTTTCTTCTCTTTCGTCAAATACCGAGGACAGTTGAAAGCATTTGTCGAACATCATTGAACTAAAACTGATCTCAAAGTGCTGGTGGCATTTTCTTTCATTTTGCGTAAAGTGAGTTTCTGTCTTGCATTGAAGAAGAGAATGTTTCGTTATCACCATTTTTCGAAATAGGCATTTAACGTTGTGGAACAGTCAAGATAAAGCATACTTGGTAATAATGGACGTGCTGGTGGCTTGAACTTGTTCACGAAATTGCTCACTCGCTGTTTATTTGTTTGCTTACTTGTTTATGCTTTTTCAGGAAATAATTAACCCAGACAGCAGTAACGTTTGGAAGACGATCCACTCTCAGGTTCGACTGATTCATGTCAATACTTCTCAGGCAGTAAAGGTATGTACAATAAGAATTGAAGTTACTCATTTTTCTGTCCATTAAAGTATTTTCCAATTGAGTGTGAAAAGTAATTCGGGATTTCATAAGGTTTGCTTTCCTTTGCTCTGTGATAGTTCTAGAAAAGTCGAGCCACTTCCTTACCCAATCAGGTACAAAACTGAAACCAATCACGACTCGGTCGCCCGCGTTTTCTCGCGCTTCAGGCAGTTTGGTTGTTTTTACTTTGAGTTCTCATTGGCTCCTAAAGGTATCTTCCTTTCTTCTGATTGGCTGTTGTGATTACTTTGGTATTGGTTTTGTGACACTCAATCGAAAAGTGCGCTATTGTGTACAAAACTGACAGTAAAGGGGTACTTATTTTGTGACTGTTATTGTGATCTTAATGGTTAGATTTCAGGTATGCAGTTACCAGATTGGGGTTTCCACCAACTTGAGGTTTGCACTGATAAATCCATTAAACAGACAAACACGATCTGGAATGTTGAGGAACATCAACAAAATATCACTTATCGTAAGTTTGCCCTCATGGCTTAATCTTTCCTTTATTTATTTTCTCTCAATCTCTCATTTTTGTTCTTGAACCTACGTCAGTTTTTTACTTTTGCCCTTCTCCTTTATCAAAGGTATTTTTGGTTGCCTGTTGAAACGTATTCAACCTCGCCAAGTCGCCCCATTGTGTGCCCAGATGTTCTTTCTTAGTCATTACTTCTCTTCTTACTCCATTTTGTCTTCTTTAGCCGAAGGTCAAGGTCCAACAGAAGTCGAGGCGAAAACGGATGTGTCGGAACGGGCATTTAAGCCTATGCCATTCCTTTCAAAATTTTGGGAGATCCAGGTAGGTCGACATTTCTTGTTTGCGTACGCTCCACACCGGGCGTGAACGACATGTTTCTTCCGCGCTCAGTTTTCCGTGGCGGTTTTCCCCGGTGTGTACCCATTTTTTTCCAAACTCTGAAAAAAAATTGCTGTGCTGTTAACTGGGTGTCGACGATATGTCTTCCCGCGCTCAAAGTTCTGCTATGCTTTTCATTGGGTGTCGACGATGACGTTTTCCCTCGTTTTGTACCGGGTGTCAACGACGGTTTCCCGCGCTTTGCCTGTTAGCTAAGACGCTTTTCCTGCGCTTTCACCAAAAGATGCGTCTTATTACAGAACGTAATATTCCGATCAAGGTTGGTAAATGAGTGGATTACGGCTAAGTTTTCGTCACCGCAGTAGTCTTTTGTCATGTCGCTCGTGCAACCTAAAGTTAAACACCCTTTCCGTAGCTATTTCCATATAGCCGTTTAGAAATTACTATAAACATGCTTACGATGGAACATGTGCTACTCTTTTGCTTAAGCATTTCGATGTTTGGGTATTAGGAAAAACATACCGAGTTGTTTTGGTTGTTGTTAGGAAACGGTAATGAGCTAAGTGTGCGAATTTTTCAGAGAATATTGTACAATTGGAGATGAAAAGCAATGCACTTTATTCGAGATTTTTAGAGCAGGTGTCAGAAAAGGAAAAGCACATAAAAAATTCGAGTATGAAAGAGTAAACGAACAATATAACCTTTATGTAAAAGCGAAGACTTAGATTTTGTCTAACTCTCTTGACCGAAAAAGGAAAACAAGATAGAATGAAAGGAAAAGGAAACTTAATGTTAGAGCATCAGACAACAGACCAAACCCTTCTTATACAACTTTAATGAAAGATAATCACAAGCCACCACATGCAGTATGCCTTCAATGAAGCATAACTGCTTTTAGCAAAATAAACATTAAGTCCACGGACTGATTTCCTCCAAAAGTTCAAGTGTTTTTTTTTTTTGGTTTTGTTTTAGTTTTTTGTTTTTTGTTTTTTTTGTGTTTTTCTGGGTAGGAAGATAAAAAAGAAGTAAACATTTATGCAAAATAAGGAAAACGTTCATGTTTGGTTTCTACCACTCGTCATGATGCTTTTTCTTTTTCTTCCTCTGCCTTCGTTGCCAAATTGGTTTCTGGGGTGGTTTAGGAGGCGGATTGGCGGCAGCCTTTCTGTCTTTATACTCTTGCCTGCAGGGCGGGAAGGAAGAACAGATAAGTTTCAAAACATACATTTCCTCATGATACGAAATGTCAAAGAAAGTTGTAAAGTTAGTGAAAATCCCTTGATTAACCTCAAATTGACAAACCGAGACGTTGCATATAATTGAGTTAGTTGTAGATGTTTCTCTAAGATGGCTTCAAACACTTAAACGATGGCATTTGAGCTTTTTTTATTGTCTCTCTGATTTTCTAAACCGCTGAGTGCAACTTACCATTTTCGTCCGATAAAGCGCACAGTTCTCAAAAGTAACCAGTATGCGAGGAGGGCAGCGACCAAGAAACCGAAATTCATAACCAAACCAGCGAAGAACGCATAGACACCATCTTGCCAGGACAAGAAAAGAAAGCGAGCTAGGACAATTTTCACGTGTTCTGTTGAAGAAACAAAAGATTCGTAGCTACCGTCAATTTATCATCATATTTCCTGTTCAAATATAATTTCAAGCACTTGAATTATGTTTTGACACTGATAACTTCCTGTTGGTGTACTTTCAAAGGAATCCCTACAATCCTCCAAAGTTACCGTAGCTAGACTTGAAAAAAATTTAAGCAAATTAACAGCATAAATAACTAGAACTCTGTAGGCCATTTCATTTGATTTCGCTAACGCTCACGGCGGATATCAATACTATTTCTCATGCAGCCCGAAAATAAATCAACTTTTCAGAGTTGAAAACTTAAATCACGGTGCCCTCAAATGATGTCTCTGAGGAGATAAAAGCTTTTCACTTACCATGTAAATAGTCAGTGTAAAACTCAACAGCAACGTCAGTGATATAGTAAAAGACTTGCACAAGGGGTTTTACAATCCACGATACCGTGTTGAACATTATCTCGACCAGATTTGCAGCTGTATTCCAAACCATTCCGACGAATAAATACGTATTGTTGATGGTCAGCTCTGCCAACCATTGAACTTCATCCCAGAGAAACTCGGCCAACCACTGGATACAATTCCAAGCCATTGGAGCGAACCATTTTGCTCCTCTCCACGTTAAGTCTGAAAGCCATGTAAGAGCCGTAAAGGTCTTCTCCGAAATCCACGTAGCTATGCTCCGAATCCATTCCATGGATCCAATCGAGATGTACTCAAGTACACTCCAAACTTTACCAGTCACCACTTCTGTCAAACTACCACGTTTGTTCCATACTCCTGATATCAATGTTATTGTGAAGTCCTGGGCCCTAGTCGCAGACGTCACTGTGAAGTTCCATATCCGGGTTATCAATCCAGGGTTTTCAAGCTCGAAAGTTTCATACACCGGGCATGTGGTGTTTCCAAAGTATTGAGGCATTTTCTTGCAATTGAAGATCTAGCAATCATGATAATAGAAACGTTAGAAACGTTTTAAGCGCGTAAGTGATCACAACTTCAATTCAGGCGTAGCTTCGGCCGGGGAGAATTAAGCTTCTGATCTTGGGAGTTAAAGGTTTAAGCATGAAATAATCAAGTCATCATAGTGACAGAGGAAGTCGTATTAGTTGTTACGCTTGGTAATTTGAATGTATTTGGAGTTCTTATTCAGCAGAACACAGAATAGAAACTTGGACTATAGAGCTGTTTTCCCCAGAGACAGAATTAAGATCCTGTCGTCCGTGAAAACAAGTCTACAGAACTAGAATCATTTTCGTAATCCTAATCATATTCGAAATCGTATTGGGAGCCTGTGGTATCATGGTAAATCGTACGTGCGCATCGACCGCTAACGAGTAAATTTCCCGGAAGTCGTAATACCGGAAATTGGGAATGATAATTTAGCATTGCACATTCATGTGGCTCTTCTTGTCCACTGTTTCCGGGCCGAATTGTAATTTAGAATGTAGGTTTTTGTGGAGGGAGGAGACCCACACGATGAATCAAACCCAGGCCACGATGGTTGTAGGTGAGCGTTCTCATAACTGCACTATCCCCGCTTCCCCTAAGTCCTGATGATACCAATTGTATGAGCACTCACATGTGGAAGGTCACAAAATCAACTCTGTCTGAGTTGCAAGAACTAGAAAGTTTGCATTTTCTTTCGATTTACTTCAGTATACCTGAGTTACTTATGCTTAGGTGAAGTGAAAGTCAATCGTTGGAGTCGCAAACAGAAGGGAGTTTATATATAAGGGCTATACCTCGAGAAGCTTGGGTTTCCTGTAGCCATGGAGTTTGCTGTTAACATCAATCGAGTTTCTGTCGTAAATCAACTTCAGATCAAGTTGCATCGACGGAATTTGAATCTTAACCGCATGCTCCTTTCAAAGGAAAGGAAAATAAGGCAAATGTCATCAGAGCTGAAACAATACGAATTTATAAATCGTTGACTGATGCCCCATTCGGACCAAAGCCCAAACATGTTTTAAAGCTGTTTTGTTAAACACGCTATAAAATTGGTTCCATCATAGAAGCCATTTAAATCGATGTTTGTCGAATTTGAATTTAGCAAGTTAAAGACTTCTTGAAACCTATGGAAAATTCGGTTTTTCAGTTCTTTGCTTCTGAATTTAATTCAGTCAAACCCGGTTTAACTAAACATTTTTCGCTGGTATGAATTAGGTGTAAGTTTCTTAATTTTAAAGCGTTTTTAAACACTGATAACTTAACTAGGAAAATTTTAAAAACCTTCTTTGCATGCAGTCTCCGATAACCATGCTATGGTAATCTGCTATTTACAAACCTTGTCATTCCATTCTCTGGTCAGAATCGTCTCGTGATTATAATCAGTGAAGAAGAACTCTTGCCTGTCATCGACTTGAAGAGTCCCTACGTGAAATAATTTGAAATCCTTTTGTTGAGAACAAACACCATGTTTTAAAACTTACTAACTCTGTTCGCCATCGTTGTACAGAGTCGTGATTTAGGCCTTGTAACTTTTGCGATAAAGTGATGATGAATAGCGAACGGTAAATTTGCAAGAGGAACCGGCCGTTTAAAGAAACTTACAGTAGGTAACCGTCTGAAAAGCGCGTGTTTAAAAAAAATCTGATGCAAAAAACGCGCGCGCTTGACGATGGCCATCCCAGCAACCGGAAACTTGTGTTGTTTTCCCAAAAGTGAATACTGAGTGTTCGATTGTTTGGAGAATGCGCAATTCTTGCTCAATTAAGGGTTAGAGTATCCGTCAACGAACGCAAATAAGCAATTGGTTAGACGAATGAAATCTGCTCCACATCAATGGTGAGAATAACACAATACTTCAAATTCTTAAATCCGCGTTCAATTTTCCGCGCACGAAAAACTTAAGTCAGAAAATTGTTTCTCAGAAAAAAGGGAAACTTACCCTCCAGTTTAGCACCATGTATAGTGCTTAAAAGCAAAAATACAAGTGAAAGCGCTAAAAGCGCAGTCACCCACTTCATCTTCGATATTTAACAAAACTTATTCTCTCTCACGAAAAGTGCCCATTTGCTCTTACAAACCTTAAGTCAGAAAATTGTTTCTCAGAAAAAAGGGAAACTTACCCTCCAGTTTAGCACCATGTATAGTGCTTAAAAGCAAAAATACAAGTGAAAGCGCTAAAAGCGCAGTCACCCACTTCATCTTCGATATTTAACAAAACTTATTCTCTCTCACGAAAAGTGCCCACTTGCTCTTGCCGCGAAAACGAGTGAAGTAAATCACTTACGTCACAAAGCACCTTATGACGCCAGTCGCGCGACGTAATCACTTAAATTCGCCCCATGCCGCTTTATTCCAGATACAGATCCTAAAAGCTCGTTTCTGGCGAGAACCCATAACTAGGGGTAGAGTTCCTGCATATTTTTTGATGCGTTTTTGCATGTTATTCGCACTTAACTGCCCAAAAACGCTGATGTAAACGGAGGCTTTCAACAGTTTTAAAAGTGCATTGTTTGAAAACGCATTGTTAAAAATGTTCCATTTCTTGTGTAGTTTCGAAAACATTGACGAATATTTCGTCGCACACTTTCGCCTCCTCCCATGTTTGCGGTTGTTTTAGAACGGAACGTTGTGGGATGGGAATAAAGGGATTTAGCAGTGGATTTTCCACGAGGTGGCCCTTCTTATCCACTGGTTCCAGTTCGAATTATAACTTGAAATGGTAGTTTTTGTGGAGGGAGGGAAATCGGAGGATTCGGAGAAATACCCCTCGGAGCGAGGACAAAAAACCGACATTAAACTCAACCCACATGTTACGCCAGGTCCTGCAATCGAATTTGGGCCACAGTGGTGGGAGGTAGGCACCCTCACCACTGCGCCATCCCTGCTCCCTTATTTCTTTTTGGCATACCACGTGCTTGTCAGATCATTATCTGTGACTTATGTTTATTATAACATCATATCGTTTTTGCTGTTTTATCACCAGCTTAAGATGCTTGAATCCACAAAGGAGCTCTCTGCTGAGCACACGTTCGGATCTCGTCCTTCGTGGTGGCCTCTGATGAGGAGAGGAGTCGCGTTTTGGATTGCTAGAGACACTAATGTAGGCTTAATACTACTGCATTTCACTTGCACAGCGGTTAAATGTCTGCGCATGTGCGAACGTTGTAATGACTTGGTGTGCTTTCAGGCTTTCAGAACTAAGTTGTGTGACACGAGTTAAAAACAATCACACACATCAGTAAGTCACGGTGTTTTATAAGCGTAGAGCTTTTTTCGATAAAGCTCAAAACAGAATGCGAAATCAATAGGATACCCGTACTTAACTCAGCTTTGTGTTTGAAAAGTCGCGAGTTTTCCTTTCCCTACTTTTGTTTCCTTTCACGAATTTCTATGAACGTTTCAATTTCTTTCGCTTATTTTGCGAGATGGTGTTTTTGTCTTATGTATTCTTTGAATCTTTACGCGGGAAATTGGCGCGCGGCCGGCCAAAATTGATCCCCTCGCGCATGCCCGACGTTGGACCGCTGTTTTCATTTCACTTGATTTCATCCCATTTGAAAGCACAACTGATCTTGCTGTCTTCTCTATTTCAGGCGCAAGTATTCTGTATTGGCAATCCTTTTGTATGGTGGGCGACCACACTTTCCCTTCCTGTGTATTTCGGACTTTTAATTTTTTATCTATTGAGAAGAAGAAGAAACGTGCACGACTTGTCAGAGGGTAGGTTTTGTTCGGAATTTTAATTTTCTCACTGTGGTTCATAGCCAAGTTTATCTGTCTCTAGAGCAGCCGCACAAATTTCCTTTTCGTGATCTCTAAGGTCTTAGGAGCCGGTCATAATTTATCTCGTGGGGTAACTCCAAGTTGCCTCGTAAGCGGTAAAATCTCTGGGAACTTCGAGAGTAAGTCTCTTGTGAACTCTCAACCTTTTCAATTGATTAAAACTTTGTATTTACTTTTTTGAACTGGATATTCATGGAACAAATCGCATTTGTATCTTATTTTTTAGATGCGTGGGAGAGATACGTGTTTTGTGGTGAAGCGGTGGTTGTAGGATATCTTCTTCACTTCATCACGTTCTTCCCCATGGAGAGAACATTGTTTATTCATCACTACCTTCCCGCCCTGTTCTATACAATTATTCTTCTCCCAGTGATGTTACAACACGTTCATGATGAGATCTTTAGGTAAGCTCGAGGCATTTACTTAATCAGAAATATAGATTTTGCTGGAAATGTTAATGAATTATGATATGAATCATCCTCGGCTATTGACTTGTTGACAACCTGAAAAGTCGGTCGATCAGGTGAACTTAGCGATAGTAGTTTTTTTGTGTAAGTAGTTTAATCGAAAGCGAGGTAATAATCTTTCTTGAGTAGTGAGTAGTGTTTACAGTTTACCTCACAGAGCAATTTTCAATTGAAAGTCGATTACATTGGTTTTACTTTACTCTGCCCTGTGATTGTCAATAAAACTCGCGCCACACTAATCACGACTTGGTCGCCTGCGTTTTCCCGCGCTTCGGGCGGTTTGGTTTTTTCGGTTTTTTACTTTGAGTTTTCATTGGCTCTTCAGGATATTTTCCTTTCTTCTGATAGGCCGTTATAATTACTTTGGTTTTGGTTTTACGGCACCAAATCAAACAGCACTGTTATGAACTTGTTTCGGAATGGAGCAGCCTTAGCTTTTCTGTATTAACAAGCAACGGCCAACATAACAGAGGAAAATGAAATGACACAAACTGCCTGAAGCGCTGCATGTATTTGTTGAGAGGGTGGGCTGATCTGAGCCAATCAAAGAAAACAAAGGCGTTTTTGGATTACCTTCGACACTCGACTCAAAATCATCTTTTGAATCGTCATCACGAAAATTTGAGCGACTTACCATCCTGCAAGTATCATTAGAGAGTTTAAGAAAACCAAGGCGGCAACGGCAACAGAAACGTCACTGAATTAAAGGTTTTATAAGTAGAACGGTGGCTCTGCACGTGCGTTATAAATCTTTGTAAATTTATTTGCGTCCTCTGTAAAACAGCAACGTGAAATGACCAAACCCTGCGTTGTCTGGAGAACGTGAACGACGACGGCTAATTTTTTAAATTTCTATTTCTAATTTAACGCTGCGTTCCATATTCAGTTGCGAGATAGTTTTGACAGAGAGAAACAACCTAAATGACTCTAGAGTACTGCGAGATTCGTAGGTAAAATTAAAGTTCGTTGTTTAATCGACGTTGTCCACGGCGTCGCTGTCGTCGTTTCTTAAACTCTCTATTGTTTCTCTTTGCTCTCTCTTTTCATTTGAAACGTAACAATTGTAAGTGTGATCTCTCCTCAGGTACAAAACACTTCGATGGATTTTGTATGGATGTTGTGCACTCTTGGTTGTCGTTGTTCTATGGGGATTTCATTTCTTCAGTCCGTTCACGTACGGTCACGTGGCTCTCTCTTCCGCCGATATCAACCGACGAAAATGGCTTAGCACATGGGACATGCTATCTCATCCGAACACGTGACATGAATTGCATGTCAACTGACTGTTACTCCTCCTACACTCCTACCCAGACTTCTTAATGCGCATGCAAGTGTTATAATAAATAGAATTTAGAGATACTGGGAACGACAGTCGCGTGCAAGGGAATCTGGGATCGTTTGGGTAAACGCATACAACTACCTGTTGTTTTACAGTATTAAACGTCGTGTCTTGGGATTTGACTAGAAGACGATTACTAAAGCCAGAAGACCAAATTTATTCAGAATTCTATAATTGTTTTAACGAATGATTGCGTAGCATCTACCCAAATAGATTTCAAACGCCAGTGTCAAGCACGGACATATCTTGGTAACTTTTTCAAAAACATGTCTCAAATTAATATTTGTAAAGTAACTTGTGCAGTTCCGTTTTCGACGAACCTTGATTGGTTAACTTTTATTATTTATTAACCTATAGGTGATGTTGACACTCTAAGAAAAATTTCTTTAGCATCTTCTCTAAGAGCCATTTCTTAGTTCGTCTTCTTCGCATCCGCAATTGTAATCAGTCACGCAATAGTTCTGTTTGGAGGGAAACTTTTTTTTTGCAAGCACGTCTGAATTTTAGTGCGAGTTTTGTTCATAACTCACCCATTGTAAAATATTAGTTTGCCTCTTTTTCTTGTCCCTCTTGAGCGCATACTCAGGGTCTCTCCTTTTTACCTTGAGAACGAAGTATTGTCTCCCACACATGGGAGTGTTGTGTGTGAAAGGAAGCATTTTTGCCAACTAGCCTCATCCAAAGTACGCCATTTTAAAATGTACTGCGGTACGTGTAGGAAAGAGAATTCTGTCCGTTCAATCAAGGAGGCCTCGCCAGTAAATGATTTCCCAAAGTATAAACGTAAAACACCAACACCGAACGGACAGTTTGCATTTAATAACTTATTAGTATAGTGTACCGCAGAGAATTGACCTGAATTGACGCGCGTAAATCTCATAGAAGCTAGTTTATTTAAATACCGTGAAATGATTCTTAACAGTCCACATTTTAAGTCGTCCTCGTTCTTTTTTTTGTTTTTATTGTCGATGACAAACTAGGTGACATAGTTCCTCTAGGCGTATTTAAGTACCTAAAACTCCATTGTGGTAGTCCCTCTAGCAGCCGTTGTTTGGTCTTGTCACGTATCGTCCTCCGTTATCTTTGCGTTGCGTGACAAGATCTAATAACGGGCGTAGTCAACAAATGCACACGATGGTCCTTAGAGTAGAAGCTTATTTAAGAATTATTTTTCACACATGATCGTAAACATTTTAACTTAAACTTAAGTATTTAGGAGAGGAGGTTTGGTGGTTCAGGTTGTCAGCTGACCTCTTCCTCGAAACTCTGATTTATTTTGCAATTTACATGATAAGAATTTAATAGAAAATACGATCTTTTAAAGATTTAGAACTACTTTACAAAAAATGTGCGTGTTTTTCCTCTACTATTTTTATTATTAATCTTGACGGTTTTTATCAATACTAGTAACTGACTTTGCATTGTCGTCTGCCAAAATTTTTATAGAACTGCAAAACTTTTGTTGACAGAATAGACACTAATGGCTTGCGTAGCTCCGACACTCCTTTTCAAGGTGGTGCTGCCTTTATTTCCGTCGAACGCCCACAAACATACCGGCGACGGGGGATAAAATACTGAGTTTCCGCGTAACACTGAGATTAGCTTTCTGTTATCTTTCCTGAGTGGTGTACCTGTGTCTATTAGCAGTCTATTAGAGAAATTTTCTATCGAGTGTCGAAAGTGATCCGAGATTTCATGGGTTTTGCTTTACTTCGCTCTGTGACTGGTCCCGAAACCTCGCGCCGCTCTCAACCAATCAGGTGCAAAACTGAAACCACTCACCACCATGCCGCTCGCTTTTTCAGGCGCTGCACATAATTTGGTTGTTCCTATTTGAGTTCTCATTGGATCCTCGGGATATTTTTCTTTCCGTTATGATTACTACGACGCTCGGTCGAACAGTGCCCTATCCTGCAAGGTTGCATGTAGCTGGTAACCCTTAGCTTCTTTCACAAGCACGAAATGTAGAGAAAATCAGTTGCCCCGAGATAGAGTCTGTTATTCCCGGGAAAGTATGACGTCTGAGTAAAGCGAGCTTGCGAGGGGTCTGTAAGGGGTCTCGCACTAATAACGAGGCATTATCGGTGCCAGACCACCTGCAACCTCACCCTGACTTATCTAAAATCTTTCTGCGGGAGGAGAAACGCACGTCTTGCAACACCAGTAATAAGGGCCTCCTTGAAGGCTTCTTTATTCAACATTTGACGTGTGCATTTTTTTTTTTCTAATGAAGTGTCTATCCACAAAATTTGAAATTACAAACTTTCGCTTTTTTATAAGGATTACACACTATTATTCCTACTTATTTTCAGTAACTTCACCACAGTCTTTAGAAAGAATCAGTTATCGATTCCTTTAATGATAAGAACGAATTGAAAAAAAATAGATCTACTTTGGGAGCGCTTCCACTGAAAGCTGAAGATAGATGGTGGCTGACTTAACTGGTTACGGGTTTCAACGTCAGTTTGAGATTTTGAAGAGAGTACTATACTGCGTTGCAAAGAATTGACTAAACGGAACGACGTCACCTGAGACATCTGTTTACGCAAATTCATAACAGTTTTTAGGTAGAATTTAAGCAATACACGCCACAGGAACCATAAGTCACGCTAGACAATTCCGTACGCTTACATTTAAGTTATTATCTTTTTTCGCAAATTTATTACGGTAGTTGAATGTAGTAGTCACACAACAAGAGGCCAACTCACACACGCTTCAAAATGCATATATAATTGCACCCTTCTAATGAAAGAGTGGAGGTACTGCACTTAACGTTTTTTTAACTTTGTTGTTTATTGGAGTATCAATGCACCATCTCGGGAAACCTTGGCTCCTCCGCACAGTTAGGTGTCCTTATCTGAAGTCTGCTGTGTCAGTCTCCGATCGTTTCAGTCTGTGTCGGAATCTGAGTCTGGCAGAAAAATTATTGTGTTTTCTGCACTAGTTCTTTCGTCTTCTAAGGCTTCAAGAAAGTCCCATAATCTGAACGAAAGTTTATCGAAAAATCAGAATCACAATAGTAATTGTAGCAACAGCAACAATTAAACAAAATATGTCCTTAGAATTGTTAACTTGAAGATGCTTCGTGCTTAATGAATGTTGTCAATTTGACAAACAGATTACGTGTGTCTGTTCAGGAGTAAATCACAGATGTCGTCAAAATATGGTACTCGGAAAGGTTTGTGTCATGAAGTTGATCATTAAAAAATTTCCATTACTATTACGCCCTCTTCCCAACCTCCCTTAGGTCCTAGCCATGGCAAGAGTAGAGTGTCTTGCCTAGAAAAATACCTTAATGACCCGGATGGGCTCGAATCCAATCCCCTTAGGCAGTACTTCTCAGTCCTTCATTGTTCAAGGACTGACTTAACTCAGTTCATTTCTGAGATGGCCGAGGATAACAGCAAATGTACCTCTCTTTCTCAAAGTTTTTCTCTTGATCTCATTTTGAAAACGAAGGTTTCAGAACTCGTTGAAATGGCCATTTAAAATTGGTGGTACAACTTATCAATCCGCAAATGTAGAACTTTAGTTTTTACCAAGACAGTGGATACCGTTGAAGGAGCGCTCTGATTGGCCACTCAAACTCCGAATAGCCTTTGCTATTCACCTTTGAGCAAAGCGCAGGATTTGCGCCCGGAAACATTGAAATCGCTACTGGAATAAAATAAAATTAAAATAATATCTCGTGCTACATTATCTAACTGTTTTAGTATGTACTAAAACGAGTAATCACCTCAGTGTCGGTGGCTTGTGGCGGATATTTACCGAGCCGCTTCGTGGATCGGTAAATATTCACCATTAGCCACCGTCACTGAAGTGAATAGTTGTTAAATATTTGTGACTTCGGTGTTCACACCACAACTGACCTGAAGGTTTGTACAACCTTGGTATTTCCTTCTGAAGTATTGCAATGCCTTAGCTTTGTCTCCGCGACTCTTCCGTCTGGATATGCTACATAATGACAACAATGGGTCGAAATCACAATTCTACCAAAATGGTGCCCCAGAGAGCTGCATGTTTTTGTTTACTACAGTCAATCAACAACAAACTGAGGCAACGGCTATCATTAGCATCTTGCCTAAATTTTGCATTTTGTTACAGTCCTCTCTATCCTTAACATCGTTCCGCGGGAAAATACGAGTGTACAATTTGCGACGACCTTTAGTTTCACAACCCATCGTTTCGTAGCCCAAAATAGATGAAAAACCAATGTTATCCGGGAAAGCCGTCCTAGCCAACTTTGCCTACCACGACAAACTCTTATCTGAAAGTTTTCCTTCCAACGAAGGACAGCATTTAACCCTCCCCTCCCCCCCTCCACAAAATTAAATCTCATGACATCGCTCCTTTGAGATGAACAACCATTAAAGAAAGCAATCGCAGCCAGATTGTTTAAAACAGTTTCTCGCTACATTAGTTAAAAATGAGGAACACGGGTAACGCCATGTTTGGTGTCGTCACGCCACGCGCTCTCTCGTTGGTGGGGAGAGAGCGCTTGGCGTGACGAGACCAACAACGGCTGCGAGAGACTAGGTAACGCCAGTGCTCGAGAAAAATTTTCATAAAGAAAGAACGCAAAGTTTCTCATTTCATTCCATACCGTGTTTGTAGAAGCAACTAGCGCCAAATTGACACGTCCGGGTTCCTTGCGCAAAATATTTACACGGCTTTTCCCTGGAAAAAAAAATTATATATCCAGATTTGAATGTCATTGAACATGAGCGGTAGAGCATTGTAAATTTGATTCCACAAAAGAACACACAATTACTCAGTGAACCTTAGAGCAGATTTGTAGTCTTCTATAAGCTTCTTCTTCTCGACTGGATCATCAATCCACACTTCACTCTGGAAGACATCAAGAAAGCACTGAAAATTTTGCACAGCTGAGCTCATTTCGATTAAACATCGTGTGACAACAAGTAATACAATCTTGCAGACCAATCAGAGAAACAGATTCATAACATATGGAGCCGGTAAGAACAAAAAGCAAAGCAAAACGCAGGTTTTTTTTGCATTTGATTTTCTAGACTTGGAGCGCTTTTCGAGTGAGTGTCGTAAATCCAAAGTAATCACAACGGCCATTCTGATGGGGGAAAATACATTTAAGAGTCACTGAGAGCTCAAACCAAACTGTCTAAAGCGCGGGAAACACAGGCGACCAAGTTGTGATTGGCTTAACTTTTATACCTGATTGGTAGAGAGAGTAACGCGAGTTTTGTAGATTAATCACAGGGAAAAGCAAAGCAAAACCAGGGATATAGCAAATGCAATCCAAGATAACTTTTGACACTCCTGCAAAATTCCTGGATCAGAGAAGTCCAAAGGTAAAATACTCACCGGGGTAACAAATGCAGATGGTTTTCGGCAAACTGGACACATTCTATAACAACGAGGATGGAATAATGTCAAAGTGGCGATAAACATTCCGTATACGATACTGTAAAAAGGTCTGAGCAGTAACCCTTTAACCCCTGAGTGACCAGCATCTAATTTCTCCTTACAATATCGCCCCTAAATCACACAGTTAGGTCACAAGAATACAAGGAAATGATCACCAACTTGTATGAATTGAACATGTTCCTGTCTAACATCACATTCAACTGATAAAACATTGTGTTCACTTAGTAATCAGTATTTTAACAATGATCAATGGGCAACCGTGCACCTACCCCTCCCCTAACCCAACAACAGTTGACTGATAACAAATTAGGTTTAAAGAAGGGTTAGGGGAGGGGTAGGTGTGCAGTTACTCAGTCTGAAATTTGTACCTTACAACTTTGTTTTTACTTTGAGATGTATTTCTCCAATGACGAATGCAAGCCAAACAGAAAGAGTGGTTGCAGTCAGCTGAAAGTGATTTAGAGATGAAGGTAAATTTTTAGCAAATTTGGCCACCAACAAGCATCTGTTACACAAAACTGTAAAACCAAATTCAGCCATTGAGAGCTGAGCACTGAATTGACCACAAATAGAAAACAAATAGCTGCTCAACCCTTTAATTCAAATAGTGACCAAGATAAAATTTCTCCTCACAATATCAATAGAATATCAAACAGACAAGTGAGGGGAATAAAGAATAATATCAGTTAGGGAATTTAGTTGATCCAAAACCAAATTCTCCAAACTAACATCATAAGAATTGTATGAAAGACACAATGGAGAATTAGTAATAAGATCCAAAATTGGAGAGAAGGGAGTTTATAGAAGCTTTAAAGTTTATCTCTCTCTTTTGTAAATTTAAATGATGATGCTAGGGAGACACATATTTTCTTGTTTTGAAGCAATTTAGATACTTTTTTTAAACACTAAATTACTCTACAAAAATAGATTCTTCTTACTGAGTATTCCAAATCTTTGCTCACTGGGATTTGCTTTTGATTTGACCTCTTCCAAGCAGATTCCACATGTCACACCAAAACTCCTGTTAGTAACAAATCAATATGATACCCTCAACTTTATCTTGAATACCCCCAGATACTCAATATAGAATGGAAAGCACCTTAGCCAGGAATTTAGATCGGCTTAAAGAAATTAAAATCCCCATTTGACCCAAAATTGGCATACATGTTTCGAACAAGTGCCCACGCTCTAATTAGCACCCTTACCCTAATAAGCCTCCACCCCCAAGGCCACAACATCAATCAACTGCACACCTCAAATAAGCCCCCCCCCCCTCCTCCCTCACTTTCTTAAAAAGTAGGGATACAAGGAAAACCTGTTTTTATTGCTATTTATTTCAAATTTTTTCAAACATCAACTACAACAGATTCAGTACAGGAGGATAGTTTATTTTCCATTTGGTTCTACCTATCTCCATGTGCTTGCAGAGTTCCTTTAAGTGCATAATCTGTTCTTTTAGTTTTTTTTTTGTCCTATTGCTTTGCTAACTAGATAGGATCCCCCCTCCTCACCCTGGCACTTATTCGAGGAAATATGGTATGCCAGTGGTCTTGATTTGTTTAATTGTGTCATTGTGGGAGTTCAGTGTATTTTTAACCTGACTTATACCTTTGCACTGCAAATGAATGTTGCATGTCTTTTTCATGACTTTCAACACAGCTTTGGCGATGTTCTAAAATAAAGAATCACACCACATTTATAAACAAACATCCATGGTAAATTCCTGGAAAAGTAAAACCCAGAAAAATATAACATAAACCATCTAAGTGATTAACTATGCACTCCATACGTGCATAACTTGTCCCACCATTTTACACTTAAGACCAAATCCCTGGGCATGGTCTTTAGTCAGATAATTTGTCAATTGTGGTTTTCTTTGAAACTGCTCACAGGAATGCATCCAAGGATTTTTAAAGGGGAGGAGAGAGGCCAAAATTACTTTCACCTCCCTCTCCCTATTGAGTAGTTATATGCAATCTTGTGGTTGCAAAAAGTTTGGTGTCAGGAAAGTTGTAAAATCAATCCACATGTCTGATAGGGGAATGGGTCATGACCTGCGTAGCCCACCCTTTTGACCTGCCTCTGGTCCTTCCACCTCAGTTTTTGTCACTTGCATGTACAGATCTTAAGTGAGTGGCCAGAGGTTTTATATTTATCATTGCAGTCAAAATTTAGGAAGTGACCATAAACAGTATTAAAATCACATTTATTTAGCCCATCATTGACCCGTAACAAAACGTTACAAGTCAATGACAACGTCACATAGTATTACCTTGTTGCTGTGTCAAGTCAAAAGGATGAAGGCATTTGTTCCCACAATATTCACATTCCAAACCATGTAAATAATTACATCTACAAATCAAGAAAACAAACTGATTGAGTTGGGAAAGACATCACTCAAGATCAAAGTCAAATGTTGCGGAAAGAAAATTAACCTACTGCTCAATAAAAGGACAATATCCTAATGTTGCATCAAAAGGGCAGAGCTAAAATACAAAGACAAAAAAGGCAAAAGTGGAAACTGATCAGCAGTTGTAAATACCATATTTCCTCAAATAAGCTCTCATGCCTTAACCCTTTAACTCCCAAGATCTCACTAGTAATTCTCCTTACTGTCTGCCATATGATTCTCATTATGTTAGTTTGGAGAATTTGGTATTGGATCAACTAATAATCCCCTAATTAATATTTTTCCTTATTCTCATCATTTGTCTGCTAGATATTGTATTGATATTGTAAGGAGAAATTCTGTCTTGGTCAGTCATGGGAGTTAAAGGATTAACAATTCCTTTCCTTTGAATAAGCACCCTCCTACAAATAAATGCCCTCCCCTTGGCAAAAATATCAAATAAGCACCCCTTTAAAATAAGCAGCCCCTCTCCTCATTCACTTTCTTAATAGTGAGGATATAAGGAAAGCCTGTTTCTATTCCACTTCATTTATATTTTTTTATGCTTCAAATACAGCAGAATCAGTATAGGTCAATAGTTTCTTCTTCATAAGAATTACGGTCAACTCGCCAACGGTCCAACTCGCCGACGCCAACTCACTGATGTATAAAATCGAGTAGAGACGTCAGCGAGTTGGTCCTCAATCCAATACAACTTATTAGAAGTTAAACATACAGAAAAGTAAACGATATTTAGTAAAAAAACACTGGTGAACATTGGTGAACATCAAACAGAAGCTTAAACATTGTTGAACATTGGTAAACATCACCAATTAAGACGCGAATGAGTTATTGTGCGACAACAACACTGTGAAGACTCATCATGTCAATCGCTCAGATTTTTTAAAGAAAACTTGGCTTTCTAGACAAGATCTTAAGTTAAAAGCAATTCTTTTTATTTGCAACAAAGTTTATAAGGATCTCAATACGAATAAAGCAAGATAAACATCACCAATGACTCTAACAGCTTCAGACGCGAACGGCTTCAAACTTGTTCTCATCTTAAGCTGTTATAGTCATTGGTGATGTTTACCAATGTTCACCAATGTTTAAGCTTCAGTTTGATGTTCACCAATGTTCACCAGTGTTTTTTTTACTAAATTTCGTTTACTTTTCTGAATGTTTAACTTCTAATAAGTTGTATTGGATTGAGGACCAACTCGCCGACGTCTCTACCTGATTTTATACGTCGGCGAGTTGGACCATTGGCAAGTTGACTGGATACCCTTGATAAGCACCTCCTTTTCATTAAGCACCTCTCCTTTAAGCCAAATTTTAAAGAAGCACCTGGGTGCTTAATGAGGAAATACAGTAAGTCTAACTCTCGTGATCCTTCCTGGGTAAGCAAAGAAATGTCGTCAAAACATCTCATCTTTTGTATTAAGTTTTAATAGAAAAAATTCTACATGTTGGCCTTTCTAGGCCATAAAATTGTTCCATCATGTGATTTTAATAAAAGTATTTAATTGCTACTTGTTGCCCATGCGAAAAAGTTTCTTGAACTAAACCTTTACTTTATGTTAAGTTTTGGCCTTCTTGATATATAAAGATTTACACTTGCCTGACTTTTATGACTTACTGTTTCAGAACCTTCTTCATTAGCAAGCTCATCCACAAATTCAACCCCACACTGTGCTGCTGCAGAATATGATTGGGTACCTGTACCCTGATGATGAAAAATCAGCAACACTGTTTAAAAAAAGAAACTTTATACAATATTCAAGAACTTACTTTGTGAAATGAAAAATATTAGATATATACATCTTCATTGTAAGGTTCAGGAGAACTTACAGAATCTGTATCCCCTGGCTGTTTGTCTGACAACTCCTGACCTTTGCGCATGAGGGCCTGGCCCTTGCAAAGTAAAACATAAATTAAGTAATTAAAAGCAATTATCATAGGAGGTGATCTGCAATTTAAGTAAACACAGAAATTGTAAAAGAAACCTGAAAAAAAGCCAGGCTTCAACAATGCCTCCCAGATGCTAGCGATAAAGGGGTAAGTTTCTAAAGAAACTGTGATGCTGCATCAGTGGGTGAGCATATTGCTCAGGGTTATTTGGTATTATCAACTGAGTTCACCGAGAGGAGTTTCAAAACTTCAATTTCAAGCATTAGCCCTTCGTCAGAGTGAATGTTATTCCCAGATGCTAGTTAGGTGTTACTACCAACTGAGCTACAAAGCCACTTGCTGGGAGTGCAGTATATTTAACTCTTTACACTCTGACATCATTATGTATATTCTCCATGCTGTTCTCTATACATTTCTCATGGTGCTAACAAGGAGAATTTGTTAAGCAATCAAGTGCTTCTTTACTTTGTGATCATTTCCTTTATTCTCATGACCTTAATGTATGATTCAGAGGTGATATTGTTGGGAGAAATTAGATGCTAGTCACTCTTAGGGGTTAAAGAGTTGAGATATGTCCAGAAATGCATGCAGCAACAAAAATGGTGAAAATTCACCAAATCTGAAGATGATTTCATTTTGACAAATTTGACTAAAATTTGCCAAAATCTTCAAATTTATGAACATTAATTCCATTTGAGGAAATTTTCTTTCATCAGATCTGCCATTTTCATTATTGCATGTATTTCTAGACATAAGTGAAAGAGTTCCCTGCTCCCAAAGGGTGGCTTTGTAGCTCAGTTGGTTCTAATCATCACTCCACAGATAGCATACTTGTCTTACACAGTCCTAATATCATGCAATCACTCCAACTGGGAATGAGAACCAGACAGCTCAATCCAGAGTACAAAGGGCATTGACAGTATATCAACAAAACCAAACAATTTGAACTGATACAGCTGCCACCTTCACCTATCACTTACTGGAACAAATACAGCTGCATCTGCCCAGTTCTTAGGATGTTTTGACTTCTGCTTTGTGAGGGAAACCATCTGTTAAAGATTGAAAAGAAAAAACAGAAATCAAGGTATATTTTTAACCTACTAGGCTACACAATACATTGACATCAAAGTGATACACATTAAATTATCAGTACCTCTCTTTTATCATCATTCTTTGGGAGAAGTGGTATCGGTTTTGGTCCCGAATAAGTTCTTATCCTGTAATGTATAAAAAACAATATTCAAGCTACTTTCACAATATATTTCTCTTCCCTTATATTGGGGACTTAATTAAGCACACTCTTTTCTGAGATGCAAATGGTGGCTAAAAGCACATGGTGAAAGTACTTCAATCAGGTGGGCTTTGACATCAACCAGATTCATGACTGAGAAGCCCTAATAAAATTCTTAATTACACGATAATGACAACAGATCTCTGATTAATCTTACACCCTTACATCATTATACATATTCTTCATACTGGTCTTTTAGACTATTGGAGAATATAGGAGAATTTGTTCAATGATCAAAAGCTGCTTTAGTTGGTGGTTACTACTCTTTATTCTTGTGACCTTCATATTTGATTTAGGGGCAATACTGTATGGAGAAATTAGAAACTAGTCACTCTTTGGCATTTAAGAATAAGCACCAAGGAAAAGAATCCTCAACATCCAGATGCTTTCTGCCTTTAAAAAAACATCTGGGCTCCTTCTCAACCTTTTACTTCCACCTCCCAATTGCACTTACCTTACACTGATCACAATTTCATTTTAAACCACTTCCAAATAACAGAAAATTACAAGCTACATCAAGTAGGATTTGGCTACAAAATATTACTATAAAAATACCTGGACAATATACTGGGTATTTAGCCAGGTATTAGCTGAGGTTATAATCTCAAAATTAGTAAGAAACAAACATGCAGAACTAAAATAATATTATACCTTCCAGAAGATGGCTTTACGTGATCATAGCGGCAACTATTTCCATATGAACATGACCCTTGGAGATAGTACTTGCAAACCTTCACAAAAAAACAGTTTTTCATGATACTTACTTTTTGTGTCAAACGCATAGGGGTTTTTTATAGAAGAGGAAGCATATGTCTTTGAAAGAACTAATTGCTTGATAGTTGGGAAACAAATCACAAAATTATCAATCAAGGCTGCACCACAAGATGCTAGAAAAGGTCAATGCTTTGCTATCCATTACTGAAGAATTATGTGTTGAAAAGAAGTATAAAAGGGAAGGACCTAGGAACTTTACTATGTGCAACAAGGGGATCACATATTGCTTTACATCTAGACAGTGAAAAAATTTACAAGGACAGACACATTGTTACTCACAACATAATTATATTATCTTTTTGGTTAAAGTTCTTGATCAATTACCATGGAGGGCTTTTCCTTCAAATCATGAGAATACTGGCAGTTCTCTCCTTCTCTACAGACTCCATGCATGTAATACCTTAATAAAAAATACATAAATGTCAATTATGTGCTATTTGTAATTTGCACTCATGTCACAACTTTACACTTGTGTTTCATGAAAAATGCACTTGTTTTCAGCCAATCAGAAGCATGTATTTTTAATGTATATCATTATGTAGCTAACTGCTCTGATAAACCAATCAATACCTGCAACAGGATGAATACTAATATAATGATAATAATAATGATAATAATGAAATGGATAATAATAATAATGGTATCAATAATAATTTTTATGAAAATGATAATAGTAATAATAATAACAATAATATTAATAACAAGGGAACACAATAAAGACAATGTAATCTAGAGAGGAGGGGTTGAGGAAGTAGTGGGATCACTGAAAAAAAAGCTTAGAAAGCTGAACCTCTGACAAAAGCGATTAGTATCTGTTAATGAATAAACAAGGAAGGTATCTCCACGTGAGCCAGACCATTGGAATGGAAGGTGGCAGAGAACAGAATGAGAAGTGGCTTTGGTCCCCAATCCAACCCCACCTCCACCCATCACAGAAATCCTCCGGAGATGACTCTTTTTTCTGTTAACCTCGGGACCCTGATGTTGAGTATATGAGAAAATTTGACTTCGACATAGTTATTCTCTGAATCAAATGAGTACTCTTGATTATATAATAAAATGCCATTAGTGAGGCATATGGTATATCTAAAATGGTCTCCGGTTGTAAAAAAAAAACATTTACAACAGAACAAAACGCGAAATTTGACGCCACATGCAGGCTACGAGTCACACGATTCGTTGGAAAGTTTTCCTTGCATCGATCGATACTTACATCTAGAGAAAGAATTGAGATCCTTAAAACAACAAGACTAAAATTACACACAAAGAGAAAGCCGGTAACGTAGAAACAGATTGTACACATGGGTGTACTTACCTGCACAAGATTTGCTTTGTTTGTGCTAATGACGATCTACGGGGAAAAAAGATGAGTTGTGGATTATATACCATGATTTAAGACAGTGATCGTGAATAAACTTTACCCTTGGTGAACAGCCATTTTGGAAACACCAAATTGCGCCACTGATTGAAAGATTCCGGCCAAGTGTGGAGTGCAGTGGGAAATTGAATATTTAATGATTTATATTGACAATTTTCGGTAACCGCTGACCAGTCTCGTGCGGGAATAGGACTACGGAAGAGGTGGATACACGCATGCTTGCCACGTCAACCAGCTGACAAAAAGTACAACAGGCCTAAAATACCGGCAAATTGCTATATCGATCGCAAACAAGCTGTCATCTACGAGAAAACTGTGTTCTGCAATGGTCCGAATGATATTTTGTGTTTTTCTTTCCCTTTTATTCTTTTCAGCGCTGCATGGATTGGAAAATGACGACCACGATGTTGAAGTAGAACACGGACATTCTCACGAGGAGGGACATAAACATCACTCTCATGGACATAGCCATGATCATGGCCACGGCCACGGCCACAGCCATGATCATCACGGCCACAGTCATGGTTCACACGGCCACAGCCATGGTTCACACGGCCACAGCCATGGTTCACACGACCACAGCCATGATTCCCACGGCCACGGCCACGGCCATGATCATCACAGCCACAACCATGATCATTATGAAAAGCAGAAGTACATTCATCATGGAACAAGCTCTTCTTCTAAGCTACCATCCCGCGATGGAAACTTGACAACTAAATGGCTTCAAGCAATTGGCGCAACTTTACTTATCAGCGCGGCACCCTTCTTCATCTTGTTCTTTATTCCACTTCAAAGCAACTCGGCCGAACAACAACCGCTGTTGAAGATCCTTCTAGCCTTCGCTTCAGGAGGCCTTCTTGGAGATGCGTTTCTTCATCTGATCCCCCATGCGATTTCTCCGCATTCGCACGGAAGCGGTGATGGCCACGAGCATTCTCACTCTCATCAACACAGCCACGACGGCGAGCATCATCATGACCACTCTTCAGAAATGGCTGTCGGTCTCTGGGTTTTAGCTGGTTTGATTGCCTTTTTGATGGTCGAGAAATTTGTTCGGCTTGTAAAGGGAGGGCATGGCCATTCACATAGTGCCCCGAAAATTGTAGCTAAAAACGGTGATGTGTCTCCGAAGAACGGACATGAACATGACGATTCCATATCAGGAGAGACTGATCAAGAAATACGGAAGAGAAAAAAGACAGACGAGGCAACAGAGAAGGACAGTAACTCAGACAGTGCGTCAGGTATAAAGCTTCTTTATTACAAAACCATTTAAGATAGAGATCATTGTTACCTACATGAAGCTAAATACATCGAGTCACGCTTTTTAAATTTTTAATTTCACTTTTCCAGCAAAACTCTTTTTCACCTAGTTCGTATGCAATATTATTTGACACGTAAGAGGGTCTCGTCAAATTTTATTCAATTTGTACTGTGCGACTGTTTGTTTTTGATCACTATTAATAGTCGGTCACGCTTTCCACCAAACGCAAAACCAAATTACAAAATCGATCATTAAAATCTCACCATCTCCCGTTGCCTGAACATCGATTTTACAGCACTTAGTTCACAGCTGTACTTTCCCACAGTATATTTTTTTTTATTTTAACAAAATTCATTAATTTTAAGTGTATTATTTCAGCTTTTTGAAATTTTCGAGTGTAAAAATCAATATATCACATATCCTCAGTGACTTGCGAAAATCGATATGCAAATTTCAAGTTTCGTCAACGTGTCAAAGTGAAATAAATCCTCGTGGCTGGGTAAACACTAGGCGCTATTGTTCGTGCTCAATGAGTTTTCAGAGGCTTCAGTGTGAATTTGCGAATTTTATTTAACATTTTTTCCTCGCTGACCTTTCTTTCGAGTTTTAAACGAAATCTTCGTTTTTTTTAGATGTAATTTTGCTCGCTCCTTACTTATTTGTCTGTCATAATTTTCGAATATTTTCCTCTTTGAATCGACATATTCTGAAATAAAATTTAACATTTCTACCTACACAACCAGTTCTCGAACGAGGTAAACGTTTTTTCGTGTAATTATGGTAACAAACAGCAATTGGAACAGGTTTCAAAGCCTACTGAATGTTCTGCTGCCACGGAAACTGTACTCTTCCAATACTATCCCTAATTGAAATCCATATTAAACATTATTTTTGGAATAAATTTAATCATTCAGTTTAGAAAATTGCTATTTAAATTATTACTAGAACTTTTCATTAATGTCTTAATCCAAATTATTTGTGAACTAATAGCACCCTGGAAGAAAACCACAGTTATCTATATCTGTGGTTATTCTTTGATAATTAAAAATCAAGTTTTGGTGATATTTATTTCCATATTCAAATAAAGTACCTGTCTGTAATTAACACTTTGGCTTACAAATATTGCTAAGTTATCATCAGATTTTTTTTCCTTACCAATATCTTAAATAAATGGCTAACCCTCTCACTTCAAAGATGTCAATAGCAATTCTCCTGACTGTCTGCTATGCATTTCTTATTAAGTGACTTTGGAAAATTTGGTTTTGGATCATCTTAAAATCCCCTAAATTGTATGGAGATTGTAAGGAGAAATTCTGTCATGGTCACTCATGGTAGTGTAAGGCTTAACTTGTTACCTCTCCTTACTATATCAAAACATGATTAAGTAAACAGGTGGGGAGAATCAACAAATACTTCTGTCTAAAGACATGTTCTAAAATCTGAAACAGCAAAACAAAACAGCTGAAACAACCAAAATGATAGAGTATCATGAGACAGCCTTAACATTTAAATGCCTAAATGGGAGAGAATATCTGAGGTGAAATCAACATTTTCCATGACATTTCATCCTCCACTTATCTCAATAGTTGTAGTGTTTTTTTTTGTTTGTTTTTTTTTTCTGGTCACAGTAGTTCTTTTGTTTTGTTCATTACAGCCATTTTGATTGGTTGTTTGGGTGGTTTGGCTTGTTTCATTCCAGTCATTTCGTTTTGCTGTTTTGGGTTTTAATTGATACCCTATTTGAAAGGTTTTTTATTTAAAACACTACATTTACCTGTTATTTCACAATGCCTATGACCTGGGAAAGGAATTAAAAATCAGATCAGAGAAATTATCAACTTGTTCTATTTCCAGAACCACATGATCATGAAGAGGATATCAAAGTGGCAGGCTACCTTAATCTTGCAGCTGATTTCACTCATAACTTTACTGATGGACTAGCCATAGGTGCCTCTTTCCTTGTGAGCCGTAATCTCGGCATAATAACCACTCTTACAATTCTTCTTCATGAAGTTCCTCATGAGATTGGTGATTTTGCTATCCTGGTACAATCAGGATGCAACAAGAGAAAGGTGAGTGCAACATGCAACACAGTGTTAAGGAGTTTCTTCATTGGTACATGTACTTTTTCTATGACACTATTTCCTGATTCATGTATTGTCGCAGGTAAAGACCTACTGTAATTTCTGGCTGATTACCTGTAGGTGATCTGTTGATTTTGAATTAAACATGCACCACTGCGGGTAATAGGGAGGTGCAGGTTATGTGACAATTTTAAAATCTACTGGTAGTTGAATTGAAAAAAATTCTCACCTACATGCGTTTCCACCTCCCAAATGAATTTTATTGTATTAAGAGTGCCACAAAGTGGCATGAAAACATGATGCCAACTCAAGTTTATTTCACACACAATTAGTTGTGTGACAAACAAATTGTGGATCAATATCAGTATCTGGGCAACTGCCCACCTACCCCTCCCCTAAATCAACAACAGTCAATTGACAACAATTTAAGGTTAATGTTGGGTTAGGGGAGGGGTAGGTGGGCAGTTGCCCAGATACTGATATTGATCCCAAATTGTCATCAGCATATGTGAAAACAAAACCTTGATGGTGACAAAAATAATCCAAAGATATTTGGTACATCAGTAACAAATTTCCATTTAACACCAGCTTGAGCTAGAAATAATTTTCCCGTTTTAAGGGACTTGTTAGGCCCAATAGAACCGGAGATATCTATATTTTTCAGAAATTGCCAACAGTACTTTATAATTCAAGTTCTAGCACTCACCCTGCATTCTTTCAACAAATCAACATGGTGCTGAACAATCACTCACACAAAATGTGGCCACAAATTCGCATTCTGTCAAGTATGAAACATTGAGATTTGGGCATGGGCCACTAGTGTTTTCACTGTATAATTTTATCAATAAAGTACATGCTAATATTGACACAGAATTGTGCACACATCTGAATTTCTTTGACCTTTAAACTCAACAAAGAAGCTTTCAAGTTTTCAAAAGTTAGACAGACAACTTTTAGAAGACCAAAATGTATCAGCTTAATGTCATGTTTTTGCCACCAAAAAGTTGAATAACATAACATGCGGGTTATCCACCAGTGCAGGTAATCTGTTGACTTTTTTTCACCGTATGCAATAATCGGCCGGTGCGGGTAATCGGCTTTGCAGGTAAATGGCCAGAAATTACAGTACATGTAGTTACAAGAATTTGGTGTTAGATCATGACAACAACTTCGATCTACCAGATAGTTTTGAGCATTCTCTCTACTGGTTTGCTGGATAGTAAATGTATATTGTAGGAAGAAGTTACATATCAACTTTTGGGAGTTATTAAATGCCTCCCATTTGATATTTTCTATTCCCTTCTTGGTTTGATGAGGATTTGCTGATTTGGAATCATATTAGGGGTGGCTGGGGATTATTACCTACCAAACTAAGTGCAAACTTCTTCAAATGGCCCATAATGTCATTTTTGATCTACCGTAGTTATTCGGTTATAAGGCGCACTCGGCTATAGGACGCACCCCCAATTCGGCAACTTCATTATTGCATGTTTTCAAACTGAAAATATCGCTAAAATACTTGGTTATAAGGCGCACGGTTGTTTGGGGAGTAAAGATCGGTCAAGTTTATTGTAAATTCTTTCAAGTTTATTGTAAATTCTTTCATAAACTTACAAAAAAGCGAAAAAGTCGCATATTGATTTTAGTTTACCGTTAATTAACAAAAGCAGAATTGTCGCACACGCAACCACGCGCACAAACAAAAAAAATTACTGAGCACGTGCTCTCGAGCACGTATCATATCTATGCAAATTTGACTTCGCTCGTCTTTTCAGAACCACCATATTTATAAAAGTCAATGACCAACACTGTGTCCTTTTATTTGCTTGAAGTCGTACCAGTAACTGTGATAAAAAAAAATTGTTTTGGGAAAATATTCGCCTACAAGACGCACCCAAACTTTGGCGGTAATTTTTAGTAGAAATTAGGAATTTCTTGAAAAAAACGGTGCGCCCTATAATCGAATAACTATGGTAACACCCACTTCTTCCCACTAATTTACAAGGAGATGTGTAAAAGCTAAAGGGGAGAATTAGCAATCAGATCTCAGGAGTTAAGGTGTTAACAACTATTCACCAAAGTAAAGGTGGCTAGTGGTGGATATCTAATCAGCCATGGTAACTACAGTGAGATAATATAGCATAAAAAATAATTTAAACTCATTTCTTCCTGCAACGATTACAATATTTTGGGCACAAATCCCAAGCGTATTGCTTGGAGTTGAATAGCAATGGATTTTTGGAGTTTGAGTAGCCAATCAGAGAGCATTGTCAATGCCATCCACTGTTTTAGTATATATATTAAAACATTATTTTGCCAGGTGCATACCAGATGAAACTACACTATTTGTGTAAAACATTATTTAAACAACCAGCCACCCCTATGACCCCATCTACTGCCCCCTCCCCCCTCTTTAATTGCAGTTTTGGAACATATAATTATATATTGACTTAATATTTGCATTGATCTTTTCAGGCAATGTTTCTTCAACTGACGACAGCCACAGGAGCATTGGCCGGTACATTCTGTGGCTTGCTAGCAGAAAACATTGGTGAATCGGCAACACTGTGGATCCTGCCCTTCACAGCTGGTGGTTTTATTTACATCGCAACAGTGTCTGTTATTCCTGAATTGCTAGAAGACACTAAATTAGGACAATCCATCAAAGAAATTCTGGGGATGTTGGTGGGAGTTTTAATGATGGTGCTTATTGCTAAATTTGAGTAATTCTTTATAGAATATTTTAAGTTCTCATAAGAGATTAAAGATAAATCCATTACTGCAAGTCTTCTCTAAAGTAAGTTGAGATAGTGCCTTTGGAGTTTAAGTTTATGATTGCTGACTTACAGAACACAAAATAGTATAATCTGACGTCAGCAAATATAAATTAAGTAGTAAATATTTACTATCTAATGGTTTAAATTCACCCCCTGAAAAGTGACAGTTTTTTTTTTCTTTTCTTTTTTTTTTTAACCCAGATAATAATTTCAAAGGGTTTTACTGTTTGCAATGTGGGTAGAATATTAGTGTGCAGAAAAGAGGTGAGCACCAAGTGTCAGCCACCTGAATAACACAAAAAAAAATTACACCTGTTCTGTGGGCTAGTAAATATGTGGCATCAAACATTGGCCCAGTATGGGCTTCCAATTGATTCCAAAGATCTAAAGGACTTTGGAAAATTCTGAAATGTCATAAGATTAGTGCAAGAAAAGAAAAATTAAATTTAAGACTAATTCCATTTTTTCAGGTGACAACATCAATCACGTTTTTAAAAATTATTCCAATTCCAAATCATTTTCCTCATGTGATGAAGTCCCTTTAGCTTGGTTCTCTAGCGGGCTGCAAAAGTGTTTAGGATTTTTGATGCAAGCTTTAAAACAGTTTAATTCATTAATGTCTCATGCTGTTTGAAGAAAGAAATAATTTGAAGTTCAGAATAACTAAGTTTGACAACAAGACTCCTCCATACCAGAGTTTCATGAATTTCTTTCAATAACTGCTTAAATTGCCCATTTCTGAAGGGCAAATCCATTTAGTACCAGAATTTAAGGTTGACACGTTGAAAATATGAATTTATGTTGTTTTGCACTAAATATGTTTCAATTCAAATACTTTATTTTATGTGCCTTTTATTTTTACAACTCTTGTCAATAGTGTTGGTTATTGTGAGGTTTAGTACTTGAATTAAAGGGACCCAGAAATTCTGACTCAACTTGATTGCTGAATGAAGGAAAGAGGAAAGGTTTTGGTGTTTGTTTGCAGTGACTTTACAATGCCAATATCAGTATTCATATTCTCCAGACATCTAAGGTGCTGACAAGGAGAATTAGTTTAGCAATCAAGAGCTTCCTTTGTTGGTAGTCATTTCCTTTATTCTTGTGGCCTCAATGAGTGATTCAGGGGTGATTCTGGAAGGTGAAATTACTCAATAAATACTTGCCACTCATAGGGGTCGAAGGGATAAAACATCATTACGCTTTCGTGTCCTTGAGAAAACTATACCCGACCTAAAAGGAACATAATGGTCAAAATGTACACCCGTTTCAGACCAAAAGCCAAACCATTTGAGGTGGTAAATACCTTTATGTCTTACGTTGGAGAGGCGCGTCACCCCTACCCCTCCACCCACGGGTGTTAGTCGGCAGAAAACTACCCTTTGTTCCAAAAAAAAGAGGAAAAAGTCTGTATATTATGCTTTCAATTTAAAAACGATTAAAATTTCGGATTAGCTACTTACATTGAAAATGACCGCGTCTCGCTTCTATAGTTTCATTTTGGCCGTTGTAGTTAAAGTCAAACTCACCTGGTCAGTCTTGAGTGATATAATTATAAAACAGGACGGATCTCATACATGAACAGCTTTTTTGAGTGAAAGCGTACTTTGAATATGGAAAATGAAGTGAGAGCCCAAATTTTCAGTTCTGTGGTCATAGTCAAGTGCCATTATTGTTTGACTTCAACCATATGTACTTTCTGCCAATTAAAACAATCTTAATCTCCTCTTTTACCAGTCTCCCAAATCCCATTCCACCTCCCCCTCGTACCCATTCTTCTCAGTTTAATGCCATCACGTAAGGCTCGTAGGTCACGCAAATGAAAGAGGACAACCCAACTGAAGCTAGATTAACCCTCTAACTCCCAGAAGTGACAAACACGTTGAGAATACTCAAAATGATTAGGAAGAAGTTTTTATCTTTATCTTACACCAAATTCTCGTAACTAATTTACAAGGAATTGTGTAGCAGCAAGAGGGAAGAATTAACAATCAGATCTTGTGAGTTAAAGGGTTAAACACAAACATAGAAAAGTCAAACCAGAAGGCAGGGAACAGCAAGGACATTTGGGAGTAACGTTTAATATTGCCGTCTAATGCCTTCACCTAGGAATTTCTCATGTGCTTCTATGACGTGCCTGAATCTAAATATTCAATTCCTAATGTAAATGGTCTTAGGAAATGTAGTTGTTGACGAAGTTTGTGATTTTACTCTTAAGAATAGTGTCTTAACCTTCTGTCACTGCAGACAATACAGCAGCCGTTGATAAAACGCGATGAATACACCACTGAATACAGTGAATCTACTCGGTGTACAATACATATTCTAAACTTCTCCAAGTTTTTATTTTCTTCGAAACGTCTCTTCGCGTGATGGAGCTTTGACCATGAAGATCCCAGAACACATGCAAATTCTTTCAGAAGGAGTGCTCGTAGCATAAAAGGAGTAAGTTTCTAAAGAAGCCGAGGTGTTGCGTCGGAGGAGGATGATGATGTATTGCAAGATAATTCGGTTTATCCGGCTAAGTGATGATGTAAATTGTCCACCGTAGAGAGTTTCTAAAGTTAAACTCCCTACGGTGGCCAATTTACATTAACAACTCGGTTGATAAAATCGAATAACCTGACTCATAGAATAGAGAATAGAAAGACATCACGGCATTCTTGAAGAAGATTGAAGTCAAAAGATTTCTTAGTCATAACCCGAATAAGCTCCGCCAAACATTTTGCTGCTCGCGAGATCGGGCCTGAACCAGAAATCAAACTCGTACCTGAAGAGTTCTTGTCGTTCCACTTTACCATTCCTGTCCCGGTCAGCTAATTTAAACCAAGCCTCGGCTCCATTTGGATCCAAACCACGAGCTCTCATGAAAATCTTTAATTCATCCAAAGTGACCGTACCATCGTTGTTCGCATCCATGATGTCAAAGAAGGCGTCGGTTAGTTGTTCGAGCAAGGCTTTGTCACCTGCCTCCTTTCTTTCCACTTCATCACGCGCGAGACGGTTGAATCCTTCAATGAACTTCAACTTTGAAATTTTCTCTCCTGGCATAAAACCCACGGCGCCCCAGAACTGACGAAGTTCGATGCGCAAATTTTTGATCTCCGAAGGGGTGGCCTTGCACTTAGTTTGCAAATTCTCTGCCAGCTGTAAGAATTCGTCTAGTGTTAAGAAACCGTTTTGGTTCAGGTCCAACGCATCGAAATAATCCCCTATCCTTTTCACCCACGAACTTCTCTTCATTAAATCGACTTTAGCAGACATCTGGCTCTGCAAGTATGTTCTCCAGTCAAGACAAGAAATCGAGTATCCAATATTCCCTGACCGGTATCTCTATCTCGAATCTTCCGCAGATCTGCAGACACGCTTCATGGAATTTATGGCAGCTGTCTTGTTTCTACGCGTAAAGCAGCTATGTTTATACATGACCCTTAAAGTTGTTAGCCGCTCAACTATGAATCGTGGGCTGAAGTTTAAACAAAAGGAAAAGACCCCTGCAGTTTAAAGAGCTCGATTTGAATACACACAAAGAAACAGATGAAATTGGCGACGCTGTTCGAGTGCCCAAAAAAATGAAAATTTTTATTCTGTTTTACATTCACTGGAACATATCTTATTCCACCGATAATTTAATTGAGGGAAAAAAAACAGCTTAAATGGTAACAATCACCAAGGGTTGATCAACTGAGCTAGAAACATCAAAAGACGCAGATGGAGAGCTGTAGACAAAGGTTACCTATGTGAAAAAGGTATTTCTGGTATTTCATGCTTCTTAACCCTTTACATCCGAACTTTGGAGAACAGTATGGAGAATGTACATACTGATGTTGAACATCAGTATGCACATTCTCCATACTGTTCTCCATACCTTTTCTAACATCATGACAAGGAGAATGTGTTTAACAATCAACAGCCTATCGGTATTTGTTATTTAACAAGACTACTCGAAAGAGGAATGTGTTCTTTTTGTTAGATATAGAAAGGATTTCTCATCTGTATGGACCATGGACAACAAAACCTTAGGAAACCTACCAGACAGAGAGCATATAAAAAGAGGACATATACGCTTCCTTGACAACTTTGAATCTCAAATCTGAAGCAAATTTGATATAACTACAAGCAATGCAAAGAATACTAAAGTATCGTAGTTTTTAGTCCGATTTATTGCTGAAAGACACTTGTAAACTATTTTAGCCTGGTTTAAGGCGGATTGGCTGTGTTTTGCTTGACTGGAAATCTTCGTCAAGCATTTTACCCACTCGCATTCTTTGTGCGCGGGCACTCAGGGTTATATCTACAGAAAAAGCTAACTTTTGGGTTCGATTCCTCTTAATCAACCAAATCGACACCGTTTGATCACTTAGCAATGCCTTGATCCTACATCATATAAGTTTGGTCACCGAACCTGTTCCATTGATTGTAATTCTATTGAATGCCATAAAATTTAAATTAATAAAGTATTGACTCCGGTAGATCAGCGCGAAGGCAAACACAAGAGGAATTCAAAGAAAAGACGTGTAAACCGCCTAAAACGCGGGAAGACGCGTGAGACAGAGTTTTCGTTTTGCATCTGATTGGTTGAACAGGAAGTGGCGCGAGTTCAGTCCACGAATCACAGGGCGTGATCAAGCAAAAGCACTGCAATCGCGGATTACTTTTATTCAAGTAACATGTCGCCTAACACTCCACACTGATGTCCTTCCGTCAGAAGTTTGTGTAAATTAAATTGCATTTCAAATTCTCCATCAATCACACGGCTTGGAAAGAAGGCTTTAACAGAAATTACTACGTGAAAACATTTTTGGGCGACTTCCTTAACCTGTAGTACATGTAGGCAGTAAAGGCGGACAACGAATACCTGAAAAAAAAAACAAGTAAAACACAAATATCATACGCTTTCAAATAGGAATTTCCGAGAAAAAAAATAATCCTTCTATAACTTAAAATTTCAAGCAATTTTACGTCTTTTCTCGCGAAAAAAAAAAGTAAGCTTTATGACTGCTGCTTAAGTAGAGGGTCGCGGGTTTGGTTGGACATTCCAATTAAGTTTTACAGATATGAAAGACAACATCAATAAAAACCTCTCACTAGCCGAGTTTGACGTCCGCACCGTAAGTAACGGACCAAGTGTTTTTTTTCCGCTCAGATTTATGGCTCAGGCGCGAAGCCAAAAATACTATTGGGAAAACGAGGTTCCGTAACTTACAGTAGGGACCGAGAAAACGAGGTCAGTAGGATATGTTTCATACCGCCTGGTTCAAATAGGGGGAGATTTCAATTTAAACAAACTTTTGAATTTAGCGGGCTGTAACGTGTAATAGGACCCGTCAAATTGACCAATCATAGCGAACGTACTAACTGAGAGATATAATAATTTTTTTTAAGGGTAAAAAACTTTAAGTTTTATACAGACCAGGTTATAATGTACTGAAGATGTTCGTTACGAAGGTACACCCGGGTTTGGCCTCCTCGTGGTCCCCCCGGAACTGTGCTGGCTGAAAGATAAGAGCGAAGTGACGATGAAATTTCCGGATAGCCGAAGACAGAGGAAGCGTGCAAGACACACTCGTGTTTTCTTTCCTGACGCGCCTAACTCAAGGGACGGCGGAGTTAAGAGGTTTTAGCTCCCCCACCCTTCCCCACTTTTTACGAGGACAACATCTTATTTTGTTTTAGGATGAGGCACGTAAGAAGAATAAAAGAGCAAAAAAAGAAAACGAAAGTGTGAAGTCAAATGAGAATTAACTGATCCCTTTGACGAGAGTAATAATACCAGTAAATTCAATCAACATTTACCAGCATCAGCATCAACTAAAATTGGCAAGCTGCCTGTAACTTCCGCCATAGCATCCACATCTCGGGAATACCACTTGTTATTTTCTGGATTATTTTTTGCCTGAAATGGCTGTCGCTAAAAACGAAAATCATAAAACCATTGAATATTAATATCAGAATATTAGCCCTTTACCCCCCAACATCCATATGCATATTCTCCATACTGTTCACTATACATTTACTAAGGCGCTGACAAGGAGAGTTTGTTTAAGAATCAAGAGCTCCATTAGTTGGTGATCACTTCCTTTATTCTGGTGACCATAAAATGTGATTCAGGGGGAAACACAAATTTGACCTGTATTTGAGGTATTACCCCAGAAACATTGCAGATCATCAGGAAAGTCAGGCATGACAAATTCTTTTTCCTATTAACATTGAATTGATTTTCACTTCTGCATTCTGATTCTTTACCTCAAAACCTCCAGCGTATTTGTTGAATGGACTACTATTATTAGTCTGATTAATCTTTTTTTTACTTCTTGAATTCAAATTCTGATCAAATTTTTGTCCCTATCCTTGGATTAAACTTAGGTTCTGTCATTACTCACTTGAATGGTAATACTTTAAATTTATGTCCCATTTCACTCTCTAAATTATATCACACTTTGTTTTCCCAGATTCAATATCCTCCAATTGAAAATTTTCTTACTTCTCATCATCTACTTACTTGACAACCTGTCAATGGTGTAAAGAGACATGCATTTTGATCACTTTTGGAGGAAACAAGGTTTGCCCTCCACCTGTTCCTTCTTAATTTTCAGAAGAATACAGATGGAGATCTCTCTCCTACACCTAATCCATTTTTTTTTATCTATGATTAAACAATCATCTCATGACGACCTCAACACAAAGCCTAAGAAAACAGAACATAATGACAGAAACCTTCTCTCCTTGTCTGATGAAGCAAACCAAAGACGTCTCACCCTCAATCTACAAATAAAAATTAAGAATGTTGGACATTGACATGTGTAAAGAATGTTTATACCTCTTTCTTCTAAATAGATCATATCTCTTTACTGTTAGACCCCTTTTTAAAATAGTTCTATTTGTGCACATCTTTTATTGTTTAATTTTCATGAATTCCAAGAAATTTTAGGCAGTAATGAGATGAGAAGCTGTAAATTTTAGAGCATTGATAATACTTTAGAGTACCCTCTCCCTCAAACAGTTTAATTTTTCTCTTCAACAATTTAGTTATTTTAAACTGGACTTCAACCTTACAAAATCAATTTTGATATCAGATTAGAGGCAGAATTATGCAGAAAATGTTGCTTTTAATTGCCTCACAAGGAACAAACATTATTGCTTAAAAATTTGAAATTCCTACAAGTTTTCAATGTTTGTGATGACAGTACAGTAAAATAAGTTAACTTAGAATGAAAGAGTTTATTATCGACTATGGAGGATTCTAGATCAGCATAAAAAACCATGACTCAGGACAAAAGGGATTACATTAATATTGAATTTTGTAACAGAGACCTGTCCTTCTTGTCTTTTTTCAGGTCTGATTTTGTCCATAGGCACCCAACCCCTATTGACCAAGATTCTTTGCCTAGAAAAAAGTGGAAAAATTGGGATGTCTCAGAATTTACCATTACAAAATTACACAGTACACAAAATCAAGCTACAATGATATAGTGCACTTGTCATATCTAACAAAATTAGACTTGAGGTGCAGCTTATCTGCCAGTGCCGCTTATACACCGGTGTTTGTGGTAAATATTTCTAAAACTTATGAAGACACTTTGATGTGGGTCTGGAAGGTTTCAAGGTCAAATATTTCCACCTTACCCTGTTCCAGAGATTTCAAATGGTGTGATGATTTGAGCACCAGATTTTGGCTTTCTTCCGAGACTCCCTCCTCCATGTGCACCTTCATTGAGTGACCTTGGTGCCAAATGGATTTCCTCTGCATGATCAAATGTTCCTTGCACCAGGACTCGTCGATATTCCAGAAATTTTGATCTAAGTTCATCAATACTGTACAAATAATGATCTTGATTACTTTCTTAACTATACAAAAAAAATTGAGAAAAATATTTCTCCAACAATTTATGATCATTTTTCATCTAAAGAGAAAACAAAAATTTAAAATAAAAAATTACTTTTCTGGAAGATCTCGAACTGGTTCAGTTGTCCTGGACTCAAGGTCCTTGATCAATCCTTTCTTCCATTGCAATCTCTTGACCTGCCATGTTCCCAGGCCAAATGTTGATATTGGAATTATCAGCAACAAGTAATGCATTTTGGATTCCTGAGCAGCAGGATTAGCTGTTGACATTCCACAGGACTTAAGGAGGTGATGAACCACTATTGGAAAAAAGTAAAGCAAAACAAAATGAAACAAAACAAATCAAAACAAATCAAATCAAAACAAATAAATCACTTTCCCTGGTATCTTCTCTTTAAGTCTGAGATGAAATGACCTAACAGTCAGCATGCTTGAATCTGAATGTGATGATCCAGTTTTGAGATCAACCCAAACCATACCTAGGTCAATTGAAAATTTCAAGTATAAAATGATGAAATGAAAACTGAAAATGTGTGATGGATTGGCATCCCATTCATGATGGAATAGAACACTCCTAGTTTCTAAATTCTATGTACACCAAGATAACCTCCAGTTTGTAGTCTCTACATCTCTGGATTGCACTAAAAATCATGAGAGCTACATCTCAGTGGATGATATGGAAGAATATCGCCTGTCAACCATATCACAACATTTTTGTCATATTAAAACAGAGCCAGACAAGAAAATTTTTTTCTACGAATATCTTAGCATTGAGGATCACGATTTCGAAGAAGAATGTCGCTTAAACGCAAGTCATTAGTATACTTCAATACCTTTGTTCCTTCCAAATGAAAACATGGCCTGACTATATCTGTGGGCAACTTTTACAAACACCATGTCTAGAGAGTGTTGAAAACGGTGGCTGATTGAAAAAATCTTCCCAAAATTAAAAGACTTCTACAAAAGATGTTTTCTTAAAAAGCACTTACAAACGAAAAAAAAATTATTAGAATATCTGTTCTCAAAAATATGCCAATTCCAATTAGCCTAATATCTCACCGAACGCCTTATTGCTTTCCCAATAGCAATTTCCGTCAGGCGTTACATAACCATTTGGACAATCCCCAGTCCTTTATCCAAAATACACTGTGCGCCTGCAATACTTTTTCGTATTGTGCAAAAATTCAAGATGGCGGCTAACTTAGAGAGAATACAGCAACAAATGCAAACGGAACTTGAGAAGTTCAAGGCTGTTCAGAAAGGTACGTTATGAGTAGTAATACACCTGAAAAGTTTGGGTGCTCTTTTATTTGAAAATAAATAGTCTGTGATCCCATGCCTTGTCAAGGAAAAGTTGTAGGCTCCAGATCTTAGGCGTGGGTTTCGAATTTACATGGTAAGCCGAATTATGCATGCATTTTACCGGTTTTTGCCAATGACATATTGGAGAACAGTCACATGTATGATGCCACCTTAAAAAAGTTTTGCTCTTTTTTTTTTTTTTAGTGAATAGAAAAAATAGATTCTATGTTACCGTGGGTCTGTACAGTAATAGATTACATAAGATGTCAAAATATGGCAAGAACATAAGTTATCCACGCGGCTATGCCTCGTGTGCCACTTTTTTGTTCTCAACGCATTTGACATCATCTATGATCTATTTCTGAGCAGGCTCAGGGTACATGGATTGTATACAAGTAATGAAAGAAAGCTTGGAAGTTGCATACTGCTTCCTTGATTTCTTGTGGAAGGTGGAGACACCCCAAATGAAAAACAAGTCATTGTGCTGAAGAACAAACAAGCAAAACATTTTTACCACCCATCTGTTTTTGCCTTTACACCCTTACACCAGTATGTATATTCTCTATACTGTTCTCCGTACCATCTCCATAGGTGCTGGCAAGCAGAATTTTGTTAGACTTTTAAGAACTTCTGTAGTAGTTAATCATTTCCTTTATTCTTGTGACCATATTCAGGGGTGATATTGTAAGGAGAAATTAGATACTAATCACACTCAAGGGTCAAAGGGTGAAAGTAGGTGTGTGGATCTTTGCTGTGGATTGTCATTATTCTCCTTTTCTAATGAGGGGACACTTTCTTCTTTAAGGAAATAGGGTGAACTTTTAGGAGGAAAATTAGTTGTGATGGAGCTAAACTGGTAGGGGGTGGACTTGCAGGGAAGCAAAACCACCTTAAACCATTTAATATGGGTAGAGAGTTTCAGATTGCCTCTTGCACTGTTTTGACCCAAAAACTCTTCAAGCATGCTTGCTCCTCTTCAAACCATTATTCATCCAGTAATTATTTCTTTCAGATTTGCAGAAATTAATCAACACAAGACAGCAATTAGATGGTCAGCTGAATGAAAATAAAGTTGTAAAAGAGGTGAAACCTACTTTAATGATTTATTTTCTTACTGATAGATTTACCTAATTTACCTGAACTTTCTGCCATTTTTTTCTTTCCATGTTTGGTGCCCTTCTATCTGGAAATTCTGATGTTGGGAAATAAATTCTGTGAAACATAGGATTTTTCCACGATTTTGCTCTTTCTAGATGTTACTGATTGTCCTGCTCTCCTCTCTCTAAATTATCAAACTGAAAATGTTTGAAATGTTGCATTTGTTTCTTGTAAATGTTCTGCTGCTTGAACTGGAAATTACAACAGTTAGTTCTTGGCATAGGCTCTATTACTAGCCACTGTGTGAGAAATAAGCTTGCTGGCTCACCCCACTTGAGATGATAGAAGACGAGACAAAAAAAATTATAGAAATTGAGCCTATTTTTCATCATCTTGAGTTGCAAATAAATTGTTCCTGTACAACTCCAAATATCACCAATCCATAAAATAAAACTATTGCAAAATGTTCATGCTACAGGTTATGCTCAGTAAGCTGAGATTAGTGGAGTAAGAGTTCTCATAGCTGGTGGAACTTAGTTTATGCATAACCTTACAGCTCAAAAAGAATCTTAACCCTTTCACTCCCATGATTTCATTAGTAATTCTCCTTACTGTCTGCAAAAAAAAATATTAAGGTGTTAGTTCAGATAATTTGTACTGGCTCAACTAATAATTGGCTTATTGGTCACTCATAGGAGTTAACCCTTTAACTTCCAAAATCTGATTGTTGATTCTCCTCTCTAGCTGCTAAACATTTCTTTGTAAATTAGTATGGAGAATTAGGTGTTAGATTAAGATAACAACTTCAAACTGATAAATTTGAGTTTTCTTATGACCTGTTTGTTGGATGAGGTGAGGATATTAAAGGGAGAAGTTACATGTTCATCACTTCTGGGAGTTAAAGGGTTAACACTAATGTTGGAGTTGTATTACAATATGTGAATGCTTGAGTTAACCTGTTGTAATGATGAACACTGAGTGATAAAAATGATTGTTGACGTGTCTTGGATGGTGTTGATTTAGATTAGTTTCTAGAGAAATTTTGATGAATTATAATTGATAGGGTGTGATGTTTGAGTTTAAACTGACTTTGTTGTTGTGTTTTTAGGAACTAGACATAATTGAACCTGATGGAAATGTCTACAAACTCATAGGACCTGTTCTGGTCAAACAAGATCTTGAAGAAGCCAAGCAAAATGTTGGGAAGAGGATAGAGTACATCACAACTGAACTGTAAGCACCATTGCTTTACTATCAGACATCTTGGTGTTCTTAAGATAAATAATCAGTGGGTTTACAGTAATATGGCATCTCTTTTGTCTCAGCTTTACCCTTATGTCCTTGAAATTTTCTTTGCCAGCTCAAAAATATTTAAAATATATTAGATAGGAAGGCTGTCTCCTTTTTTAACACCGGTCTCCTTGTTCTTTTCAAATTATGGCATGAAAGATCGTACCAAGCAAAATGTTTCAACTAATTTTGAAACTGGTTTTCACTTCTTGAATCTTCATGTCCCTGTAACGCATCCCTGCAAAAGTAACAGTTCATAGCTGCATCATGCAAGCCCCATATGTAAAGGATTTGGGCCAGGGAGACTTACGAGGGAAACACACGAGTGATCTTCATGCAACAAAATGTTTAGATTGTTAAGCATTGTGTGGTAGTCTGGTGATGTGCGGTAGAGCGATGACAAGAATGGGGTGGTAGACTTGTGCAATTATATTGGTTACTCCATTGGTTGGCTCAAAATCTTCCATCCCTTGTCCCTAACTTAAAGACTTCTTATTGGTGTTTTCAGAAAAAGAAATGAGACTGGTATCAAAGATGTTGAAAAGAAGCGAGGCGCCAGCCAGGAGACACTTAGCAAGTTACAGCAGCAGTATCAGCAGTTCCTGACGAAGGCCGCAGCTAAAGCATAAGAGAGAAAAGAGACTTGCTAAAATCTACTATTTGTATTTATTTGATGTGAGAGACCAGTCATTTTTTATTGCCAGGAGAGCAGGGGTGTGCAGAGGATTTTCTTAAGGGGTACCACATGGTTTTCAGGGGGATGAGAGGGGGATCAGTTGTAGCTTAGAGAGTATAAAGGGATTGTAGAAAAATGACTGCCAAGAAGGGGGATCAGTGGAATATTACAGAGCCTCAGGGGTATGAAGTAAATTTTATCGCGGCAACCCCCCCCCCCCCCACCTTCCCTACCATGCAGTAAATAATTACCGGTTCTCAAGTGAAAGTGCCCGAAAAAGGTGTTCTTGTTCTTTTACAAACGCTGATATTGACAGTCATATCGTCGAAGATAAGATTTTTTTAATCGAAAGTAGTATTTCCAAAAATTTAATTTAGGTTTAGTCCTCTCTCGGGCGGATCACGATGAATCTCATAAGATGCACATGAAAGTGATAAGCTTTTTTTCCCTTTTTGACTCATGAATACTCTCGTTGATATTTAAAACTGTGAAAACAACGCTCCCCCGAGGGTGTTTCACTAAAAAAAAAAAAACAGAAAACTTTAAAATACAAAGTAATGCATAAACTGGTTTGCGTAAAATTGCGAAGTAGCACCGACGTCTTGTTCATACTATTAACAAATAGATACACCAGAAACATTTAGCGAACGTAGCCTGCGACAAAGTTTGTCATAGTCTCACAGTAAACAAAGAGTGTAATGATTTTTTTTAGTGACTTGTTTACCCCTCCCCTCAATTTGTGGAGGTCCCAAGGGGCTGGATGGGCGAAGGTTAATTACAATCCTTCACTATGTGATTTTACCAGGGACAAAATTATCAAAAAATGGTACTACATTTGGGCTTTTCGCAAACGACACCTCACCAGACCTCCCCATACGGTATATGTGCGAATTACGCCCGAACCAACAAGATCCTTTCGTCACGATTTTCTTCGGTCTCTCCGACTGTTGTGCGGAAAACTGGCCGCCCCATGTAACACCAGACTTCGCTCGCTAATTTTTTTCCACTCGATTCACCAACAAAGAGAAAAAGGAGGGCCATCAGCAGTATATGACATCTTCCGAAATTCCGTTTTGAAAATAAAGATTTTGTTTTACGTCTTTTGTTTGAGCGAGCGGGTGTGTGTTTGATTCATCAATATCAGAAAGAGACTTACTTTCCACATCAGGACAGATCGACTGGGCAATAAATCATTTGCAATCTTTTCAATTGAGAACGTAGACCTTGTCAGAAAACAGAAAACAATTAACATTGGCTGAAACAGGAAAATTAGTTGACATTCAATTTAATTTCAATACCTCTTAACATGAATAGAAAGTGACAAAAGTGTCTAAACATTAGGCGGTGTTTCAGGTATTTCCCATGGGTGGAGCTGAGAACTTCTTGCCACTTCTCGCACTTGACAAAGGTGACAAAAGCTTTTCGTTGTGTCTCAGAGTTCTACTTCCGCCCAACATATTTGAATGTTACGCAAATAGCTTTGCAAGCAGCTAACTACTCTTGAACGTGTATCAAAAAAAGGGGAAAAAAACTAATGAAAAATGAATGAACGCGATCCAAGTCATTTTCGAGGCAAATTTTCTTCAGCGGTCAAAATGTGATGAGTGACAGTTGCATAAAGATCAATGTTCATTTCTAGAGAAAAGTGAAATTAAATAAAAATAAGTTTTATCTTTGTTCCGCCCAGAAATTTGCCCAGACTTGCTTGCCGATTCACGGTCAGTCTCGTGTCTCCGTGTAACATGTTTATATCAAAGCTTAAAGTTAACTACGTATAAGGCGAGGCGAGGTCCGAATTCACGTTCCCTGAATTTTTTATCTCATAATTTCTAAACTGTGAAAGAAGAATGGCTCAAAACTCGGCACGGTTGATGGAACCTGTGCTGATCAGACTGATTTACGCAACGCGAGACCGCTGGCTGTAAGTCATCAATCTCCATTTTAAATCGTTTGCAATTGATTTAAAATGGAGATTGATGATTTTCAGCCAACAGTCGCGTTTGTGTTCATTCGCAGTGTCAAGGAATCGCCTGAAATGTTTTACCTTAGTTAGCAAAGGCAATATTACAATTTTCAAGTTAAAAACAAAACAATTTATAAGTTTTCAAAGTAGTCATTTGCTAAAGAATTTGTCGATGTATATGTGGGCGGTTAATAATCATTTCAAATAAGCTTTTTAAAGTGGAATGACAAAGAAAACATAGAGGTGAAAAACACAAAAGAAACTTCGCAGCTCTAAGGAAGCTTTCATTACAATAAAGTTGCAAAATTAACTAATTACTTCGACCCAAAGTGTGATGATTTCTTTTGTAATGGTTGCGTTCAGATAAAAACCAATTTCAGCTAAAACATCTGATTGTTTAAGTTAGGCTACTTAAACTCGTGAAGCCCTCAGCGGGGCACACTTCATATCGGAAACTCAGGCAAGTCTCTAACGACTGGAGCTAAATTTGATCGGAATTGTGGAGAAACTTCTGCACTGATTATTTTTCGCATCAAAAAACAATCAAAAAATGGCGCATGAGTTGAGCTCGAAGTCTCCTGATCAACGAGACAAAACAAATACGCCGATTTCCACGCTCCCCATAGACACGTGCGCTGAAAGAGTTGAAATGCATTCTACGCGGGTCAGGACTTTACAACTAAACACAGATGCGCAAGATCGAAATTCGAAAACCAAGAGACTCTTTCAGGGCTCGAGGGGTAAAATTCATACAGTTAAGAGAACAAAGATGGAAGGAGAACACAGCACCATCACCGTGCGTCTTCGAAATAAGGAACTCTGGGAGATGTTTCATCTCGAGGAGACGGAAATGATTATAACTAAAGCTGGAAGGTACGTTTTACTTCAATTTTTTTTCCGTTTTAAAGGCAAAAAGTGAATCTCTTGTTTGTTTGTTTGTGTGCATGGTAATCTGTGAGAGGGCTCAGAAAAAAGCTTGTCTGCGCGCACCATGCATCTTGATTTTCATATTGGCTCGTGCAAGCCAACATTTTCGAACATGGTTACTCATTAGCCATCGTATTTTCATGCTTCATGCTTCACGATAAAAAAAAAATGTCCATCTAATCATAGCTTCTCTTTTATCCACGGGAATAGAAAAACAATTTTCGTTCCTTTCCATTACCGGAACCAAAAGTAATAATGCATGCATGTTGCCCTTCTCATAATTGCTGAAATACGTTTCCCAAAAAACTGACCCAAATTATTAAATGCTCATGAAGTTATAACAAGATTTATGGTCAAATCTGAAATTTTTTTTATCTCATGAAGCTTTATGCAAACTTTTCAACGTGTTTAGAGTTCATTTTGAAATTAGTCTCAACAAGACTCCTTTGGGAATGACCACATAATGGTTTTAAGAAGAAAAACAACGTTCAAACAGCCCGTCTTGCATGTGAAATTTCTGTAAACAAAACTTCAAGGAAGAAGTGTCCGGCTTTTTTGTTCGGTTGTAGAAAAGTTGATTAAGAGCGTTATAGTTGTCTCGAATGCACCTTGATTTGGTATTCAATCGCCCAAACAGTTTTTTCATTCCCGTAAAAAGTAGCGCAAAAGATTAACGTTTTTGCGTGCGCATTAGTTTTTGCAAGGTATTTAATAGTTTTAAGCTAACGTTTTGTGTGTTGGACCAAGGGTTAACGCTCGAAATGTCAGCTTTAAAACCCTCCGCGGTGGTAAATTTACATCATAGACTCAGTAGGTAAAAGTAAAGAATCTTGCAAGACCCCCCTCCCCTACCGACGTAGTACTACAGTTTTATTTGCTTCAAATGGTTTAGCTTGTCTTGTCTGGAGTGAGTGGACACTGAATTTTATATTCTCTTTTTATGCGGGAGAGCGGAATACAGAAAGTTAACTTGTAAATGGAATCAATTATTTTGGTTATGAGACAATTTAATACTGGTAAAATTCGTTCACTTTTCGCTCAGAGGGAAATTTGGCCTATTTATATTCATTGTTTGCGCCGACGTTTGCCTGTTTGGGAAAGATTCTGTGGTCACTGAGAGGATGTTGACAACTTAATTTTCATTATTATTCATTGTTTGCGCTGACTTTTGCCTGTTTGGTAATGATTCTGTGGTCACTGAGAGGATGTTGACTACTTAATTTTTTTTTCTTTATTATTGACCTTTGGGCCCCTAAGATTGACTAGCATCTAATTTCTCCTTACAATTTATAACACCCCTGGATCACAAATCAAAGGAAGTAATCATAAACAGAAGAAACTCTTGATTGATAAACAAATTCTCCATGCCTGCACCTTAGGAAATGTCTAGAGAATACTGAGGAGAATGTGCATACTGATGTTAGGATGGAAAGGGTTGTAACGACAGAAGTAGGTGTGTCTAGATTGGGGAGAGCTCGGTGCGCGCGCGTAGTGAAGAAGACTCTTGCTTATACCATTCCACTTTGTAATAATAAATACCTTCACGCTTTACATTCTAGACGCATGTTTCCCGTCCCAGACTTCTTCCTCGGAGGACTCGAGCCTGACCAATACTACGGCTGCGCAGTTGAAATTGTCGCTGCAGATATGAACCGGTATCGTTACAAGACACCCCAAGGGTGGGTTCCCACGGGGAAAGGAATGCAACTGGATCAAGTGCACTGCAAGTACCTTCACCCCAACTCGGCCAGCCTTGGACAGTACTGGATGGCACAAGGAGCCTTGTTTGACAAATTGAAGCTTTCCAATCACATTATACCCAGCAGTGACAGTGTGAGTGTTTTATATTACTAACATTTTGACACCGATCAATATTAGGAGCTTCAAAATCCCCTTCCCTCCCCTGCCAACCCAGGGGCGTTTGACTGTCGTCCGTGTCCGGGGGGGATGGAAATTTGAGTCTTGCTTGGGTGTGGTGGGGGATTTAAACCGGAACTGTCGAGTCTTTTCAGCGGAATGCACATGTTTTACATTTTAATATGGAAGTGTTTAAAGGTAGACTTTACTTATGCGATCTAATGACTCAGAAGAAAAGGACTGTAAGAAATTTACAGTCGCTGATCTTGCCCTTTACAAAAATTTGACCATGAAATCTTAATCTTGAGTTAGGCATTTGAGCAAAAATTTAGGACAGTGGGTGGAAATTTTTAAGGAAAGTTTATATACCTGGGGAGTTGTGGGGAGAGGTTTCCCGGGGAAGGATAGTTGAAGCTCCGAATCAATCGACACATGACATAAAGCATGCTCTAGTTTTACCATTAAAGAACAGTTTTAAGTACTACATTTTGAGCATTTTCACAAATCAACTTAGATTTAAAGTGTCGAATCTTATCACTCCTAAGACTTTAAGGAGGTTTCGGTCTCTCTGTTTCATTCCCTGCTGACAGATGCTAGATGGTTTAAATTTGTGAAAAATATTTCTTGCTCATAGGTTTGATCTTTCCTTTTTTCTGTTTTCTTTTCGTCTAAAAAAAAACCCGTCAGAACGATAAAATGCAACCCGTGCGCATTTCTGCGCGCGCGCACCTTTTCCACATTTACATTTCCTAACAGACCAGACAAACTTTCCCTTTGCATGAAACTCTGTTCGTTACATTGCATCTTTTCCTTTGATTTTTAATCGGGATTCCCTGTGCGAAGTTATCTTTCTCGTCCTCTTGTCAGAGTTGTACTGAACAGACATTTCGGAGACATAGATGCTGTGGCAGGAAAACTATTCCTGTACGTGTTTTTGTAAAAAAAAAACTTAATTCAATGCATCCTTTTTGTAGGTGGTCGTAAACTCTATGCAGAAGTACAGACTAAGACTGGTTGTCACTAAACTGGGAATGCATCAATGTGACCGATGGGTATTCAACTTTCCTGAGACTCAGTTTATCACTGTTACTAGTTATCAGAACCCGCGCATGACTCAACTCAAGATCGACAACAATCCATTCGCCAAGGCTTTCAGAGAAGGAAAGAGGTAAGTTCAATCAAACAAATGCAATTTGCATACTGAATTCATCAGATCAGGGCGATAGAAAAAAAAAAGAAAATAAAGGTTAGATGCATTTTGACTTGCAACGAGTTCCCGGTAAGGTCCGCTTCTCCAAATGCCTTGGAACTCCTTTGGCCCCAGAATCTTATTAGAGCGTGCGTGATTCGTAATTTATTTAAAGATAATAATCATAATATAAAAAATAAAATCCATAAACAATGATGATAATAATGACATTATTTTGTCGCACTCTTCAGCGTTCCTACTTGCCGTAGCATTCAACGTATCGGTTCTTTTTTATTGACTCATTTTGTTGAACGTTCTTTCAGGTCGAGCCAACGAGACAGCACAGGATCTAAATCCAAGAAAAGACGCCTGCGTTTTCCATCTCCACCACCCATAATCCGTTACCAGACTCCTCTTATGAATTTCCTCAACAGTCAAGATCAACCGGCCCTGACCACCGCCTCGGTACACCCACCACCTCCACCCCTGTCACACGATTGGCCTGAGGAACCGTATACGACAAGAAACATTCCTTTCCAGAACGACTTACCATTTCCTTGGGAACGAGACGATTTGATCCCAACGCAGATTTCCTCGGTTCCATCTACCAACTCAAGTTTTAAAGTGGAACTCAATCGGACCTTCCACTTGCGCGAAAGTCTTTCTTTCGCGCCAAATGATATCCCCACAGAAGAGTTGCAACCGCAGTTTCCCACTCAATGCTGGTCAGCGCCTCCGCTGGGTTTAAACATATTTGAAGATGCGCAAACGCAGATGCAGCATTACACTTCACGAGACCAGTTTTGGCGAGAAAGTTAGATACTTGACAGAGGAGCAGTAGTTGACATAGAAGTTAAGAGCACTTGAGTATGCCCTTTTTAGGAATTCGCCATATCCTGGCATTTCGACACAGCTGCGAATCTACAGGCTAAGACGAGTAAGGTCCCATCGTTTTTGATGAATTGTGTCTTATCATGACGGTTTTTCTTATTTTTGCGTTAGCAAAAGCAGTGATTTCTGAGCTCTTACCAGGAGACAATGACCCCTCCTTGAAGCAGATGCTAAAATTAACTACATGAACTGTTAAACTAAATAGGACATTTATACCAGGGCCTTAATAAGCCGCTGGCTGACGCACGCATTTTGATCGAAAGCCAAGTGTTTTTTCAGCTAGAGCCAATATCATTTTAAGCTTGGAAACACCACAGACCCTTGAATCGGGTAAAATATTATACCTTCTGTCATTGCAAATTCAGGAACGACTTCGGAACCAATTTCTCAGACAATATGCTTACGCCCTATTTTGACCTTTCTCTTTCTTGCAAAGAGATCATTTTCCGCATGGTAACTTTTTTGGGGTCAATATTTTTGAAGGACGGATGACCGCGCAAATCCTACTATAATAAATTAGGCGGAATTAATACTACATTTCTAACGTGTCTGAACGCATTTTAGGATTCCTGTGCGTTTGGTCGTTTATAATTATTGGACTGTTACTTCAATATTCCTTCTGCTTGCTTTAACAAGCGAAGTGACCGCACCAAGATTATTTATCAGTTCCTCATGATTGCTTATTGGGAAAAATTTTGTTGAGTTGTTAAGTACGATAGCTTCAGTCTGTTTAGCTAACCCTCACAAGACTATCTCCTGAGATGAAAGGTCAGTCTGGGAAAATTCCTTAAATTTCAGCGTTCTTCCACATTTTATGTTATACCTGGCAGAAATTTAGATCCCAAATTTAGAATCGGCTTTATTTGACAAAGGATGTATTTTCTTTCATATGTAAGATAGTTAAAGTTACGAATCTATCGTATGCAAGTTATAAATAGTGTTCCTAATTCGGGTTTTAGTCGAAATAAAATCTGAAACGGACTTGACACAAGACGTATCTGTTTGACATCTGAAGTGATATTTGTAACCTAATATAACTAGCAATAAGTCTTCTGCTCTCCATCATTTGACACATGAGGCATAAAAAATTTCACTCTGCTTTTCCCAAAAGCCTCTCAAGATTAAATTCCCCACTCTCAAAAGTTAACAGATACACCCCTCTCTCCCTCCCGGGGAAAAAGGAAAGTCGATAAATTTCTGAAAACCCATAATAAAAAAAAAGAATTTTGAGAAGAAACTTGCAAAATTTGTCGCACAGCGGCTTATCTGTCTTTCATTTTATTGCAGTTTGATTGGTTTCTTAAGAAAGCCTGATTGTTTTGTTCTAGTGTTGCTTTTTCGTTGGTCGGGGAAAAGATGGTAGTTTAAAAAAAAAAGGGCGACGCAGGAATACATCGCACAGCTGAGGGCCAATCAGATTGCAAGGAAGTCCATTGATTTCATAATAAATGCAATAAAGCAAATAAAAGTATCTTTTGTTGCGATTCATCCTGTAGAATCGTTCCTTTCTGTGCACACAGATTTATTTTTAGTTTTGATGGTAATAGGGACAGTGGCAGAAAATTGATGCTTACGTAACAAAACTTATCGAATAGAGGGCCTTTTATAGTGAAAAAAATAATTTTTCTGTTAGGCTGCCAAATCACAATGGTAAGAAGTTAAAAATTGCCTATGAGTATCTTATGGTTTCCTTTCCTTTTCATTTTACCTACAAGGAAGAAAAAAAATTCACGACTAAGAATTTGGCTCAACATGGCTGCAAGGAATATATATTCGGTCAGATATATTTGTGACTGTTATGTAAAGAATTTTAAAAATGCTCCACTCGATTACTGTTACCCGATAAAACATCGATGATTGGTACTTAAACTCGCTGTTTAAGTATCAATTGTAATGATTTTATCACTGATATCGGTGGAAATTACTGTGAGAATAAAAATGGAGGAGAGTGTCTCTAAAAAATGTCATTTTCGTTGCTTATTCTTTCATGTTCACTATTAAAAGAACGCTTGTTTCCCTATTTTATATCTATTTGTATTTTTTTAGTATATTTTTGAATTGGATTTCATAAAAGCCCAGGAAAACTTGAAGCGACTCAATTCGTTTAATAAAAATGGGAATCTTATTCGAGTTTAGAACAGAGAGGGAAATTTTTTCGCGCTGAATTGCACAAACCGTTAACAGGAGCCCACTGAACTCCTGCCAATAATAGTACGATACAAGTTGTGCAACACATTTGTTCATAGAAGTAGAGCGTGGAAATATTTCAGAGAAAGTTTCAAGCCGTTGACCCTTTGATTCAAGCTACTCAAAGAATCGGAATTATTGAGTCAAAAGGCTTGCCTCCGTGCGATGTTATAAATATTCCTTTTAGCAGTACAAAAGTTATGAAATAAGCTGTTATAATTTTTTTTTTTTTTTACAATAATTTTATGACGTCAATCGCAGCATGGTTAGTCACGCAAAAGTTAATGAAAAGTTCCAAAGATCCTAGGCAGTAATAACATTCAATCGGCTTTTTTCGAGGAGATTTTAGTCGGAACAATGAGTTATTAAGGTTGTTTATTTTGGTCTTGTTCCATTTCCGTTGCTGAATTTATCACTTTTGTCTCGCGCTCGTTGACTTTTGACTTCCGGTAGGTATAGTATAACCTGCTATCTCATGGGGGGTCGGTTTGAGTGTTGTCAATATGCAGGCACACAGCGGTTACAGCCGAATATTTGATCTCAGCAAGACGAGACTTCAGCCCAAAACTCAAGAATGAGAATCGTGCGTATTCTCTCCATCGAAAGTTAACGAGACGCACTATTCGGGCGTCTGAAAATTGGAGATGATGCCCGCGCAAGATTTACCCGGCTCGCAAACTCCTGGTCAGGTAAGTTGCCATGAACAATTTGACTACTGACGATTGCACGCATTTCGCGGTGATATTGACTTGATTTTCATGCACACCTTCCTCTATATTACCGCAAGTTGCTATTTTGATAAAAGTTTGATCAAAATTCTTTAACAGAGTCTTCTCACGCTTTTGTCCATCGTGTGGTTCGGGTTTTTCTCGCTTTGTCGGTCGTGACAAGTACAATGCGTACGTGATTTTTTGTGTAATACGCTGAGTAAGTTATTCCCTGATTTAATGACTCAAATAAAGTTGTCGCAGATTTGATAATATTGATGTCAAAGATGGTTTCCATGGCGTAGAATAAAAGAACTGGTGAAGTGATAAGAAATTTACAATAGAAATTTCCTGCCGGAAATTCTTCGAAAATATTTTACACTAGAGCATGTTGGCCTTAATGTCGACTTCTGAAATTACACGAAGGCCAGTGTAGATACAGTCACTTCTGAAAAAGTTCGCAATCATATCATATCCGTAAACTGTTATATTTCGAGTGACACTAAGTTCGTGATGCTGTAATTGTGTTTAGAGAGTCTTCTGGAGGGAAGAACGTGAAGACGAAGCCATTTATTCGGTATCACTGAAGAAAGTGAGATACCGCTCGAGCGATAAGCTTCTCCCTTCTCCTGACGAAGACGAACAACCAGGCTCTTATCTTCAGTGGGAGATGATGAAGATCAGAACCATTAAAGCCGGTTCTTTAACGAAGCTTGTGGAACATTTAGCACCCCCAATTGCCTCATTTGACGAGGTTGATCCTGGCTACATTATGGCGTTCATGACTACGTATAGAACTTTTTCAACAATGACGGAAATCGTGGATCTACTTTTCGAGCGGTAAGATTCTTTTCGAGTTTGGTGTTGCATGATAAATTTCTGGCATTGAAAGGGAACAATCTAAATATTATTTTGGTACTCCCGAAAGACAGGTGTTTATCTTTTGTTTTCTACACGTGAATGAACTATCTCTTTCTGAAGTTATTCAAGAAAGTTATTATTAATACTTATTCCGGACACTTCGTTCTCTTTATGAACTAGCTATCGTTTGAAGCCCAAGAACCCATCATAACCGTTAAGGGACTCAAAATAATTGTTTTATGTACTCTTGAGGTCAGAAATGGCAAACTTTGTCGCATCATTTACTCTTCGAAACATAAAGAGCAATCGTGCTTGACTAATCATATGGGTAAAGTGTAATCATTGTTAAAAGGCAAGCTTAGGAATACGTATTTGGTCAGTGGTGTGACAACAATTAAACCTAACTATTAGTTTATACTGTCACATCACAGGAACAGTTTTTCAACACTGCAAAATCATATGCAAAAAGTAAAGGAAGTGGTGTTAAAATACTTTGACCAACTACTTAAAATGTCAATATGTGATCATCACAAGGTTGTGTTTGGCAACTTTGCATCTTTAAAAAAGAGAGAAAGGGTTCTAAACAGGCCATAACAAAAACACTCTTGCTTGTGATGGAGGGTTATGATTTTACAGAAGTTGAAATATGGTCTGCAAGGTTTTTTTTCTGTGAAAATAAACACGGCAACTGTGAGTGACCTGTATGATGAGGACGAAGTTGTTATGCAGAGTCCAGCCATGGAGGGTTGTATGTCAAAGGAAGTTGAAATTTGATCTGCAAGGTTTTTCTCCATGTAAATAAACATGGCAACTGTGAGGGATCTGTACAATGAGGAGGAAGTTGTTCAGCTGAGTCCAGCCAGGCTATGAAAGAGAACACTGTCTCTTGTGATGGAGGGTTGCGATGTCAAAGGAAGTTGAAATTTGATCTGTAAGGTTTACTTCTGTAAATAAACATAACATCCGTGTGTGATATGTACAAAGAGGAAGAAATTGTTAAGCAGAGTCAAGAGAACACTGTCCCTTAAATGCAGGGTTGTGTTGTCAAGGAAGTTGAAAAGTGATCTGCCAGGGTTTTTGCCGTGTAAACAAACACGGAGGCTGTCTGGCAAACAGGAAGTTGAAGAAATGAAAGAGGACTTCCATATTACCATATTTTAACAATAATGAAAGAATACCTTGTACTTCATTTTCCTTTATCGATAATTTGCTTTTCTCTTGAATACAGTGTGGAAAATAAGTCTTCTAGCTCTGGGCTAAAAATGATTTATTAAGTGCTTATAAAAATGGTTAGGAAGAGTTGTTTAAATATCATCATTCATTGTGACTTTATCCCTTTACACCCTAATATCAGTATGCATATTCTCCATACTGTTCTCCATACATTTCTTAAGGGTCTGAAAAGGAGAATTTGTTTGACCTTAATGTTTGATTCAGGGCTGATACTGTAAGGAGAAATTAGATGCCAGTCACTCTAAGGGGTTAAAGGGCTAACAATAATGAGAGATGTATTGTGGAAGAAGCAGTATAATTGTTGTTTTCAAAAGCCTCATAAATTGTTAGTGAACTCACGCCAAAACACACAGGTTTCAAGTAAATGGAAAATTTTTAGTAAAGTTTGTGTTATTAAAAATGGCAGTAACATTTTGGTTTGTTTTTCCTTTAGTTACCGACTATTTGTGGAAAATGCTGCTCAGGAAAAGGAGGAGGTAGTTGACAAAGTGCTGAGGTAGGCAGTTAATTGTTTAGTTGTAAATGGCCTATGTTTGTTCAGTAGCTTCTGCCAAAATGTGTTTATATTGCAGGATTCAAAATTGTTCTTTGCTGGCACAAATGAACGATGAAAGTCCTCAGAGTCTTTTCAATGGCTCAAAGGGACAGTGACAGGATTCATGGGGACTGGGTTACATAGTCCAGATAAACAAGATGCTGCATTTAAAAAATGTGAATATCAATGAGCCAAAAATAAAACTGAATAAGTATCATTTAATTAATATTATGCAAGAATCAAAAGACATCCTCAAATTACATTATTGTGCATTATTGCCAAAATGTGCTCAAAATATTTTATGAGAACAATGTTTTCACAACCTTAAACACTGACGTAAATCAGTTTGTTTCATCATGTGCACATCACTATTTTTATCATTATTTGTATCTGCCTTGATGCAATAGCATCAATATTGTTTCTGTCAGTTTACATCTGCTTTGTTTGATAGCAAAAAGTTTTTACAAATCTTAAATATGAAGCTTGGGTCACTCTCCTGTAGCTAAGCATGCTTATTTAGAGATGATATGATGATAGTGAGGAAGATGATGAGAACAGCAACAAGAATGATTATGATTTAAAGAGGGAACCCAAATAGTCCTTGTGGATAATTAATAGATCAGTAATTAATGGTTTTCAACTCAATTTTCCCAGGGGCATCGCTTCAGTGTTTCATGTATGGCTAGAACACTTCCCTTCTGATTTTGATGAGCCAGATTATACAACTCTACTAAAAATACAAAGCTTTGTGACATCAGAGATGAGGGCTAGTCATGGAGAAGAATTAGCTAAGAAGATACAACAACGTCTTGATAAATTTAGGATCACTCCATTTGAAGATGAAGGTGAGAATCTAGATATTTGTGTATTGGTTTGAGTGTGGGAAATGTGGGAAATTGTGAAAATGTATGGAAAATCAAAACCAAAATTTGATAACAAAGGTTACACTCCACCTGTTTTATTGAAGATTGTTAGAAAGATAGTAATGAGCATTCTATTGCTATTAATGAATGATGGTCATTTTTGTAAGCATGATTATGACAATAAGTTTAATTTTTCACAGATTTTTATTGGATATTGCCTACCATCTATTGGAAGGCAGACTCATAGATGACTACGCTATTGACAACATTTTAATTTTTTATTGTGTAAAACAAATAGATTCCATATTGCCTTTGGTCTGTACAGTGATAGATCGCAAAAGACATCAAACTGTGGTAAAAACAAAAGTGACACACTCAGCTGTGCCTTGTGTGCCACCTTTTTGTTCCTACCAAGTCATCTGTGATCTAGAACCCTTCAACTCCCAAGATCTCCTTAGCAATTCCCCTTACTGTCTGCCATACAAGTCTTGTAATGTTAGTTTGGAGAATTTGGTATTGGATCAACTTATGGTCCTCTAATTGATATTTTTCTTTATTCTCATCACTTGTCTGCTTGATATTGTATTGATATTGTAAGGAGAAATTCTGTCTTGGTCACTCATAGCGTTAAAGGGATAACTGAACACATGCATGGCAACTTGGATTCTATTCATTAATTAGATATCATTCAGTTCACTTTAAATTTTCCCTGGGTCCACATGAAAGTTTAGTGACTGCCTATATAATTATACCAAAATTAACAACTTTTGATTGACTTTTTGCTTTAGATATTGAGATAATTACATGTCCCCTTCCTGTGTCACCAAAGTTTGGTTTTCAAGATGACATGTGCTCAATTCCAGAAGAGACTGAGTCTTGTTTGGATTTTCTGACCCAACCAACCAATGAGTGTGCTGAGCAGCTAACAGTGATGGATGCGGTTAGTTTTATTGATATAGTCTATGTTACAAACTCTCTAAGGTTGAGAGATTAGAGAAGATGCCCATCTAGCTGAAGCTTATGATATTCAAGTTTCCCTAGCATGAAGCAGTTAGGAGTATTACTACTCTCCCTGCCCTGGATGGGGTGCCAGTCCATCGCAAGGTTACTTCCAGTATTTTATCAAGCTTCCCAAACAATTTACCAGAACCTATTTACACTCCTGGTACCTGAGAGACACTGTGCAAGTGAAGTGTTTTGCCCAAGAACACAACACAATGACTGAGCCAGGTCTAGAACCCAGACCTTCCAGTTCAGAGTCCAGCTCGCTAACCATTAGGCTGCTGCAGGAAAACCTTGAATTCATTTTTTCCCCAAACTCACTTAACCCTCTACACCCTAAGATCAGTATGCATATTCTCCTTACTGTTTTCTATACATTTCCTAAAATGCTGACAAGGATATTTTGCTAAACAATCTAGAGCTCCTGTTCTTGTTGATCATTTCCATTATTCTCATAACCTTAATGTTTGTTTCATGGGTGATACTGTGAGGAGAATTTAGATGCTAGTCACTCTTAGGGGTTAAAGGGTATCTAGTCAACTCGCCGACGGACCAACTCGCTGACGCCAACTTGCCGATGTATAAAATCGAGTAGAGACGTCGGCGAGTTGGTCCTCAATCCAATACAACTTATTAGAAGTTAAACTAACAGAAAAGTAAACGATATTTAGTAAAAAACACTGGTGAACACTGGTGAACATCAAACAGAAGCTTAAACATTGGTGAACATTGGTGAACATCACCAATGACTATAACAGCTTAAGATGCCAACGAGTTATTATGCGACAACAACACCGTAAAGACTCATCATGTCAATCGCTCAGATTTTTTAAAGAAAACTTGGCTTTCTAGACAAGATCTTTAGTAAAAAGCAATTCTTTTTATTTGCAACAAAGTTTATAAGGATCTCAAGGCGAATAAAGCAAAGTAAACATCGCCAATGACTATATCCGCTTTAGACGCGAACGAGATAATTATTGTGTGACAACAACACCGTTTGTGCGTTGACTTTTTACCAAGCGACTTGACTTAAATAAACAAGACCGATTGACATGAATTTACTTTTCTGTATGTTTAACTTCTAATAAGTTGTATTGGATTGAGGACCAACTCGCCGACGTCTCTACTCGATTTTATACGTCGGCGAGTTGGCGTCGGCAAGTTGGACCATCAGCGAGTTGACCGTAATTCAGTTAAAGGACTAAGGGGCTAAAGTAGGTGGTGGGTGAGTCTCTAAAGAAACTGTGGTGTTGCATTGGAGGGATAGTATGACAGGCTAATTAAGTATTATCAACTGAGTTTATAACATAAATTGGCATTCTTAAGAGTTTCAAAGCTGACGTTTTGAGTGTTAGCCCTTCTTCAGTCACTGACAAAGGGCTAATGCTCAAAATGTAAGCTTTCAAACTTTGTACAGTGGCCAATTTATGTTATTAACTCAGTTTATAAAACTAAATTACTCAAATAAGTAGGATCTAAGGGAAGTTAACCCTTGGGCCCTTGAAGTGACTAGTATCTAGTTTCTCCTTAAAGTATCACCCCTGAATGAAACACTAAGGTTATGAGAACAAAGGAAATGATCACCAATTTAAGAACCCATTAATTGTCAAACAAATTCTCTTTGTAAGTGCCTTTGGAAATTTATAGAGAACAGTATGGAGAAGATGCAAAATGATCTTAGGGTGTAAAGGTTTTAAGAATGAATCTGTGTGTGAACTGATTCTCATAGCTGTGGAGAAGTTGCGAATGAAAATCCATCAATATTATCATGCACTTTATCCATAGTAGAGGGCTTTAGTTTTGTTGAAGAGGTGTGCAGGAAAAAAAAATGTGAGCTCCGCTTTTAGGCTTGCCTAAATCTATATATTAGCTAGGGAATATTCTGTCATATGATGTGTTCAAACCAATGATCCACAAGCAAAAATTTTTGATGGACTCCATCATAACTGCAGTTAGCACATATTCAGTTTCTAATTATTTTATATGTTATAAACCTCTTACAGAAACTGTTCAAGAAGGTAATAGCATGGCATTGCCTGGGATGTGTTTGGGGAAAGAACAAAAAGGAAGGAAGAGCAGCCACTGTGAAGGCCACAGTTGACCAGTTCAATGCTGTGTCTCTTCGGGTCATCTCCACCATTTTAACTTGCACTGAAAGCAAAACAAGTGGGCCGAACATGAGGGGGAAGTACATTTCACAGTGGATAAATGTAGCACAGGTGAACTAGATGGGTTTTCTGCATTGTCCTGTGCTGTATTACTTGGTTGACAATCTAATAGGGGTTAAAAAAAAGTTATCAAAGAAATATTGTTTAAAATCAGAATAAAAACTTGCCTGTGCAGGAAGAAAGACCAACAAATTAATCCACAGAAAACCATTACAATGTGTGGGCAATTCAGGATAAAAAGGAAGGGACAATTATTCGAACACATGCCACAAAAATAATGGGAAAAATTTATCAAGTCAAGATGCAAGTTTGGTTAACACATTCGAAGAGCTTCCTGAAGGCAAAAGATTGGTTCTAGCACTTGTGACAACACTTTGCCATTATAACTCTGCTCTGCTTGAAATGGTTTTGAAACTTGAAGTGTAACCTTTGAATCCTCTGGACTATCATATTGTGTTTTCCTTAGATTTTTCCTTTTGTATGATTGTTGGCCTCCTGACAGATTATAACAGATCAGCTCAATTTTCCAAATTAAAGTAGAACCTGAAAAGTGCATTAGGGTTCATGCTTGTCAAGCTTGCTTTCAAGGATACAATATTTGTTAGATTGATCAGCTGTTTTCATTATGTTTTGTAGGAATGTAGAGATCTGAAGAATTTCTCATCCCTCAAAGCTATCTTGTCAGGTCTGCAGTCAGCTTCAATTCACAGACTCAAAAAATCTTGGTCTCATGTTTCTAGGTAATAATTGTATTTTCTGCCAAATATTAAGAAACCAATTTGTTGAGCTGAAAAGGACAAAACATATACTGTTATCACAATGTTGGGCATTATTGTGCATTTTTTAGTTCTCATTTTCTCAATGCCTTCTAAAGTAATAATGATAGATATACAGTTTATTTTCCTTTGCATAAAACACATTTTTTGCTCATGAACATAACCTCTATTGTATACTTACATAGAAATGGTATAACCTCAATGCTTCAGAGTACCACAAAACCCTTCAGAAATGTAGAAAGAATGTATCATGAGTCCCTTCATTTCCAAGCAATCAGGGGGGCCTATATCTCAAGTACAAACGAACAAAAATAAACCAGAGACCTTAATCCAAACTGGGTACAATTCTGTCGGCTGCGTGGAGGTATCGTAATAAGCCCTCTTTGCTTCAAGGGCATTTTCAGAATTCAAAAGAATTTGGTGTAAATTCAAGCGGAGGGGGGAAATAGATATCATGACAAAGGAATGATATCCTTCTTTTCCCAGCCATTTTGGAATTAGCTGAATATCCTTTTGGAAATTTGTAAGACAAAATCAAACAAGAATATCAGGTGTTCCTTTTTTTTTTAGGAGATAACTTGGTTAAATACTGTTCTGCTATATTAGTTTTGTTCTTTTAGAGCACCTCAGAAAATGTGTAGAGAACAGTATGGAGAATATGCCTACTGATGTTATGGTGTAATGGGTTAACATTATCTACCATGGCTATGTTTTAGCATATTTAGTATTAATATTGTTTATTGTATTGTTTTCCTCTAGAGATGTTCATAATTTGTTTCTCGAACTCTCAAACATTTTCTCAGAAGACAGCAATCAACAGAGTAGTAGAGAACTTCTCATGAAGGTCAGTATTGGCTAAAAAATTTTAATTTCAGTTATCAGATATACTGTTTTGTTCATGCATTTTGATTGGTCCCTACTCTTTACTACATAAGAGAACATCATCTCGGACTACTACTAATTAGGATTTTCAGTGGGGACCAAAACTCCTTGGGGCTGTTATTGAAAGCACACTTTTGGCCAATTCAGGCGTGTACACAGAATCTCCTTCCCTCCTCTGACAATTTTGGTTAAAACTTTATTTTTATTAGCTTACAAAATTGAACATTGTTCGGGGGAGAGGGCGTGTGTATTCTGAGTCAATATTTGGACCTTCGTAATAAAAATTTCTTGGGTCTTCACCTGCTCTTTTGGTTTGGCAAGCCACTGATTCTATCATACACCACCTCCTAAACTTTTTGTCCTTGGAAGATTTCATAGAATCTTGAGCGGCTTGAAAGTTTTTTCTTCTTCGTAACAGGAAGGAACTGCAAAGTGGGCGCAGCCAGAAAGTTCACCAACTAAGAAATTACCTAATATTAAGAAACGGAAGTCACGCTTCATGGACCTGGTAAGTGTTTTTATGACGGTCTTACATACCTTTTCATTTTCTTTTGTCGGCAATGCCTAACACAACGGTGATTGTTATTCGTTTCTTGTATCCGCTGCAATATATGTGTCATGGACTCATTTTATACTGATACCCGAAACTACGAGTTGTCCCCTTTCGGCGAAATTGTCGCGCGAGTCGAAAAAAAAAACAAATCAGTGAAAAAAAAACCTGATGATGTTAGCGCGCCGTGCAGAACCTGGGAGTGAGGCACACGAAAAGTACACCGGGCGGTCCTCGACGAAAAGCAGGGGGTGCTCGTAGTCTGCTGTACCCTTAAACTGACTGACTTGTAACTTTTTTTTAACAATATCAACACATAGTTCAGCAAGCAGTGGATGAAAATATATCAGCTAAGGGGTGATATTATCGGCCAGTCAAATTATTCTAGTGTTTTGTTTAGTACTTTTTAAATTTAATTTCAAAAGGCTCCATGAATGCATTGCCCAAGCGATTTTGTTAAAAAAAAAAAAAACAAAACAAAACAAAACAACAACACTCCCACTTTCAGAGTGCATTCCATTCAATATTTTATATGCTGCGCCGTTTTCAATGTTGCACTTAAGATTTACTCGTCTCTGTTTCAAGCCTCCATGAATGAAATAACTTTAACTGGGTAGCTGTCAGCACATGCATACCTTTGAATTAAACTGTCCTGAATAAGTAGAACGTCATTTGGTAGGTGCAGTAAATATCATAGTTATACAATCCTAATTTCACGTTGAAAATAGAAACGGGTTCGCTCTTCTTCATGGAGATAGTCAAGTCATTCCGAAGGTATATGACTCAGCTAAAGAGATGAAGATGCGAGTGAAGAAGCTTTGGCTACGGAAGTGTTCATTGTAAATTCATGATTACAATCCTACAAATAGTGAGGGACATCTGCGTCATCACGAGCATGTAAACGCTTTTTAGAAGAAAGTATGTCAAAATAAATGCGTACTTGACTCAGCGTGAGATCAAGTTTTACAAGTTGGCTGGATATTGGTCTCGTTCCTTTTTTGCCAAAAGATATCGAAAACAAATTCGGGACCTTTTTTTGTGGTTTTCTTTGTTTTGACTAGCGTCAGGTTGTGTTCTGCGTCTCAGCATTGCCATTAAAACTGTCAGAAAGAAGTTTTATTGCTAGATAAGAGATTTCTCAGAGGTTACGATGCATGGAAGAACTTTTTTTTGCGCTGGATCACAGGGAAGGAGTAGGCGAAGAGTGGCAATATAAGCTGACACAGACTATCATCTTAGTCATTGAAAGGTCGTGGTCTTTATTGGATAGCGACTCCAAATCGTGAGACAAGCGATTACATGATCATCATCATGATATCCATGATGGACAGACGAATCTTTCCCGAAAATGATACTGAAACGATTTGTGGTTTGAATCAGACAATTATGTGAAACCATCGCAAGTGGTTCATTCAAACTCGTCATTGAAGGGTTTAAAAAAGTTTATTTCCCTCCCGCCTCGATTAGCTTCGCTATTCTGCGGATAGGGATTGTTACATGTGTATTTCAAATTTTAAGGAAAATAAATGTATTGTAAGGTGTTTAAGTTACCGAACCAATTGTCTGGAACAGACCTTCCTACTTGGACGTCACTGGGCCAAGTTCATATTCTTCTTGTTCAATTTGTGGTTGTGTGCATGCGGAGACAGTCATCGACCCAGAAGATAAGATACGGCGAAACTCGCTCCTGAATGTAGAATTCATTCCTGCATATATGACGGGATTAATAGTGTTTGAAATGTAAAGAAAAAACATGCACAACAGTTCCAAATTTCTTGGCATGTGTGATACTAATGAAAAACGTCTTATTATGACTATGACCCAGAAAGGAATCCAACAAACCAAAAAGGTAAAAACAACAATGAATAGCGACCTGCTCAGTCGAATTTCTTGAATGGAAATGCGCGCGTCGTTCCCTCTGAGTCCTCTCAACGCGGGAGAAATCCCTGTCAGATGTTGACGAACAACTTTTAGAACTCTCGAGTAGCCAAAAGTTGTGGCAACCAAAGGGATGACAAGAAAAAGTGTTAAAACTATTATGTAGTGGATGAACTTGGCACTTTCCCCAAGGTGTTTGAGAGAACATTGCGCATAGCCAGGCACAAACTCAAAGTCTTGCAATTTGGCCAGTCTTGGAATTGCGATGTAACAAGCCACAAAGAACCAGAGGGAGAGCACCCATAAACGAGACTTTCTGGGTGAAAATATTTTCTGGTAGGTTGTGTTTGGTTTGCACATACGAACATATCGGTTCACAGCTGTTAAACCCATGGTTGCCGGTGAGACGTAGATGACGAAGATACTCATGAAGGCGTGAAATTGGCAAATGGTTTCTCCAAGCAACCATTTTCCTGTGAAGAGTATTATTTCACTGAGAGGCATCACAAAGACAGCGGAGAGCAAGTCGCTCACAGCCAATGCTATGATATAAAGATTCGTGGGGGTGCGTAATCTTGGATTTCTGTAAACAGATAAGCATACCATAATATTTCCTGCCAGTGAGAGGATGTTTAAAACGACCAAAGAGGAGCCTTCGAAGATAACCAGTGCTAAACTTCTTGATGCTAGATCGTCGGCCATCTCAGATAACTGCACTTCCTTGTCTCAGTTGCAGCTAACAGTGAACACAACGAGACTCTCGCTAAAAATCAAGTCAAAATGCTTATATATGGCCCGAAGCACTATTGCTGCCCATCAAAAACCGGAATACCAGCCAATATTTCCATATAAAGAAACCGCCCGAAAAACCGATCTTAGGCCTGAGGGATAGAAAAGGCAAAGACCTTACAAAAAGTGGAAACAGCTCTTTTTGAGTCATAAAACCGATATTCGGTTTCGGATATCATGACAAAATCCTAAATATGGGCATGGTAAATATGGGCACGGTAAGGAGTGCTTGTCGAAGTAAGGTCTAAGAAAAACAGGAAATATCTGCCTCTAGCTAAAATTAGTAAATCTGGGAATAACTTTGGCTGAGGCGCTCTTGAACTACATTCCTGTGTTCTGGTTTAGTGCTGTTTCCTCTCATTTATATTTAGAGATGTTTTTTGCTGTAAATATCTTAAATTAAAATAATGAAATTTAATTTAAATAATGTGTTTATGACTGTTTGTATTTTGTAAAACTACTTTGTAATTAAACTGCGAAGCGTAGCAAATTGCTCAATGATATCGTCCTCGAGGCGATAAGCGCTGGTTTTCATTCAAGTTGTACAACAAGGCAAGTTGTGCTTTCAGCCAAACGTGACTGAAATGAAACGAAGACCTAAAGATTTCTCAAGTGTTTCAGGTTCTAAGTTGAAGCGTTTAAAATCGGAAGTGACTTATTTCCATCAGTATTTTTGATTTGTAGTAAATTGTAACTCGGACATTGTTTATGAACCAGTATTATGGAATGAAAGATAATTACAGTCAGAAACACAACCGTAGTAGTTATAATAATTGAAAAGTCAACCTAGACTGAACTCGAACCCATAATAGTCGGGCGATATTTTTGCAACTGAGATAGTGAAACAACTGTGAGGAAGTGATCTGTGTATCTCAGTTTTCGCAATACGCGCGTGAAGGGTGAATACAGCAAAAGTGAATCAATCGAAATGATATATTTCAATTGCGGAATAAAGATGCTCTTAGACTGATACCATTTAACTGAAGCTAGAGACGAAATCGAAGTAGTTGTGAAAACGAAGGTGGAAAACACCATTCGACAGTGTGATATAACCAAGACTTAACAAGCCAACTGGGAGCTTGTCACGATAACAACTCTTTATTTCTTTTAACGAAAGATTTCGAGGATATTTTAACTTTTTTCCTCTCTTGGGGTTTTCACACTCCGAAGCAACGTCGTGATCACTCAAGCAAAACTGTGAGACGTACTGACAATTACAATTTGAGGCGGTACGTCTGCTATTACTGATGCAATTTTCCGATAGTAATCTTGATGAGTGACCATGGTAAAGAGCAAGTACTCAACTTTCCATTTGACTTAAAAGAAAGCCGATCCTCGATGATGATGATGATGATATTGATGATATTGCGATAAGCACATAACTACTTCCCAATTAAATGGCAATTACTTGGAGTTCTCGTTGTTTCGAGTTACCTTCCCGACAACAACTCGAAAATAAAATGTTTACTCTGAAAATGGCAGAAAATTGTTTCATTAAACTGCCGACATTGGACGATAATACTCGTAAACAGCCGATTGTTACGGAGTTACTCACTGAGGAGTCTCCATAGAGATCTTACTTGCTCCAAAGACACAAATTTTGTGTGCACGAGCTGGAAAATCCGGAAAACAGATTTTGACCGAATTCAGAAAACGAAAACCTTAATTTCTCTCCCTTATTTTTGTAAGATGTTTGTACATGGATATTTTTTTCCTTTTTAGGGAATTATCCAAGGAACAGTTCCATACTTGGGCACATTTCTAACCGACCTAATGATGTTAGATGCCGCTTATCAAGATTTCACTGAGGTGAGAGGAACTGGGCATCATCATTCCTCCTCATTACTTAAGCCACCTTATTACGTAAGCCACTTCCCTCTTCCCGGCTCTTTTACAAATTAAATGTTGGACTGAACTCTGGACTCTGGATCTAGGGTCAGAATGGGTGTTAGGCGAGAAACACAGCGCTCGAAGTAGTCATCCCCAACCTAGCAACTGTTAAGGAAATCTGGGAAATTGCAGTGCGGGGGAGGGTGGGAGTTGGGTGGGGTGAGGTTTGTGTTGTACCAGTGTCGTGCCTTTCACTCGGACTTGTACTCAGTCGACAATTTTTTTTTCCCTATCTGGAAAGGAATCTTGGGAAGGAGGAAGAAAAAGTGGCTTTTTCTTCTTTCCTTGCCTTGATGCAACGCGAACTCGCTAATCCTTCCTATCAATCAGTGCGCAAATAAGAAAAAGCTGGGTACGAGTCTGCCTTTCACTTGAATTGTATGCGGACTTACTTAACTCCACAGTCTTCAAACGTATTTTTATCTTTTGCGTTCCTTAAAATGTGAATAAACTCACGAATTTCCCAAAGACGTTTTGCTTTTTTTTTCCTAGGATGGCTTGATCAATTTTGAGAAAAGAAGAAAGGTAAGTTGAATATAGATGTTTGCTTTTTATGTAAGCCTTCTGCGAGTTACTATTGATTTGTGTGTACTTTTAACCCAACAGGAGTTTGAAATAATCGCTCAAATAAAGCTGCTTCAAGAAGCGGCAAAGAACTACATAATCGTTCAGGATGAAAAATTTCGACGTTGGTTTGATAACATCAAGACATTTACAGAATCAGAGAGGTTAGTTTACGTGGTAAATCGTTGTTAGGATAGAAATGGATCTGCCAGGAGAACTGGGTCGAGTTCACGAAATTGAGGCTAACCAGGAAAACGTTCTGGAAGAAACTCGTGAAACTCTTCTTTTTTTTAGCTGCTCGTATTACGAAGTCCCATCGTAAAGGAAAAAAAAAACTTTTAAAAGAGAATAGAAGCCGAAAAGGAAAAATCAAACCACGGGAAAAAAAAAAACATGATTGTTCGCCTGTGTTCTTTTTCCACTCAAATCTTACTAGTAAACCTTGACTTGATGTACTAGACGATCAAACGTATTGAACACGGGCTATTGAAGTATGGACGAGAGGAGCTGAGTCGAGAACCTGCGTGACACAACCGTCTGATCTAAGTCTTCTCTCGCCCAAAGCTTACGCTTACTGTTAGTGATATATACTGTGGAAGCTAACGTTGTGCTTCAGAGATAAAGTGTGTTCCTAAACTGACTGGAAAACTTATTAAAAGAGGCGGACCCAAATCACAATTATAGTAAAATGGGCGTGCAGCCATCATTTAACGACTAAAAGTTCATTCATTCATGATTCATTTTGTATATTTTTGTTACTTTCCTCAGCTACCACTTGTCTTGTAAAGTTGAACGAGTGGAACTAAAGTATACGAAAAAGAAGAAGGAAACTAAAATAAGGTGTGCATCCGATTTTGCTGTAAACTATCCCCTCAAGCCTCTAATAAAAGAGGATTATGAAGAGTTTAACTTCTCTAGTTTTAACAATCAGCGTTCGTTTTTGGTTTATGCTATAATGCCAGCCTCGTCCCAGGTTTTCCTTCTTAAAAATGTTAAGCCTGAAGCGTTCCGGGCAGTTTGAATCGTCTGTATCCTTACAATTCTCTCTTCCATCTGAGTTACCTTACCATGGTATCTATGATGTTTTCCTACCTCAGTGAACGGCTTTTGCAATCTTTACTTAATCGCAATATACAATTGAGTGTCGAAAGTGATGCAGGATTGGATAGGCTTTCTATTTCTTTTCTCTGATTGGTCGAGAAAAATCGCGCCTCCTCCGCTATCATTCAAATGCAAAAAATACTGGATTCAATCGCGTCTTAGTCTTAAGCGTTTTTCCGCATTTCAGCCAGGTTTCGTGTTTTTACTCTGAGTTTCCATTTCCTCTTTGTGATATTTTCCTTTGTCTTGATTAACCGCTATAATTTCTTAGATCTTTGGTTATACGACACTTGTTTGAAACGCGCTCTGTTCTCAGTGACGCTTGAAATGGCTCAAAATCTCTTCACGTAGTCCCTTTCAGTGTTTCTCGTCGACACCTTTCAAAAAATTCGTTCAGAGAAATTTTCAATCGAGTGTCGTAAGTAAACTGCGATTTCATTGGTTTTGCTTTACTGCGCTCTGTAATTGGCTCAATGCACTTTCACCACTCTCTTTACCAATCAGATGCAAAAACTGAAACCAATCACGACTTGGTTTCACTTTAAGGTCTTATTGGCCCCTAGAGTATTTTCCTTTCTTCTGATTGGTCGTCATGATTGCTCTGGTTTTGGTTTTATAACACTCTGTCGAAAAGTGCTCTAGGTAACGTCAGTTGTTGCTATTAATTTGTGTGGCAGACGGATGCTCAGTGAACCAGACATCAGCAAATTGAATTTACTGACGCAAATCTCATCACAAAGTCTCTCTCCTCCTCCTGCTGATAAACAGTGCAAATCCAATGAAAACTCTCCTGTCATGGCTCGCCACAAAAGAAATGTAAGTACAACTTTGGTGAGTGAGTCTGTTTGTTGTTTTTTTTTCTCTTGATAACTTTTAACGCCCAAACAGTATGCATATTGTCCATACTGTTCTCCATACATATTCTAAAGCAATGGCGAGGACAATTTGTCTAACCATCGAGAACCTCTTGAGTTTGTGATTTTTTTCCCTTTATTCTCATGACCTTAATGTTTGATATAGGGGTGATACTGTTGGGAGAAATAATTTTGACTTAGGGGGAGGGTCAGAGGAGGCTCCGTGATATAATTATTATGATCAATAGTCTCCCCTTTATACTCTGTTGGTGACGACTGATTCCCCGTCCGTTCCCCCCGAAAACCATGTGATCCCCTCGAAAATCCTCCTATCCCCCCCCCCTCCCCAGCCCTCCCGCCCCCTTGGTGTGAGAAATAATGACTGGTCCTCAACCGTAACCCTGAATTTTTCGTTTCAAAATGCTTCGCGGGAAATGTTTCTGTAAGCCTCGACCTCGTGTGCTAGACCCAGTTCTCTTAGCCCGCGTCTAGTCATATTGAATAGGGTCAACCGCCTGACTGACCGACTTGTTGCCTCACAGAACTCCGGCTCTTCCTCATCCTCCACGTCCTCCGGTGTGTCATCAGGATCAGATACGTCCTCGGTGCCAAAAAACTTTTCATTCTCCCTTCCCCGGTCACAGTTTGCTGGCTTGCCAATTGGCTCTAGGTCACCCCGCCTACGCAAGTCTAGAGGGGGTGTTTCGCGGAGGTCTTTACCAGAACGACCGCGTCTTCCTCAGACGCCTCCTCCCGACAGTCCTTCCAATAGATCTGCACATGCTGGCTGTATTATTCGGGTCAGCATCGACGGACTGGAAGATACAAAATCTGGTGCTGGTGTTATCTACAAAGGGATTTGGGTAAGAATGTTACAAAGAAAAAACATTTTTGAAATTTAAAGCGCAAATCAATAAGACAACTCATTATTTAGCTTAGCTCCCCTGTTCTATTTTAATTTTGACTCATTGTTTGTTTCTTGCGTTTTGTGCTCAATTAATATTGCAAAATGTTTTAGAAAGAAATTCTGAAAAATTCATAGAAATACCCTGACGGAGCTGTCAAATATTTATATTGCTTTGAACGTGAACTGGTTGTTTGTAGTAGATGCGACGGTTTGTCGAGAGAGACTGTTAACCAACTAAGTCCCAAGGTCCAATCAGTATTTCTTCTACTTACTGCCATACTTTTCAATATTAATTAAACAGGAGAGTTTGGCCGTATTTCAAATTAAACCTTCCAACAACAAAAAAAATTTGTCTGCTGTTCTCTTAACCTGTTCTTCCTCTGGTTGTTAACAGCTTTCGGATGACGAGCGAACACCTGCTGTCATTCGATCGTGTTTGGAGAGACGAGAAATGAAGGGAGATCCAAGCGAGTATTTCCTTGTTCAAATTCTTGATAATGAAGGTAAGTCTGAGTTTAAATGGGTGAACAGCTTGAACTCTTTTGAAGCTCGCGCTATGTTCGCACTCAGATCTTGCGCGGTCTGGGGTCTCCTTAAAGACATTAAGATTCAAACCAGACTTACCTGTTATTCCCTTACCTTGATTTTCTGATTTTTTTTCATTTGCAGGCGAACTAGTCATACCAGACAATGCGAATGTGTACTACGCCCTGAATTCAAGTATGGAATCTTTGCTGTTCAAACTCAAGAAAAAGGCAGATGAAAAGCCGAGCTGAGGTATGTTTTCGAGTTTGTTTCCATGTTTATTGTGAAGTTGCGTTTTACAAGTATCGTTTCGACAAGCTGAATTGAAGAAGGACAAGTTCTTATTAGTGAAAATCATTGGAATGGCCGGTGAATACTTTCGTCTTTGTCGTAAATGAAATTTCCGGGAAACGTTTTATTGTGACAATGTAAAGTTGTTAATTAAACAATTTTTTTCTCGTGTAGTTGTCAGAAAAAGGGTCAGGCAGTGTGGTATTTCATAAACCTAATTTATACCCCATTCACTCCACGGCTAAAATACGTTTTGAATTGTTTTGCTGATAGAAAGGGCTTAAACTGATGTTTATCGACTTCACATTTTGCTTAATTAAAATAGAATGAAGTGATTACTCGAACCAGTCTTCCAGTTTTCTAGTGATATTTTTAATTAGTCCAAACTGGTGGAACTGAACATGTTCTGCCGTTGTGAATGGGGCTTAGTTACTCAATTATGCCTGAGTTGTAGATCTCTGGTGTAATGTTTGCTATTCGATAAAATATCAACATCTCATTTATAAAATTTGCATGATTTTTTTTGAACTTCCACTAGCAACTTTTAACTCCACCAGTATTAGAGTAAATTATTACTTTACAATCTTTTAATGTATGTCACCATGGTAATATTACAATCTTTTTCTCACAATCATATAATACAGTAATATTACAATTATTTGATACAGTTTTTTGGTCCCCATTCAGCCTCCCCCACCAGCCTCCCCCACCACACCCACCTGGTGGAACTGGTGGAACTTAAAACATGTATTGCCGTTGTGAATGGGGCGTTAGTTAATCAATTATGCCTTAGTTATAGATCTCTGGTATCGTGTTTGCTATTCGATAAAATATCAACATGTCATTTATAAAATGTGTATGATTTTTTATTAACTTCAGAATTAACGGATGGAAAAGTGACATCTTATGACAGGATTAAGATATGTTTTTATCCACTTCCTTGTCAGCCATCCCTGCAGATTGCCGATGCTGAATGAGGTTCTCGCCTCGCAAGGAATAGAAACTCTTTGACCAAGAAGTTGCTACGAGGTGCCCGACATTTTACAATTTTAGCCAGAGGCAATTCATTCGTACACAAATTTCCGGCCAATCGTCCCCCGAGCGGTAACAACTTCAGAACAACATGATGCAAGAGCGCATTGTGATTGGCTAGTCAAATGTGCACCTGACTTTTGCTAATATTTGCTGGGTTAGCATTTTATGCGCATGCGTTTCAATGCTCTATTGATCATACACAATTTTTGTAAATAAATTTTAAAAATTAAATGATCTTACGTCAGCCCAGAAATGTATTTTTAGGATTTAGTTAAATCTCATAAACAGTACTAAGATAATTGAGGTAGATAATACATTTTTAATTGTATTATATGGAAAAGAGACATAAATCTAAATTTTTACGTTGGTATTTTGTAAATCGATTTTGAATTGCTCTATACATATATATTTTTTCAGTTGTGAATGTGTTTATCCAGAAGCCATAGAGAAGACGAAGTTTTAATGGTTTTCTAAAGGTTTTTGAAATGCATTTTGCCTGATTAGGATAAAATTTCGCCGCAAAAGCTTCATTTGTCTGTTGAGATTTGCCAACTAATCAATGATGTGGACCTTGAATAAAATAAATTTGACCAATGGAACCTAAAACATTTAAGAAATTCACGAGAAAAACAACACTATAAGTAGGGAAGTTATCGTGCAATGTTTCCATTTCTATGTGCTCTTCCTCAGCAATTGGTTTAACAATCTTCTTCGTCTACGATTTTTTTAGTACAAAAAATTTTATTGAAGAGTGCAGTTTGTGACTGATAGCTGAATCGAGCGACAAAATATATATCTATTACGGCAACTGAAAAAGTTCAATATTATTGGGGTTTTTTAGTATTATTATTATTTTAATAGACAAATGAGAATTAAACCTTTTAATGCAAATGCCTGGGTTGGTTTCTTATATGTAGATTGTTATCATTATTATTTTCGTCTTTGTTATCATCATCATTATTATTTTCGTCTTTGTTATCATCATCATTATTATTATCATTATTGTTATCATTATTTTGAAAATCCAAATCCTATCTACTTTCTACATCGCTAATAGAAATATCTTTTTCAATTTTGATATAATAATGCAAAATAAATTATATCATAATGATTTTAGATATATGAAATTCATATATTTGCACTGCGGTGAAGAAACGAATTTTAGAGATCTTCGCAGTTAAGAACACTTCTGAACTAGTAGTTGAAAATAGGACCTGAAGAAAAATTCAGGCCCGTACGGGATTTGACCCATGACCTCTGCGATACCGGTGCAGCACTCTACCAACTGAGCTAACAAGCCAACTGGGAGCTGGTGAATATGTTAGGTCCAAATAAACCATCCAAGTGACGGATAATGATTTTAGATATATGAAATTCATATATTTGCACTGCGGTGAAGAAACGAATTTGAGAGATCTTCGCAATTAAGAACACTACTGAACTAGTAGTTGAAAATAGGACCTGAAGAAAATTCGGGCCCTTAGAGGATTTAAACCCATCGCCTCTGCGATACCGGTGCAGCGCTCTACCAACTGAAGCTAGCAAGCTAACTGGGAGCTGGTCAATATGTTGGGAGAAAACGAGGGAGAAAATATAAAATGCTACATAAATAAATTTTTTTTATAGATATTATGAACCTCGTCATCGTTATTATTACTACTTTAATTTTACTATTATCGTTATTATTGTGATTTCTTGCCGTAAATACTTTTTGTGAACTCGAATCCTTGTTTAGGAATTTTCGCCAGCCGATGATCTGTGATTTTATTTGCTGAACCATTTCTACGAATATAAACTTTGTTTTCACAAACTAATTTCTTTTACCAGGGAGTTACGGAGAAGCTGAGGCAATTGACAGTCTATTAAATATTGTAATAACTTCACAGATCTCTTTGCAGCTGTAAGGAAAAAAAATTACAGCATCAGTGCAGTCTTTTGAGGATTTCCTATTTTGACTTCAAAGAATCCAAGACTCCTGTGAGACTATTTCTTAGTGTTACATGAGCACCTTCTTCAAACCCATAAATGGTAGTGTTTTGTTTATCGCCGGAGCTCACCAGAAAAATTATGTCTTGTTCGACGTTTGAATTAGATTATTATGTGAAACTGTCGCAAGTTGTTCATTCCAACTTGTCATTGAAGAATTTTGAATGTTTATTTCCCTTCCGCCTCGGTTAGCTTCGCTATTTTGTGGGTAGGGATTGTTACATGTGTATTTCAATTATCAAGTAAAATAATTTCATTGTAAGGTGTTTTAGTTGCCGGACCAATTGTCTGTAACAGACCTTGTTACTTAGATGTCACTGGGCCAAGTTCATGTTCTTGTTGTTCATTTTTTCGCTGTGTGCATGCGCACAAAGACATCGACCCAGAAAATAAGATACGGCGAAACTCGCTCCTGAATATAGAATTCATTCCGGCATATATGAGTGGATTGACAGTGTTTGAAACGTAAAGAAAAAACATGCACAACAGTTCCATATTTCTTGGCATGTGTGATACTAATGAAAAACGTCTCATTATGACTATAAACCATAAAGGAACCCAACATGCCAAAAAGGTAAAAATAACAATGAATAGCGACCTGCTCAGTCGAATTTCTTGAATGGAAATGCGCGCGTCGTTCCCTCCGAGTCCTCTTAACGAGGGAGAAATCCCTGTCAGATGTTGACGAACAACTTTTAGAACTCTCGAGTAAGAAAAAGCTGTAGCAACCAACGGAATGACAAGGAAAAGTGTTTAAGCCACTATGTAGTGGATAAGCTTGCGTTGTTCCCCAAGGTGTTTGATAGAACATTGCGCATAGCCAGGCACAAACTCAAAGTCTTGCAATTTGGCCAGTTGCGGAATTGCGATGTAACAAGCCACAAAGAACCAGAGGAAGAGCACCCATAAACAAGACTTTCTAAGTGAAAATATTTTCTGGAAGGTTGTGATTGATCTGCACATACGAACATATCGGTTCACAGCTGTTAAACCCATGGTTGCCGGTGAGACGTAGATGACAAAGATATTCATGAAGGCGTGAAATTGGCAAGTGAATTCTCCAAAAGACCATTTTCCTGTGAAGAGTATTATTTCACTGAGAGGCATCACAAAGACAGCGGAGAGCAAGTCGCTCACAGCCAATGCTATGATGTAAAGATTAGTGGGGGTGCGTAATCTTGGATTTCTGTAAACAGATAAGCATATCATGATATTTCCTGCCAGTGAGAGGACGATAATACACGAAAACAGCCGATTGTTACAGAGTTACCCACTAAGGAGTTTCCATAGAGATCTTACTTGCTCCAAACACATGTTTGCACGAGCTGGATAATTCGGAAAACTGATTTTGACCGAATTCAGATAACGAAAACCTGAATTCCTCTCTCTTATTTCAGTGAGATGTTTGTACATGGGTATCTTTTTCCTTTTTAGGGAATTATCCAAGGAACAGTTCCTTACTTGGGCATATTTCTAACCGACCTTATGATGTTAGATGCTGCCTATCAAGATTTCACTGAGGTGAGAGAGACTGGGCATCATCATTTCTTCTTATTAAATAAGCCACCTTATTACGTAAGCCACCCTCCTTTCCCCGGATATTAATCTGGCCGTAAACGGGAAGTTCGGTTTGGTTTTTCCTCCCCAGGGAAATTCACAATAGGCACTTCGTGGACATAGCCTGGGAACGAGGTTGAATTTTGGCATCGAATGTATTCAGGCTTGAAGTGCTGGGCCACGCATAAACAATAACCGAGCTTGTTACAGTTTACACTTACAGAGTAAAATTTAAATTATCTATTTAAAGCACTAACCTAATACTATAAAAGTCACTGCTACATATCTTTAATTTCAACCAGTCGAAAAACTTGCGGTCCATAAAATGCCTTCTGTGGTATATCGTTCCGAGGCAGAAACCTTCAGAGGTTTGTTATCAGATGTAAGCGGGAGAAAACTTTGTAAACAAAGATCATGGCGTTCAAATGCAAATATTTATTGAGCGACTGTGAGGCGAAACTTGACTTAGGAATGGAAAATAGGGGAATTTGGCTCGTGCAGACAGATAAAGATTTGAATCGCAGCGTTAAAATTTGATAAATTTTGCAACCGAAAATTTGATAAACGCAGGATTCTATTTAGTACTGGTTTTGTAGAACGCCTGAGATATGCGTTTATTATTCGCGGATTTGGATGGTTATCATCATTCTGGATTTCTCCGTGACTCAAGCTAAGTCACAAAATGATTTATTCCTTTTCTGTTGACTTTGCCGCGGTACTTACGTTAGTCCCCGCATTCCATCTAGCGATTTTAGTATTTCCAATTTGTCATGGAAATTTTCCTTAAGACTTTTTTAAGATTAAGACTTTTTCCCAAGTCTTAATCTCCATAACTCTCCATGTTAGGTAAACAATGAAAAGCACCCAACAGCAATTTTTGCTAAAAACCGCAAGGCCGTGTAGCCTCTTGTTTTACGCATTAAATGTTGGACTGGACTCTGGATCCAGGGTCAGAGTGGGTGTTAGGCGAAAAACACAGCGTTCGAAGTAGTCATCCCCAACCTAGTAACTGTTAGGGAAATTTGGAAAATTGCAGTGCGGGAGAGGGTGGGAGTTGGGTGGGTGAGGTTTGTGTTGTAACAATGTCACGCCTTTCACTCGGACTCGTACTCAATCGTCACTCTTTTTTTTTTCTCTCTGCAAAGGAATCTTGGGAAGGAGGAAGAAAAGTGGCTTTTTTTTGTCCTTCCTTACCTTGATGCAACGCTAATCCTTACTATCAATCAGTTCGAAAATAAGAAGAAGCGACTGGGTACGAGTCTGGCTTTCACTGGAATTGTATGCGGACTTAACTCCACAGTTTACAAACGTATTTTTTTACCTTTTACATTCCTTAAAATGAGAACAAAGTCACGAATTTCCCAAAGAATTTTTGCTTTCTTTTTCTAAGATGGGTTGATTAATTTTGAGAAAAGAAGAAAGGTAAGTTGAATGTAGATGTTTGCTTTTTATGTAAGCCTTCTGAGTGTTACAATTGATTAGAGTGTACTTTTAACCCAACAGGAGTTTGAAATAATAATCGCTCAAACAAAGCTGCCTCAAGAAAGAAACTACATAATCGTCCAGGATAAAAAATTTCAACGTTGGTTTGATAACATCAAGACATTTACAGAATCAGAGAGGTTAGTTTACGTGGTAAATCGTCGTTAGGATAGAAATGGATCTGGAAGGAGAACTGGGTCGAGTTCACGAAGTTGAGGCTAACCAGGAAATCTTCTGAAAGAAATATCGTGAAACTCTTCTTTTCTTAGCTGCTCGTATTATGAAGTCCCATCGCAAAGGCAAAAAAAAAACTTTTAAAAGAGAAGAGGAGCCGAAAAAGAGAAGTCAAACCACGAGGAAAAAAAAAAGAACCATGTTTATTCGCCTCTTCTTTTTCCACTCAAATCTTAATAGTGAACCTCGACTTGATGTACTAGACGCTCAAACGTATCAAACGCGCCTAAGCAGCTACGCGGCTATTGAAGTATGGACGAGAGGAGCTGGGTCGAGAATCTGCGTGGCACAACTGTCTGGTTTTTAATCTCCTCTCGCCCAAAGCTTACGCTCCTCGCTCGCTCAATTCGAGAGAAATCAGACTGCTAATGGTATATACTGTGGAAGCTAACGTATGTCGACCTCCAGGTTGAATCTTATATTTTGGAGATAAAGTGTGTTCATAAACTGTCTGGAAAACTGATCAAAAGAGGCGGACCTAAAGCTTCATTTTGAACTTTTCACAAATCACAATCATAGCAAAATGGGCGTGCAGCCATCATTTAACAAACTAACAGTTCCTTCATTCACGATTCATTTTGTATATTTTTGTTACTTTCCTCATCTACCACTCGTCTTGTAAGGTTGAACCGG